TCTGGAAGAAGTTCCCTGGCTTTTCACGGAGTGCAGATTGGATTCCTTCTTGGCCTGAGTGGCTAGGCGGAAAATCTAAGGATAAGAAGAGTCCCCTTGATCGGGATCTGTGGTCATAACGGACCTTCTCTTATCTTCGCCCATCTGCTCTAATACTAGATTTGTCTTAATTCTTTGATCGGCCATTAGAGATCATCGGCCATTCAAGGCCCCTGTCATAATCCAATTTTTGTATAGAATGGTGTATAGAAATTGATACTTTATTAGCAAATAATGGCGGAACTGCACTGCTAGTCAGTGTACGAGGCAAGCACACCTAAGCGAGATATTTATATATACAGGCTCTTTACCACGCTCGTCCATGCGTTCATACAAGCGATGGAAAAATACCTCTACCGGGAGCCGTGATCTGCTGATACACGCCTGCTCCGTCGGAAGGCTGTCGCGATAGACCAGCCTCAGTTGTCTCAGATATTGCTTCCTCTTCCGAAAAGCCGATGGCTGATAACAGCCCTCCAGATTGCAAATCGCTTTATCTGCAAGCGGAAGATGAACGGAGACGGGAGAATGAGAGACGGGAGCAGGCCGGAAATGAGTGGAGACAGGAGAGAGAGCGCAACCGACAGACCAGCTGCGTGGAATTCATGAACCATTTGCCACAACCTCCTCTCCCGACCGGTGAGAGTCGAATCGCCGTCAAGTTCGACCACAGGGAAAATACCCCTTCCCATTGGAAAGTACTGCCCGACACGATTAGAACATTGGACTGACTGCCCAATGCAACTGTCAGAACTCTACAGGTCCGTCTACAGCTACTTCCTTCTGTGTGTTTTTAAGCCCTCTCTGCTAGGTTTTTGGTAAATTTCATCGAGATTAGCGGCGAAATTTAACATTGGCAAAATTATATATCTTGGGATAGAAACAAGACATTGTAGAAACGGGACCACAACCCCAACCACCTATTCCAACGAAAATACCATCTTCTCCTGATTATCACAAGACACAGTATCAACAGTCCACTTCCACAGATCTTCCTGCTTCGCCACATCATAGCTCGCCTCGCTAGACCTAATCTCCCTCAAGCCCTCATAGTACACACCACTAACCCCCTCAATGTCAGCCCCAACAGCCAACCTAGCCAGCGCGTCACCAGACTCCTGAGGAGTATGAATGTTTGGCGAAAGAAGCAACCGCAAAAGCGGGATGATGTTCGGCAAAACACGCAGCCAGATGAACTTCTCAACTCTGCTGGCTCGTCTTGCCAAGCCCGTCCCTGGCATAAGACCAGGATCCATCGCCGTAACCGTCCAATGTTTCCCGCTCTTCTCGTTGATAGCAGCAAAGCGTCTGTGCATGGCGTATGAGTAGAGGATATTAGCCAGCTTGGTGCTGGAGTATCTCTTGCGTCCGCTGTCTTTGGCTGAGAGGGGAGGCGGGTGCGCGGATTCCTCGGCGGAGGTATAATTCGCATCAGGCAGGCCGGATTTCTGAGCGGGATCGTGTGTTCCGCTGGATACGATCACGATGCGCGCGGTTTCGGCAAGATGGGGATGTAAGAGGGAGAAAAGAAGTGCATGCCCGATGTGGCTGATGGCAAAGGTTTTCTCGAACCCGTCTTCTGTGTACTCAACTTTCCCGGGGAACTGTAGGGCTGCGTTGAAGACGAATGACTGGATTGGCGGGAATTGGTTGGCCTTCCAGTCTTCGGCAAAGGCGCGGACCTGTGCTAGGGAGGAGAGATCTAGTCGTAGGAAACTGACATTTTCTTGGTTGAGGATCTTGTTAATTGATTTGGCAGAGGCATTGGGGTCTGAGCGGGACGCGATTATGACTTTGTGATCTGGATGCTTGCGAGCGATGGCTAAGGCGCAGTAGTAGCCTAGTCCTGCAGTGCCACCGGTGATGAGGACACTGCGCTGATATTTAGAAGGCATTGTGGAAATCATTGATAGAGAAGTGATCAATATAGGGGTGTGCATGGATCGAAGTATAGAAGGTTGATATGTGCAGATGTAGATTGTAGTTCGAGAATTTTTAGACGGATGGGATGGCAGGCTTTATACCCATGAGCTCGGGATTAATGTTAAATACGCTACGGCCAATTATCTGCTTGACGGACATCGGAATTAAGAGTTTGATAGACTCGAAGCACGTAAATCGAACGACGGTCCCGTTCGGGTTAGCGCTGAGTGAAGTGGCGGACAAGCCTGGACGGTCCCGTTCCGGTTAGCGCCAGGTTGAAGGTCATCAAAGCATCATCTCACCCTCATCATCAGCACACTGAAGCGAGAATGGATGCCGAGAGAAAGGGTTCTCTCATATCGGAGAAACTGCTCCATTACTGCCCTGCTTATCAAGTCTTAATCTGCACCACCTGCCGCTACGCAGTCCAGCCAGCGGCCATTCCTCGGCACTTGAAGGATATCCACCATATCCATAGCAACCAACGGCGCCCACTCATCGCATACGCTAAAACACTCAAACTGAAAAATCCTAAAGAAGTGAGGTCCATTCAGCCCGAGGAGTTCCCTCTGCCCTACCTGCCACTTGAGCAGGGATGGTGCTGCGAGGCACAAGGATGCGACTACCTTTGCGCATCTACCAAGCGAATGGAATCTCACTGGTCTGCTCAGCATGGCCGCAAGGGCTACCCAAGCGGTGACTGGAGTGCTGTTCCCTTGCAATCTTTCTTTCGAGGGAATATGCTACGATACTTCACCAACCCACATTCATCAACAAAGCTTGACGGTGATGTGGCTAAGATATCTGAGAAACAACATATCCGACGTATCCGAGAAAAGTACAACTTGGACCCAATCGATGCCGAAGTTCTGGACCATTACTTTTCCTCGTCTTACAAGAGCTTTGTGACAAATGAAACGACAGAGAGAATCTGGCGCGACGTTGTGCCAGATCTGGCATACAATAACCCATTCCTGTTGCGAGGCATCTTGGCCTGTACAGCATTACACATGACGTACCTAAATCGTCCACAGCGCCAGACATACACCCTTCGAGCATGTGCTCACCAAGATGCGGCACTTCCCCAATTTCGCTATGCAATCGACCACCCAGACAAAAACAACTGCGACGCAATCATGTCATTTGCGTACCTGTTGGTCATTCATTCCTTCGCGACGGATTCTGAAAGCACTACAAACTCACTTCTCATTGTGGACGATGCTCACGAAAACTCGGATAAAACAGAACTAATTCTCCCCCAATGGCTGCATTTCATCCGTGCTGGCTGTTCAATGCTCTGCGATGTCTGGGACCGAATAGAAAGTGGCCCGGCAAGCGCACTAGCTTCTGCATGGGAAGATCAGTTTGTTGTTGGAAATGATAATCTGCCTTATCTGGACTATTTTGTGTCTCTGGTCCCGGGTGACGGATCTTGGTCAGACGAAAGTACTGAGATTTATAAGACTGCTGCAAACGCACTGGCTGGGTCATTTGCTTACCTTGAGCGTGCAAAGAGCAAGGCTAATGTCAATATGTGGAACATCCTTGCTGTGTGGCCGATGCGTGTTGAGGTGGCATTTATTTCTTTGCTATCTGAGCGACATCCTGGGGCGCTTATTCTACTTGCATATTACTGCATGATATTGAAAGACGTGGAGGACTGTTGGTACTTCAAAGGCAGACCTGTGAAGCTGCTTGCGTCCATTGCAGATGTGCTGGATGTAAGATGGTATCCTTATATTCAGGAGCCAATTAACGTTGTTACTGGTTCCAAGATAGCCAGATAAAAAACGAACAAGTGGTTTCTATCTTTGATGACTATGACAAAAACGCGTGCCGTTAAATGACCAAAACGCATATGAATAAACCAATCGACCATTGTCTGCCCATTCCCCTTGGACGTCTTTCCAGAACGCCCTTATAGCCTTCTGACAATGAACACCAGGCCGAAGCAGCTTAGATAAGCCAATCATTTACCACCTTTCTTTTGAGAGGTCATAGGATATATACTGGACCTGCAAACCCCTACAACAGGATCTTTCTAGGCTTGCTGGTCAGATATGACCCACCGCACTTCACAAGTAATGTGCCACTTCCTAGGCATTTAGTTTGACTCAGCTGTGGTGCTGACTGGATCCTAAACAATGGCCGTCCTATTGTTGCAGAGAGAATGAGACTAATAGGGAAAGGTCACAGGGCAAAATTAAGGACTTCAAACCGCTTCATCCATTTACTCCAATTTTAGGTAGATTAAGGAGTTATTAGACGATACTATATTCCTAGGAGTATAACATGGCCTAGAAGATCGGTTATCCCAAACTAGTGGATAGAGAATTTGGCTGTTGCTAGACCGGAATGTATACAATGAATTGAACCGAAATGTTTCAACATTAAAGAAAATCGATATTTGACAATTGTAGGCAGGTGTCTAAAAAGCCTAAGATTGTTTATTCACCTCTTTAGTAAACGGGCAATGATCATAGATTTGAAAAACTAGTGTAAACAGCTATAGTACCGTAGGATGATAAGGGATTAACATGTCTGTTGAATAGACCCACCGCGCACTTCGCTATTAAGGTAAGAGGCGTGCCATAGGTCCAATAAGAGTCACATTGTTAATGCCAGTTTTTTGTTGATAGTAGAAATACGAGCGATGCAAAGGGGAAAATATTACATAGGGACGGAGCTAGCAGGTGCACTTTATTGGGGTATGCTCACTTAGGGCGTTCATCCCTATGCTCAGGGTGGGCTTAGTAAGCGAATCAGGGCAATAGTGAGCAGATAAGGGCGCTTAGCGCCGTGCTCAGTTCTACTCAGGGTGCAAGCAGTGAGCACTAAAAAGGACAGAGCAAGCCAAGACGTGCCAGGCATTACCGGTATATATGCAGCTGAGAGGTAGCGGTCAAGGAATACATCGCAGCCAAGAGGTCGCGGTATACTGTAGTACGTGACGGTACCGCTCACACACCTCAAAACCAGGAAGTGCCCCATCCCGAATGGCCCGCCCCGCATTCCCGATGCCTACCCCAGTTTTGCTATCAAAACATTGATGAGAACTCATTCTCGATCAACCACGAGTAAAATTCGGCGCAGTCTCCCGCAGTCTCCAATACCTGCTTCAGTGAGTCCCAGCTTCCAAATAGCACCCGCAAGCTAATCGTGTTGACGATGGTGACCCAGTCCGATGGTGGCAGCTTGCATATGCCTTGGCCGACGTAGCAGCGCGGATGCGTCCCGAACGCGATCTTTTTCAGGTCGGCGCAGGTCGCCGACTTCGCTCCTGTACCGTACGGAATGAGATCGCGTTGTAGGCACAGCATGGTGTTCGTGATCCACGTCTGGCCGCTCTCTGACATTTCAGACCGCACTTTGGTGAAAAGCGAACAATAGTGGAGGCCGTAGCCGATCGGATAGCCATTAGAACCGCATTGCTCCTGCTTCTCGAGGCAGTTTGAGTAGAATGTGCATGTGTTTGGCCGGGGATGTGAGCAACTTGTGTCGTTTCCGAGAGGGGGGGCCCAGCTGGCGAGTTCGTTCTGGGGACTGCCGTATATAGCCGCCTCGCAAAGTCCGAGTAGCGCGAGAGAATAAAAAACGAGGCTCCTCATATTGTTTAACGAGTTCGTAGACCGCACAGAGACTTGAGATGGTGTTGTAGTTGAGCCGGTGGGGGATGATGCTTAGAGCGAAGTGAAGACCTATTTATCACGCCGGGGTTCGTTCATGGAAGCAAGTCCGCTGACGACATCAATGGCCTCTTATATGTAACTCGACGCGATTTGGCCAATGTAAGACAGGGTGGCAAAATTAAGCCTTTCAGGTACATCCTGAAGAAGTAGAGATATGCAGCGTAGGGTTACAACATGGGGCCAGGGCATTTGTGAGCCCACATGGATCATTTGTGCGGACCCTGGAGAATCGATTTTGGTTATAATTGGTTCTTTCAAAGAATCCGGGTTGTGTCCACTAGGGGATCCCGAAATCATTCCTCTATGACGATCCAACATCCCATCGCACTAATATCTGTGCCCGACCCACGCCCCACACTAATGTCTTGGTGTTGATGCTTAGTATGATAATCCAAATTCCCGCACTAATTCCCGCACTAATGCAAATTTTGAAGCTATTCGATCTAATCTCTCATACATCGCTGGTTTCATCTATCCAAAAGGCTGCCGAAGGCCCTCTTTAGCCGATTGACTAGGTTCCATTTTAGGTAACTCATCCCCTATCCTGTCTAGTGTAGAGATCGGCAATGAAAATCCCGCTTTTTGCGCCCGCTTGATGATCGGTTCCCTTTCTGGCTGCGTATGGTCTTGGATTCGTCGACTTGCGTTGCCGACTTTGCGATTGAAATTTAGAAAAAATTGCGACATGCGACAGCTTCTCATCCTTTAATCCCAGAAAAAAACCTTCACTTATCCCAAACCCGACGTTCGAACTTCGCAACCGTGAGGCCTGTCATTAGAACCAAATCCCGGAGATTAGCAGTCTCAATCTCAGTAGCCTCCTTCAACCCATCAATAAAGATAATACCGTCTGGATTCATAATAGCAATAACGGGAGCCACAAGCGTAGACGGGTCCCAGTGCCTTTCTTGGTATCGCAATGGGTTGATCCGACAGACGCGCGTGTCCTTATCCATGGCAAATGGCAGGTCCGCCGGGGCCTTGCCATATTCCGGCTTCCAGTCGCGATAGCACTCCCATAGAAGCGTCACATGGTAAATCTTAGGGAATTCCCGGGCATTCATTCGCTCATGCACGCGCTGGAACTGGTAGTAGGAATGCCAGATTTCATCGAATCGCCAGCGTTCGCTACTCGCCAAGGTAACCCATCCTCGATATCGAAAGCAACATTGGCAACACAGGAATGGGGGATAGTCGACGTCAATACCGCCGACGACGGTCGTCAAATCGAAAGGAACTGGTCTAGTATCTCCACTCTTGAGAAATCTTGTATCGTCCTCGTAGCTGGAGACAATAAGGTCGTTGCAGCTCAGCTTATAAGTCTTGAAGTCTGGCTGTGATAGCGAGATCCCGAAGTATGCGGGGCTCCAGATGTTGTATATCGGGAACAAAGAACCACCTTTCCAGGAAGAACTTTGGTTTAATTGGAAACGCAACTTGGGCTCAGATGAGAATAACCACCAGTTGCTCGTGTTGATCAGCCAAGGCTCAGCGCGAGTGATTCGGAAGATATCTGAACATTTGGGAGTTGGCAGCTCCGGACAATCCTTATTATCATCACTAGACACGGGAAAAATTAGATTCGACGCCGGGGTCTGGTGATGTTCAGGGTTAGTCTCACTCCGGAGTGAGCGTGTCATGCAGAGGACTATTCATCATGTGTATGAACGACCAGAAAAAGATACAAGTTGAGACGTTAATTGAAAGCACACAGTGTGCATCTAATAAAAGTGAATATGCATAGGCAGATGAGCAGCTATATGTAAATGTGGCTTGATGGATTACTGCGTTGAGCGGTGGCGGATGCCTACAGCCGCTGCCCACAATGGCAATTTTTGGCGGCGCTAAGGCCTCATATGGCGTGGTCAGCCAATCAGACTATAAATTTCCCAAGCAAAACATTGACAGCTTCAAATTAGGAAGGCGGTTGGATTGTCCCAGTGTTGCTCCGCCTCGATGGGTTGAAGATGCTGGCAGGCATAATCGATCAGCGGGCCAAGCTAACGTAGAGGCATTACCAAAAGGGTGTGTGTGGATGGAAAGACCTCCTCGTAATTGTGGATTAGGCATCACTCCTCGTGACCACTCGTGGCAGGCTACCCCGGGAAATTCCTGACTCATTCCCTGGGTCAGGCGTACCGTGGTATCGGACGGTTAGTTCCCGTCCTGTCAACTATTAATAGTTCGCATATGCAATATGTTCCGCAACTTCTCACATGTACTATGTCTCCCATATCAGACTTGGGAACATACATTTTTGGCCTATTTGCCAGCTCCCCAGCCACCAATAACCCAGTCAGCGCTCCAGCGGCTCTTATGGATGAACCCCCTAGGCCGCGTTGTCGTACGGACACCGACAGTTCGGACACCCTCACCCTTCCAGATGGACGAAAACTCGGCTATGTACAGTATGGTTCGCTAACAGGGAGGCCTATCTTTTACGTACATGGCCTTCCAGGCTCTCGCCTACAGGCTGCCGGCTTTGATGAGCTAGGCCTGAAAGTAGGCGCCCGTGTCATTAGTGTGGACAGACCTGGTATAGGTTTGAGCTCACCACTTGCCGGTCGGACACTCCTTGATCATCCAAAGGACATAGAGCACCTTGCAAAGCACCTCAAGCTAGATAAGTATAGTGTTTTGGTACGAAGAGCGTATTACTCCTATGAACGTCTGAACCTTTTTGCTAACACTGCACTGCTGGAAAGGGAATATCAGGAGGTGGACCGTATGCACTTGCTTGCGCGGCGGCATTACCTCGCGAAAAACTGAAGTGTGTTTCAATAGTCTGCGGCCTAGGACCGCCTGACATCGGTATGAGTGGGGCAGACTGGGTACACAGACTTGGATTCCCTTATGGACTTCGCTATGCTCCCTTCAGTGTTGTCCGGTGGTTTTGGAGATACGAGGGGTCAGCACGCTTAGATCTGACTGACGAGAAGCGTCTTGAGCTTATGCTTCAGAAGCCAGTCGCTCATGAGAAGGACAATGACTTCATGAAGTCTGGCTGGCCCCGAGTAGCTTTGCAATCGTCTCGGGAAAGCTTCAAGCAGGGTTTTGAGGGGGTGTGGCAGGATGGCAGGTTGGCGTGTATGAATTTCGGTTTTCGAGTAGAGGACATTCGTCCTGAGCTACCTGTGCAGCTGTGGTATGGGAAGCTCGATACTTTCGTTCCACCCAATCATGGTGTGCAGATAGCCGCACGGTTGGGTGGTCGAGCAAATCTCAGATTGGTGGATGAGACCCACGCAAGCATTGTGGTGAACAGGATGGAAGAGATATTGGAGGAGTTGGTCAAGAGCACGTGAGGCATAGATCAAGCCTGTACTATATACTGTACTTTTAGTTTTAAGAGAATCCCATCTCAGTCAAGTTTAGCATTTGAGCTAGTGAAGGAAAATGATAGATAAACTTTAAATATACTCTGAAAGCGACTAGGAGCTCGTATCAAGCTACCTTTGACTGGTACACTGCTTGCCAGATACCCGAGGACGACGCTATCAACCAATGTTCATAGCAGCAAGAGTTGCTACGCAACGACGCTTTACTAAGTGATCTTTGCGGTGTTTATATATGTTCCTATCCATTTTTATCATGTCGCTTTTCTGTTTGGCCCGCTTTAATACGCTATTAAATTGCATATGTCCAACTCGCTAGATTGGGACCAGGAAACTTATGCCAGCAGCTTCGTAGCCGCCTTCATCCTTTCCTGAATAATCGTGCTCCATCTCTGAAAGACGCCAATAAGTCAGCACGATAGAACCGATAACTAAAAGCTCAGATGAAAAACCAACCTTGGCGTTTTCCAAGTTGCCAGCTTCGAGGCTCTCCACAAGTCCGGGGTAGGTGGTGCCCGAATAGCCAGTCCAGATACCGGGGGCGAAAACAACGTGCTTGAACCAGTTACGGCCGTCAAGGCCAGGTTGGTACAGGAACGCGCGCTCAAGACCCTTGTACTTGTCATTTGCGGCGCGGATCTGGAAGAGAAGATGGACCTTCTTCCACCATTTATACCATGGAACGTGCTCGCCGAGCCTCTCGACGAGATCGGCAGTGTACTCGTCAAATTGCCGGGCGTACTCGTGGAAATTGAGAATAGCAAACTCTAGATCTGCAAAGTCGAAGTGTGAACCCTCGGGCAGGTTGTCCGCCGCCGGCTCGATTTGGTGCAGGTAGGTTTCTAACCCCTTGGCGTAATCAGTGGCGCTGAAGGCGATCAACGGTGACTCGACAAGCCGTGCTGCTATTAATGCCCACAGCTTGGTGCACGCAATATGGTAGCTCCAGTCGTGATCACCGAATTTCTCCATACAGGTAAAACTGTCGTAGTTAGAATGATAGTGATAGACGGGGTCAGTCGCTGCGCGAATAAATGCAAAGTCTAGACTGGCGACACCTGCAAAGTCTTGAAATGCGGTGAAGTCACTTCCACTACCCATGGTTCCAATCTCTCCATCCCAAACATCGCGCACCGTCTGGCCGGGGACAGTTTGGTTTGGCGACTGCACTAGGCTAGTGACCTCGTAGATAACCTTGTTTAGGAGAGGCGCGGCGCTAGGATGAAATTCAGTGCCCGCCGCAGCCACATCAACATTTAAGTACGCGATGTTGGCCTTGGAGAGCCAGGGCAGATTATCTTCAACCCACTCGGTCGAGCCAAGAAGACCGTACTCTTCGCCATCCCAGCTAGCGAAGACAATAGTGCGCAGTGGCTTCCATCCGGTCTTCAAAGCTTCACCGAAGCTGCGCACAACCTCGTTGAGTGCTGCAGATCCACTATTAGGGTCGGCTGCACCTCCAGCAATCCATGCATCACGATGATTGCCAAGAATGATCACCTCGTCAGGGATATGTCCTTTGATGACACCAATGACATTCCACACTGGAGTCGTCACGTACTCCTGCTGGTTGTCTAGGTTGATGACCACATCTTCCGGAGAAGGGCCAATGTTGTACTCCACACCCTTATAGCCCAGACCGCCGCCTTGCCAGTCCTTGTTAAAGTCCTCCGCCTTGGGCCCATAGCCATTTAGGGCTTTTAGCAAAGGCAAGGCCTCTTTATAGGACACGGGAAGGGAAGGAATGGACGGAATTGAGTTTTGTGGATCTTGTCGCTCGCACCCAGGTTTGGATGCATACCCGGGTGTAGTTGGGTCACCGGGAAGAGTATCTATGATGTAGAAGTCAGTGATCCACATTCATGAGTCGGTGCATGAATACATACTTATGAACTGTGTGCTGCCCCTCTGGATGGCACTAGGGTTCCGTGCAGGTCCGTTAGGGTAGGTTTCGTAACCATTCTCCTCGGTGATCTCGCCGTCCTCTTGCGGATCACTATAGATGATCACGCCAACCATGCCGAGCTCCTGTGCTCTTTTCACCTTCAGACCACGCAAGATGGCACCGTATTTGACAATCGCAATCTTGCCTTCTAATGGGATACCGGCGTTCACCAGATCCTCAAAGTCCTTGTACGTGCCAAAGTTGGCATACACGAACCGAGCGGTCACGTTGCCAGTAGCTGAATACCCATGGAAAACGGGCACACGATCTGGCAAGTTAGAAGTAGGATCTTCCTCGAGCACATCTTCTTCCAAGGTAGCCTCGAAGGTCACCTCGGTGTTACCGCCTGACTTCTTCAACAGAGCCAGACGATTATCTAGTGGATAGTTCAGGTAGATGTCATAGGTCGCGAGAGTCGTATCTTCCACGCCAAATTCCTTCCATTTCTCCAATGTCCACAGCGCTTGGCTGAGATTCTTGCCGGGCTAGGTGGGGTCCAGCCGTATAGTAAGAGCTCCACTCGCGAACCTTAGCGGCGGACGGAGTGTTCAGGAGGATCTGCTGTAGTTGATCATAGGGGAGTCCGTTGCCTTCTGGCCAGGATGCATGGGGTAGCGGGTGCGCCCAGGGGAGATAAGACCAAATCGAGGGGATCAGGAAGAGGATCACTGCGATAGGGAGCAGTGTACTGAGCAGACGGAGCGCAGGGTGTTGGTATCGACACCGTTGCCGTGCGACATGGACCTCTAGCAGAGGCGTTGTCTCAGAATACTGCCTAGTTTTCTCCATCATCTTCGTAGGAGTCGATAGAGACGAAAGAAAAGAGAAGCGATTGCTCTTCTCCGCGTTGTAGATCATTAACTAACTTAGTTAACTCGCGTTATCGGCTGACCAACCGTGGCCGAGGGATCCATTAGACCTATGGGCTCGCTCTGGTAGGCAATTGTATAGTTAATTTCCTATGTGGATATATGATCCAAAAGTATCTACAATTGCAGTCGAAAACAAATTGTGGACTCACGAATTGTTTCCCCAGCTTGAAGTGGCTAATGTAGCTTTTCTCTCAGCAACATCTAACTGCTCTCTCTCTTAACGTTCTTCAACATATTGACAGCAAGTTCATAAGCCTCATCTCTGGCCTGGACGAGGGCATCGCCCGTAAGCTTCTTGTCAAACCCATGGCCGCACCCCTTCATTCTCCGAATAATTACGTCCCTACCATCAGCGTGACCTTCGCTCTTTGCTCTCTCGGCCAACTCCTCTGACTCGAGCGCCGATGCGTCCATCTCCGCTGTCACGAACAGCATGTTGGATGGAAAATTGGACGTATCCGCAAATGCGGGGGAAATTCTCGGATCGCGAGGATCCATCCCTCTTATGTAGGACTCCCGAAAGATCCTAGTCCAGAATTGGGAGCGCGCCTTTCCGCCCGACAATGGGGCTTTCCTTAGGCTCGGATCCTGAAAGAGGTCTGTCGCGGGATAGAATGCGATCAGAGATTGGAATGTTCCGCGGGGGAATATCGTTGCGGCGGCGGCAAGCGCGAGGGTTCCACCTGATGAAAACCCCGATACGGAGACCTGCGAGGCCTGGTACTCATTCGGGCGGTCAAGCACGTATTTCATAGTATCCTCGAGATCATTGAGAGGTGCGGGGAATGGATGCTCGGGAGCTAGACGATAGTTGACATCAAGCACCACATAGCCGGCGGCGTTGGCAACCAGCCGGCAGAAATGGTCATCAAGGCCGTGTAAAGGAAGCGCGAGGCCAGAACCATATAGATTGACCAAAACTGGGGCAGGTGTCGTACTTTCAGCGCCGTCCGCGCATGGCTTGTAGACATGGACTGTGATAGTACGGTGCTTTTCACGCGATGGGATTCTGAGCACAGAGTCAGGTCTGGGCTTTGGCGACGAGGTAAGGAGCCTAATGATGAGGCGCATAAAAGACACGAGGGCTTTCAGCTGCAGATACCGGACGAAGGATAAGAAGCCAGCCATTTTGAAGATCTTGAGGCAGCGGATTGTATGGAGCAGCGGAAAAGTAAATGAACCCGTAGCGACAAGAGTCAAGTGTTTAGAAGGTAACCTAATCCAGATTAGCGCGTTTGGAGATACGCGATCCATTGCTAGATATACTGTCCCATCCTAGGAAGAACGACGGGCAAGTGTAGAAAATAAGGAAGATGTTATTATCTATCAATCAAACTTAGTGAGAAGAACAGATGATTTTCCATTTCCAAACGCTAAGTACAACCCAAGAGAACATTTACAGAAGAAAGAAATCAGACAAGAAAGAAGATAGAGACAAAATGAAAACGAAGAGTGAAAGAACAGGCTCAAAGAAGGGGTACTCGACAATAATAATGCACCCAGATCGACATGCACAGCATATATCTGATCCATCCATCTATATCGACATCATCCATGCATGACCCAATCCCGAACATGAACATCATCAATGATCTATCGAAGTCCCATAAGAAAGGAAAAGATGGAAAAAACAAGACGTGGATCAAAATCAGCCGTATCGTGCACTGAGACTAGCAAAAGCGTCCGGGCTATGCCGACCGTTCTGCAACCCGTTGATGTCCACACTCGGCTTGGTCATGTGGATTCGAGGGAATGCCGGGTTCCCCGGTGGGCCGCCAGCAGCAGAGGGGGGAGGATTCATTCCCATTCCCATTCCCATTGGCGGGGCAGTACCTGGTGCGCCCGTGCCGGCTGCCATGCCGATACCGAGACCCGAGGATTGAGGGAAAGGACTGACGCCTGCTTGTGCGGCGAGACCGGACCCTGCGGGCGCGGCTCCGTTGGTCGCTCCGTTAAAGGGGTTACGCGATGCCATGAAGGACCCGCTGGTTGGTTGAGGGGAGGGCATAAATGAGCCGGGCTGAGTTTGCGGGGTGGAATTGAGGGAGTTTGTCAGTGGTGGCACGGGGCTGCTGCCATTCAAGCCATTCGCGGGCTGCTGTTGAGTCGGGGGTTGTTCGGGAATAGGAGGGATGTTCAATTGGGAGGGGGCGAGGTTGTATAGAGACAAAATGCTGTTTTTGTCCATGCGGCCGGTGCCTTGCGGGACCAGTTGCTGTGGCTGCTGGGGTTGGAATTGTGATTGGAACTGGGGTGGGAATTGGTTTGGGTAGGAACCAGCGCTCTGTGGGGTAGCTGGTGCTGTTGCCGATTGGAAGGGATTGTAGGAACCCTGGGCAATACTCTGTGCTTGTTGTTGTTGCTGCTGCGGCTGAGATTGGGATGAGGGCCCCGGTCCAAAAGGCGAAGTGCCGAATGGTGAGGTCGAAGACATCACTGGCATCGTGTTTGCGTGACGAGGCGGGGGAAATGGGAGAGTAGGCACTGATGTTGACGTAGCCGATTGAGGCTGCGACTGTGGCTGCGACTGCGACTGCTGGATCGAAGAGTTTTGCGGGGCAGCATTGAAGAACGGGTTGGTCTGCTGTGACAAGGGACTCGGATAGGGCTGGTTGGACGTGCTAGCTTGCGGCTGGGGCGCTGTTTGGAAGAAAGGGTTGAAGGAGTTATCCACTGGCTGCGGAGAGGAGGCGTAGGGATTCTGATGAGAGAATGTCGAGGTCACCGGAGGAGTGAAAGGCTGCTGGTACATAGCCTGCGGCATGGATCCGCTGTTGTTCGGATATCCACCAGTCGAGTGCGGGAACAACGGCCGGGACACCTGCAGATTCTGGAAAGATGACTCCAACGGCTGCGCAGATTGGGGCTGCGGAGTTGGCCGATCGAATGGGTTGTACGACGCCGACTGGGGCTGGCTTGGAGGCTGGCTCTGGGTTTGGCTCGCCCCTGCCCGTTCGAAGGGGTTGGTGGATGTGTCCAACTTGGGAGGAGGCACCGGACGTGCAGATGCAGTGGATGCAGTGTTTGTGATCGAAGCCGGAGTCCTTGCACCTGACGCCGGATTACTTCCCTCGCCCAGTCTCACCAGAGTCTCAACCGCCCGGTCCAAGTCCTCATTGAGCCCTCGAAGAACCGTTTCATTCCGCTTATCATTGTTGAACCCCATCTCGCGCAGAGTGGCCATTTTGGACTCGAACGACGCAGTGGTCACATCGGCGACAGGCGCCCCAAGGCCCTGCGTTGGTCTTTGGGGGAACGCGGGTGGGTTGTAGTCAATGTCTGACTTGCCCTTCTTGCGACGCAGATTGGAGGTCGAGGATGCCGAGCGCAGACCAAAGCCAAAAAACTTGCCGGTCTTCGGTGGTAACGGAGGAGGCGAGCCTTCGGGAGATGGAGGATCGTCCATTGGATCCGGGAGCGGCTTGACGAAACTCGCACCTTCACGGCTCGGAGGTCTAGGCTTTCCGTTCGCCAATGTTCGATGCTGGTATTTCTGTCGGATGAACCGTTCCATGCACGCGTCGGCCTCGTCAACGTCTGCTGGAATAGATGGCTTAACGTTCCTCGGGTTATAGATCTTGTTCGCGAGTATATTGCCGTTGGATTTCATATTCTAGGTAGGGGACACACACAATCCCGTCAGCTCCGGTATTTCCAGATGCAATGCACAAGGACCCTACTCACGTCGACTTGCTCCGACGTCCACGTATCCATAGTCAGCGACTTGACCTTGGAGATGTGCGTGCCCAGCTTGCGGTGCAGCGCGGCGCAGCGCATGCAGAGGAAGATGCCCATCTGTCGGCGAACGGTCAGTCTGCGGGGAATAATTCGAATGCTAGCCACCGATGATCACATACGTTCCAGCTCGCCCATCCTGGAAAACGATGTTAGTCTCGGGGGATCCGTTGCGTTCGGGGTACGGTCTGGGACACACCTGGGGTCGCAGCACCGCAGTCGGCACAACGGTCATTGCCAGGGACCACGCGGAGCAGTTCCGCGAGGGCCTTCTCATTGCGCTGCTGCTGGCGCTTGCTGATGCCCGTCCGCATGATGTCGAGCGGGGCGGAGTGAGAGCTCAGGGCAGGATAGGGGAAGGTGAAGGAGGAAGAGTTCGTTCCGGCTATCCGGGGCGGAGAAATGCAGAGGGGCAAAAGGAGTCCAGTTGGTCGATCGGTTGCAGAACCTGACGGGCAAGAATGTGTCGATCAGGGATGATAATCATGGATTTTACAATGATGGCATAAAGATCATGGAGAAATAGTCGCAAGGAGGAAGAATGATAGCATTGTATTATGGGATTCCTGGTCTACATAGGTCCCCGTCTCTTTCCAGAACGCCCCTGGAAACCGCGCGTCATCAGGAGATTCTCCCGCTGAATAATCTCCGAGATTCTACACAATTGCATGTCCGGGCAGCAGGTGACTCGCATCCACCACTGCGCTGAGCAGCACCGAGGCACCGCCCAGAGCCGTCGAGGAGCCTTAAGATGCCCAGAGGTTCCTTCTAGTACGCCAATATGACCTGCCATCCTATGACGGAGAGGAATTGGAGGTTGATTATGCGTTCGTAATTTTCATGATTTAGTGTGAAGAAGAAAAGAGAATGGAGAATCACACCCGAGAAGAAAATTAACGAGTGATGTCACGTGAAAGTGGTCACGTGGCGGTCGGTCCATTTCTTCCCACTTTTCCTTTTTTTTCTCCTTTGCTTTCATCCATCAACTCAACACAACAACAAGACAATCATGCTCGGCCTCAGTGTGCGATTGATCCATCCGGTGATGTTTTAAGGATGCCATTCACACTCGAGTCCCGAGACAGACCATAGACACACCCACACAGCCCGCGTGGTGCCCTTCTCCGTGGCACCCGACGCTTTGCTATTTTATCGTTATCGTTCGTGGGAGATCGAAACCAAACAGTTTTTAGCAGAGCTGCGTCTACTCCACCCTGGTGCTTGCTTTCAGTAGAGCAGCAGGACTTTTTTACGACGGACATTTCAGGAAGAATTTCAATGCCACTTCTCTTTTTTTCGCACCTCTTCCTATTATTGGGACCGCTGTAGCCATCTCCCTCTGCTCTTCCGTCCTGTAGTAGCCGTCAATTGAACCTATAATGTTGTTGGTATCTTCTGCAGCCGGCCAGACCCCTACACGGAGTGATTCTACCTTGTAGATGAACCGGATGAGGGTCTCCTTAGTTTATTCAAGGGTGATTCGCAAGCTACCTAGTATCATCCTAGGCGTACTTTTGTGCCATCGACCTAAGATAACAACAGCAGTCGATGTATGAATCCCGTGGATCTTGTCGCCGACTATCCGATGATGTGATGGGGTCCCTGGATGACACCAATAATATATATTCGAACCCTCGGGCCAGCCCAACCCACGCCACACACGCGGCGCAGCCAGGGATCACCAAGTATAGTTATGCGATGGCAACAATGATTATTAACTATGGCAACTATCTTTCCTATCTTGTTCTCAATTACTCAGATTCCCGACCTAGAACCCTCCATGAGTCAGCGCCACATCGGAGTTCCGGTGGGCCCATTGTCGGCCGGGTGTGCCAGTGAGCGTGTTCCTGTTGGTAAGACCGACCCGCTGCCCGGTGGGACTCTTGTCAGTTCTGGCGATGCCCTCGGAGAATGAACCAGCGGCAATTAGCGGGAAAGAGGTGTCTCTGGGCTGCGCTTTATGCCGCGAAGGCAGGAGATATAAAGAAAATAGAGCGACGGTGCATGGAGGAAGGCCGATCAAACCATTTAGTCCACCAGAGCTGTGTAGATATAGTTAACCGAGGCCCGCTACCAGTGGTTGTAGGAATTGATGGGCAGGGCTGGTCGGTACAAGTACTGCGCCTGCCCTCCCCGGGTTCTTCCCTCTTCCATCCCATTCACACTCTCTTGTATTCTCTTCTTTCCCACCCACACTCCCTCCTACCGTCACAATGGCTTCCGCTGCCCGCTCTGCTTCTCGTCTCCTTCGCTCGGCTCCGGCCTCCTTCCGTCCCGCGGCTCGCAGTGCCCGCTTCGCCCTTCCCGCGCAGGGTGTCCGTGTCGCGGCCCGTCGTGGATATGCCTCCGAGGCCGGCTCGGACAAGTCTTCTGGTGGCTCCGGCGCCATCTGGGGTATCGGTCTGGCGGCCGCTGGTGGTGCCGGTCTGTACTTCTACCTGAACGGTGAATCCACGCCCAAGGGTCCCTTTGTCCCTACCAAGGAGGACTACCAGAAGGTGTACGACGAGGTCGCCAAGCTTCTGTCCGCTGAGACCGACTATGATGACGGCAGCTATGGCCCGGTAAGCAACGACGGTCTTCGCAGCAGACAGAGTGAGGGGCTAACACTTTGGTGTCCAAACAGGTTCTCGTCCGCCTCGCCTGGCACGCCAGCGGCACCTATGACAAGGAGACCGGCACCGGTGGCAGCAACGGCGCCACCATGCGATTCGCTCCCGAGTCGGACCACGGCGCCAATGCCGGTCTGAAGATCGCCCGCGATTTCCTCGAGCCCGTCAAGGCCAAGTTCCCGTGGATCACCTACTCGGACCTGTGGACTCTGGCCGGTGCCTGCGCCATCCAGGAGCTGGGTGGTCCCCAAATCCCCTGGAGACCCGGCCGTGAGGACAAGGACGTGGCCGCCTGCACGCCGGACGGCCGTCTGCCCGACGCCGCTCAGGGCCAGCGCCACATCCGCGACATCTTCTCGCGTATGGGCTTCGACGACCGCGAGATGGTCGCTCTGATCGGAGCGCACGCCCTGGGCCGCGCCCACAAGGACCGGTCCGGCTTCGATGGTCCCTGGCAATTCAGCCCCACGTCCTTCAGCAATGAGTTCTTCCGTCTCCTCGTTGAGGAGAAGTGGAACAAGAAGAAGTGGGACGGCCCCGTTCAGTTCACCGACAAGTCGACTTCCACCCTGATGATGCTGCCCGCCGACCTGGCGCTGGTCAACGACCGCGGTTTCAAGAAGCACGTCGAGCGTTATGCTAAGGACAACGATGCCTTCTTCAAGGAGTTCTCCGACGTCTTTGTCAAGCTGCTCGAGCTAGGCGTGCCGTTCAAGACCGAGGACCGCTTTGTCTTCAAGACTTCCGAGTAGAGGGTGGGTGGGTTGAGCGCTGTTTGACTGTTTTTAGATATCCTGAAGATTCCTGTCTGTTCGGCAGAGACTGTTAGATTGTTAGATGGACCGTTAGATGTTAGAATGTATAAATTCCTTGTTTGTCCGTGCTCCTCTACAATGCCGTGTCAAGGGTGGTGGTGGTGGTCGTTGTTGTGAAGTGTAAGAGTGGCGTCTCCCGCCCGCCATTACTTTCTCGGGTTTCTTTTCACTCCGCACCTCCCAACAAACCCCCGCCCTCCCTATTTAAGTACCCCAGGAATTCATTCGCTTGGATCCCTGGCCGGGCGGTTGGGCCTCTGCGCTAGTCCAGTGCTACATCTGCACTAACCCCGTTGAACACCACCACCACCTGGCGACACCTTCAAGAATGCCCAAATCAGCCTCCACCGACGCCGACTACTATGCGATCCTAAACCTGCCCTTCACGGGCTCCTCAGGCCCCATCCTCTCCAAACAGCAGATCAAGCTTGCTTACCACAAAGCCCTGCTCGCGCATCACCCCGACAAAGCAAGCACGGTCGCCTTCGCCGACGAACCTGCACTTCAAGGATCGATTCCCCATCACGCACCAGGACAAGGAAAGGCACAACTGCGAACCTACACGATCGACGAGATTACCACCGCCTACAAAACCCTCTCAGATCCCTTCCTGCGCGCAGACTATGATCGCGCGCTACGCTTAGACCGGGCGAAAGTCGCGGAGCGGGAGAAGACGGGCGATGTGTTTCACACGGGCCTGGAGATTGTGGACCTAGAGGATCTGGCGTGCGATGAAGATGGTACAGACGCGACAATGTGTTGGTATCGTGGCTGTCGGTGCGGCGATGAGAGGGGGTTCCTGGTTACGGAGGCTGATCTCGAGAGAGAGGCTGAGCATGGTGAGATCGTGCTCGGGTGTCGTGGGTGTAGTCTTTGGCTGAAGGTTCTTTTTGCGGTTGAGGATGGGTGAAAGGTTTGCATGCTTGACGAATGTCTTCTTCAGTCTGTCTCTATGGATAGGCTTTTGCTCGATCTGATATCGCCTGGTTTCGTCCTGTCCGACTGGTGCGGTTCCCACTCGCAGGTTACGCTGGTTTGTTCCGGGCATTCGGTGCGCTAGGGTGAGGAAACTTCGCTGGCACAGTCAACCTTGCGCCGCTTTCTCTGGACTTTTGCGGGACCGGACCAGGCGAGTGATGCTTAGGGCATGCATTCGAGTGCTCCTCGGGACAGAAGTTCCGTCTCAAATGTCTTCGCCCACGCTATGCTTCTTCTTACACTGGATATCATTCACGGGGAGTTGCAAGTGTTCAAGTTCAAGGGCTCGTCCTTACTGCTCAGTCAACCAGCAGGCTAACGGTCTCAATGGTCTCATCCATAAGCCCATTCGGATCCTGGTGAATCTTCATATGGAATGAATAGACATATGTGTTATGATAATCATGAACTCCAATGGTTTCGCTTGTTCTGGCCATTTCCAGTATACACTTGAGTATCCAGTGGCTGAGATCAAGATATATATATATGTATCGAGCAAGAATAAATACTTGAAGACATGCCGAAAGACAAAAAAGAAAGAGTATTCATTCTATGAGAGAATACATAAATCCACCCTGACGGGGTTATGGTTGATTTGGATAGTGGTTGCTGCAGTCGAGAGGTGGATGACATACACCGCGACAGACCCAACAACAACCGCCATTTCCCCTTCGTCATCTCTTCTCACCTTCGTCACCTTCACCTCTCTCTCCCTCTCCACCCACCATGCCTCCCATCGAAATTACATCGTCAGAGCAATTCAACTCTCTGCTCACGTCCTCCCGGTTCGTTGTCGCCGACTGTAAGTACTGTGCTCGTGCCCCGCGCCGAATCATCGACCCCGCGGCCATCGCTCTCCCACCAACTTGACCCGACCTCGAAGCTGACTTCTCGGATATCCAGTCTATGCCGACTGGTGCGGGCCATGTAAAGCAATCGCTCCGGTGTACGACTCGCTGTCCACGCAGCTCTCGCGCCCCAACCACATCACATTCACCAAGATCAACGGGGATCAGCAGCAAGCGCTCGCCCAGGCGTATTTTGTGTCAGCGTATGTACATCTACAAACATGACAAGAAACTCTCGGCGCTAATCATTACACCTATTCAGATATCCTACCTTCATCGTGTTCGAAAATGGTCGCAAAACCCAGACAGTTCAGGGCGCCGACCCTCGAAAATTGAACGAGGTCATCCAGAAGCTTGCGTCCGAAGCAACCAAGTCGGACAGCGCGTCGGGACAAGCTGGTGAGGCAAGCGGATCGGGCGGCACCTGGCTGGGTGCTGCTGTGCCCAGGGGATATAGCGACATCACCGACCAGGTCGATCAGAAGGGACTGGAGCTTCTGAACCGGGACAGCCAACACGCACTACCAAAAACGCTCTTCGAAGCCTCGAAGCCGTCCGCCCTGGCAGGCAAGGGCAAGGCCGGTGAAAAGGACTGGGTCGAGAGCGACACCGACGAGCAGCTGATGCTCTACATCCCGTTCCAGTCGACGCTGAAGGTGCACACTCTTCATGTGACCTCATGCCCTCCCTCCGCCGACGACGCCGAAGACCCCGACGAAGTGCCAATGCGACCCAGGACCGTCTCACTCTACACGAACCGCTCGCATGTGCTTGGATTCGACGAGGCGGAGGATACGGTTGCCGTGCAGACAATTGAAATCAAGCCCGAGGACTGGGACTCCAAGACGGGGACGGCGAAGCTGGATCTGCGGTTTGTCAAGTTCCAGAGCGTGACCACGCTGGTCATGTTCTTTGTCGATGGCGACGGAGACAGCGACAAGCTGCGCGTGGACCGCATTCGCATCATTGGCGAGGCGGGCGAGAAGCGCGCGATGGGCAAGCTGGAGAAGATTGGCGACGAGCCTGGCGAGTAACTTCTCCAAGACGCTAAAGATTTCACCGACACGAGCCAGTTCAATGACCCAGCGAGCATATCCTACTACAACAATAAAGAAAGCCAAGAACACATTGATTGAATCGAATTGAAGTGCATTGTACGCTAGAAGTAAAATATAAGACAAGAGCAGTGCTCGAGTCAGGGTATGTCCGATCCCAAACCAAATGGTCTCATCCTTGAACGATCAGAAAGACCAATAAAGTAAGAACCGGTGTGCAATTCCGTTCGTCTGTGACGCAACTGACACCTGGTTTAACATCACTGAAGAGATGTCCAGGCAACACGGGTGAAATAGTAGTTGCGCCGCCGCACGAAGAAGAAAAGAAAAAGAAACAACCGAGTTTTGCGGCGGGCGAGTTTTATGGTGGGCGAACCGGAAGATGGTTGTTCCAGTGGTTACGTCAGCAGACCCAGCAACATTGAACATTTTTTTTTCTTCGCTTGTTTTTCTTCTTTTTTTGCTAAAACAATTTATGGCTGATGATGAGCTCAATGGATTTCATATGATAGGAAGAGACTGACTCCTTCTGGGAGCGTGATCTCACTTTAACCATATCCTGAGGCCTGCTTGTTTTGGTGTCTTTGTTAGAATCCGGTGAATATCAATCGATCGGTAGGGACAGTTGAAGCTGTTCTCCAAGGGATCAAGTAAAGTCTTCTGGAGCAGAGTATGCGAAAGAAGATTCAGAGAACAGAGAATATCATGACTGTCATGTCAGTTTCCAGCGTCCGTGTTTTGTTTTCGTGAAAATGTTCTCCAGGGACCTGGAGGAATGATACAATTTTCTCTCCAGCTCCTAGCCGAGCCAGCATGGCGACATTAAGTTCGCATCCACTGGACTCACTGGTCCTCGTCTTCTCTGACGCATCATACGATCGCGGCTGAATCCGAATCTTGGATCTCGTGGAGCCATGATTGTGTATCGTATCGATCAATCCAGGGCCCGCATCATCCACTTTGGGAAAACAGCGTAAACTGCACCGAAGGCTGCCGCCTCCATCCGAGATGAATTGGGGAGGATGGTCTTTGGCAGCCTGGCTGTCGGACAGTACCGTTACTCCAAGCAGCCATGAGCTGGATGCCCGGATGCCATCTTTCTCCACCATAGATTCGTTTCGGCGCGTGGATTATGTCGGCAAGCTCATGCATGTGTACCGTCGGCAAGACCCACGGACTGGAAAGAGACAATCCGAAATGCATCCGAAGATGCATAGTAGATCCGAGTGATGGGCCGGCTGAAACAATGTATATCTGTACAATGCTGCCGCACCTAGAGCCTGGTTAGCGAGGACCTCTGACCCAAGGTTCCCTAATGGGTCGGCAAATTTGCAGAACATCATCCCATCTTTAATCTCTGCATGGTCGTTTAATTGAGAGACCCGCTGTTTCTGGGCATCCTCGACGCGAGAAGTGTGCGCTACACATTATTCACACTAGAAAATCAACATGGCTCGAGCTGTGGACAATATCCACCGGCCAGCGGGCCGTAGATTTTTTTCCCGCTGATAGAGCATAGCTGAAAGAGACAGATCAGAACATACCCGGCAGATCGAACTAGAACACTGTAATGCAATGCATCTGCTGAAGGTATTGATGGCAAGTAGTGCTGCGGCTGTGATAGGACATGCCGGGTTTTCAGTTCAGCTCTGCACTGCAGGCTGAGCACACACTGCGCCAACCAATCTTTGCACAGCACCGACTCGCCGTCGGACGACACGCCCGCTTGCTTCAGCACGCATGCGCTCAGCTCATGGCAATTTAATCTGTTACGTACTGGGACGGCTCAATTTTTCTGAGAAGGTTGAGTAACTTCTCGAAAACTTGGCACTGCCGACAAGCCACGCATCTGCAATGTTAAGCTAAAAAGTACACGGCAAGTCTCCGAGAAGTAGAATGGAGCCCGACGGCGATCGCGATGGCGCGAGAGAGCAAATTACTGCGAACGCCAGACACGTGCCTAGGTTTTCTTTTGCAGGGATCATCCTCTCTAGGTTTTTTTTTTTTTGGGTATGTACTCGGTGGATACGGGACCATATGCGTATCCACTGCGAGCGGAAGATTCGCACACAATGGAGACGTGAGGACCACATGGGCACAGTACTTGTTATTGAATGGTTATTTGAGCTATCGGGAATATTCAGTCCTCGGTTTGGAACCACACCGGAACCAGAACCACGAAATCGCACAGAACGTAGATGATAGTGCTGTGTGCGACGGAATTGCATCATCGCCGGTGCTGGGGATCTTGCACGGGTATTAATTAGGACTCCAGTCGTACCATAGATCGAGAGTGTACGGGCGGAGATACGACATCTGCGTGCTATCTTATGGAAGATGTCGTGTCCATAATTGCGACGGCGGTAATTGTGGTCGTTAGTTTCAACCTAAAGATCTTATTTGTTGGGTATGGTTCGTACAGTAGTGTCAGTCCAAACACACCGACAGAGCAAAGACCAATGGAAACTTCGAAGCAAATTGGCCGAGCTTGGCAGTATCGTATGTACAAGGACGCTCCCATTCAGACCCAGAACTCTGACCACGGCTCGTAGTCTATCTCCGCATTTTCGATCGTGCCGAACAGAGACATCATTCCTTCAGATCGCTATCGCTTGCACCGAACTGGCTTTCTGATAGGATCCACGAAGCTTTCGACCCAGAAGTATTGTGGGAACAAGTGGAGATGAACAGGCCCATCCTTCACCCGCCCGCTCCACGATACGGAAAAAATCTCAATCGCTGCAGATTGCCGGTGGCAGGATTTGGGGAAAGAGAACTAACCACTAGTCAACTAATTTAACTTACAAGGTGCATCCAGAAAATTCCATCATTGGACGGGTAAGACCCTTTTCGGCCCTTCTAACATCCTCGGAACACGGTGGCTGGGGGGATAAGCAGCAGATCTTTCCCGAAGCTTCCAAATCCCACGTTCCGACGGCAGCGATAGCTCAGTGCTAGTCAGTAACAGCTAGCTAGCTTCGTGGTGGCGTGGGTTGGGTTGTCTACGGCGACCAGTCCCAAGGTCCTTCTTGGAAAAGCAGGTCCCAAGCGATAACAAGCTAGCAAGGCCGATCAAATAGGGGAAAAAAAACTGGAGATTGGTCCCGTCTGGGAATGGCGTCGGGAAAGCCAGCCAGTGGGCGCGCCCCGAGGTCCTTTTGGCTCCTTTTTCCAGGCACGGTGAACTGTGGTTCAGAGATCTCGAGTCCGGAGAAACCGTCCGGATTGATTCCATTAGCCCGCACGTGCGCTGCAACCCTAAGTTGTATTGAGATCGACTGTGTGCATCGACCCTGCGTTTGGGGGGCGTGCGCTTGCTCGTCCATGGATACATTACGCTGTCAGCCTTTTCCGTGGGATGTGTAGCCGAGTGAGTTATCGCTCCCACCCCCCGCACAGTTCGGTGTGTATCGCTTGGTCGCTTAGTTACGGTTTGAGGTGTAATTAGGCAAAATGCTACGCAAACCCAGCCACATGCTTCTGCTCCGAGGTTCGGTCCTGGGGTTCCGGATGGATGGTATATGGCGAAATTATTATTGTGGCAAAACTGCGTCAAAGGACCGTTTGGTGCCCTGTGCGCGCCTCTAATTTTGCCGCTGGGCGTTCTTCCAGTCTTGCGATAGGACACTGCGCAATGTGTACACCGTGTCCACGATTCAAGTCTGACATGAGACAACCAACACAAGACACTCACTCTACAGCAGTAAGACAAGCCACACGCCGCATCAGCGAGATCCTACACTACTCTGTACAGTACATGAATCAGAAACGCCATCTGTATACACGGTAGCAGAATTTAGTATCGCCTCCTATCGACCTAAAGCCTAATTGGCTACCCGGGCCTCGTCGTGGTCTCTCCACCACCTTCTCGTTCCAGTATGGTTTGAGAATCCAAAAGACGCCACACCGAAGCGCTTAGAAAAACAAGCAAGTGCAACACGAAAACACAAAAGTATCGGCTCCGCATGGCATGGGGGCGCGACGACCTCGTGCGCGCAATTCACCCGGGCGTCTGGCGTTTGACTGGCGCGGGCGTGAGAATAATGGGTCTCGAATCCTCAAACGCCCGGACTTCGCCCGCAGGATGGCCAGTACAGTTATCGGCGGGTGGGCCATGGCCCCGGCGCACTAGTAGAGAGACAAAGGCGGACACGGTGAGCATCCAGGCACTGTTTCAGATTCTGTCTGCCAAAACGTCGTGCGGAATGGTCCGCCGCACAGACGTACTTCCTGAGCTACGTGCTGGCCACAAACTAAAAAATCCCACCGGGCCGGATTCTCCACATGGACTATGGATGGAGACCATACATTAGTTTCTTGGGGAAATTGAAATGATCTGCGCATTATCAGAGTCAAATTGCTGTCGATGGTCGGGATTAGCTTCTCTTATGGGCGTAACTAGCTGTGGTCGAATTATTCTAGCGTCGGGGGTGAGTTTACTTTCGTTGTTTACTATACTTTGTTTACTGTAGAGTTTTAAAAAAACGAGACAAGTGGTACGGATCCGAAAACCATGCATGTTCGACCGTCGCTATCCGCTTGGTTCAGATTGGATTGACGAAGACAAAAGCCCTGGCTTGCTCCGCAGTACTGTATTGCCAGGGCCAGTATGATTGATCCATGAAGCTGGCCTCATTATTCGTCCCGGGGAAGCTGCTCTGCTCCACTAGGCCACATTATTGGATTTGCGAAGCTTTCTGGTCTATTTGACGCCTCGGTGGTACCATGTGAAGTCTCATGAGGCGAAAAAAGTAATAATTGATTACTACTGAATTGAACCCTGCTACTGTAAGTTGCGGTGGCAAACGAACGAACACTATTCACACCAAGCTCGAGCACTATTCGCCTGTAAATTCTGTAAATCCCTCGACGAGGGATCCACTTTCTTGACACGGGAATATCACTCCGTCTGACTAGTCCAGAATCCGCAATCCCTGGCGTGCGGTGCGGCGAGGCGTGCTTGTTGGAGGGAGGTAAGCTTTAGGCAATGCATGGGAGACGTCAACTTGTCCGTTTGGGAAGACCCTTGCAGCAGCTTCGTTGTCCAAAATGTGGTGCATAGCATCTTTTGTACATGTATAATTTGACTCTTCCCGAAGAGTCGACAGGTCAACTCCAAGGTCCTCGTCACTCGGGAACAAGCATGATGATCGCCAACGGTTTCTCGCATTTCTGGGTCAATGCTGCGAGTGTGATTTGTCGAGTGAAATGAGCATCGTCACGCCCTCCCGTCGCAGCCGTTTACAATCGCACGGTCTTTTCGTAATTGCTAGTTATAGTAGTAGACTATTCCGGGCAACAATTTGAATAATCCATGGGCGACGAGCCCCATTTGCGTTGATCCACTTGCCAGGCACGGGGACCACTTGGATGGCTGAGGCGAGCCATAATATTGGACCATCCGCGCATCCTCCAGTTTTATGGGTCTCCACCGAGTTACAGTCAGTCTAGAGCAGCCGGTGTAGATTACAATCTCGTCTTCCCACAGCTTCTTCTGCGATTGTTCGTAGTGTTTTCTGCTGCTCGTATTCCGTCCCGTCCCGTGTATGAAGTCATTCTGAACCGTTCAGTTGTTGTTTCTATTTTTTGTTTCTCGGATAGGTCTCAGCTGCGGTGGAGGGATGAAGGGCTCCGATTCAGTTCATTCAATAGGATCATCCCTCAAAAATCGATCCTCCATCTGTGGGACAACGGTGGCGGCGGCAAGGATTCGGGAGGAACGTTGACATGGAGCAATAGCGCAGTCCCGAGCACATGGATCAAATTTGGGATATTCCCTTCAGCGTCCTCGTCGAGCATTGGTTATTACTAGCTGACAATGTAGGTTACCAAACTAGGTTCTGGAACCACATATGACAGCCTTCCATGCATGCTTTTTCCGTCTTCCAACCAGCTGGATCATCGTCACTACGTCTGGGAGGGAAAATAGTGGACTTTGAGGACTTGTGGACACCAATTTCCAGTGATAGCGTCATTGGCTGGGGAAGAGTGGAAGGCCCGCCCGAGCCGAGCGCTAACCTCAAAAAGCAAGGAAGTGGGCCTCGCGCTATGTTTAGCGGCCAATCGAGCACAGTGAAAGTCTGCGATGGGCCTCAAGCAGGAATGATGAAATCCACTGAATGTCGAGGGCAGGTCTGGACTCGATCACTTAAAAAAAGAAAAATTTCATCAGTGGTAGGTTATGTGCCACAGCCGAGCAATGATCCAAGAATTGGGACCAGACCTTGCTTGCTTGCGTGGGCGCGCAGATGGCTGTGTGTTGTGCTGGGAGGGTGCCTGTCTGTCGGCCATGGTTGGTGTGATGTCCTATCCAGTATCGACGGATCACACAGGCAGCTTGTGTTTTTCCCCGGATCTGCTGTACTGATCACATCACTGCACAAATGGGACGAGTGGTTTTCGCGACCTGGCTGAGAGCCGTTGCCCAATCGCGACAGAGCCTACCAGTGCGATGACATGGAGGTGCAGTAGGTCTGCCTCGGCGGCTGCATGGCCATCGCTGATTTGGGGCGATGAACCAAGAGCAGTATGTACTGTAATCTGGAGCCTTGCCTCTCACGGATGCGCCCGCGGCCAATCAGCAAGCGGGCGGCCTGTGCTCGTTTCCAGGCGGTTCCTGCAGTAGGCCGCGTAACTTGGCCGGTGGACAGGCCGTGAATGCGAAGGATGGCCTGTAATCGGTCGCCGGGAGACCTGAATAATGGGTTGAGGAACCGCCGGGCAAGAGAAAAACCGTCAACTGGACGATCCATGTGGCGAACCAAGCGATCCTCGGCTTGGGTGTTGCACTCGTCGCTGGGATCATATGAAATTGTCACTAGCGGAGACGACTGCCGACCGTTTCACGATCGCGGTGGTCGCACGGTGTGTGAGTGTGTGTACGGATCTGCGTATGGAGATACCACACCATACAGATAGGGAAATGGATGGACCAGCGCGGGATTATCGTGGGGCCAAGCGAGGGCTGCTGCGCCCACGGGCAACGGCCATTGGCCCCCAAGATAAGCCCTCGTGCGTTGCCTTCCAACATCTCTCACATTTGTATGCACCCACCTACAGTAGGTGAGGTGAGGGTGAGGTTCGTACATATTCCTCGATATTGTGGTCGACTCCGTTCCCCCTCTCATCACTATCACATTTTGCCTTCCTCTAGTCTTCTTCTCTCTCCGCACTACCAATACTCGTGCGGACTCCACCGTCTAACCACTTTTAGACAGTGGCCGAGTGGGTTCATAGTTGGCCCGATACAGGATGGGCACTCCACCGTGATTGGACCAGTCTTGGATGCGCCCCACGGCCCTCCGCTTCCTACGGGAACTGAGCCCTCGCCCTCATCATAATCATACCCAATCCCGCCCCGGACTAAATTACCATACAGCGGGTACCACCGATAATAAAATAATTATAAATCCATCAAATAAAATAATAATAGTGTCTTCCGTCCGAGTGGGGCGAACACTAAGACCCGGCAGTGGAAAGCAGCACCAGGCAGATCACCTCTTTTATCCACCCCGTCACCCTCTGCGCTGGGTTATGCCTCTCTTTTTCAGACCAGATTGCCCATCCTGGCCCTGTCTCTCTTTTTTCCCCGTTTTTTCTTTTCTCTATCAACTACTAGTATTGTCGGTTTGACTTTTTTGGGTTTCGGGATTCCTTCGACTGATTATTTTGGATCCGTCTCGTCCTTTCCTTTCCTCACTTGTCTGTCTCTCGGTTCCTGACCCCCCCAGGTCAACCTGTCCTTCATTTACTCCAAGTGCCCTCGTCCACCGATCTATCGATCTGTCTAATTGTCTTTCTTGCTTGGCTTGTCCATTCCACTCCTTCTGCTAAACTACACACTCCTTCTCTCGCCTGGAGAACCTATCCGTTCGCCCAGGCGCATTTCACCCAGTCCGTTGCTTGTGCGACAGGATTGACAGGAAAAAAAAATAACAAAGATCCTAATACCAGGTGAGTCTTGATCTTTTACAACACACCGCGTCGCAGGCGTAAAGACTGATCCGTGTCTAGAAATGGAAACAACATACATGGCTCCGGCCCCAGTGCATGGCCAGCCCTCATTCGCCTACTACGACTCTTCTCAGCCCAGACAACCAGGCGCGTTCACCAGTCAACCGTCTGACATGCCGTACTACGGGCAGATGCCGCCCCAGCAGCAGCAACAGCAGCAGCGTGGCTCAGAGCAGCAGCAGCCGATCTACTCGGCGCAGCCTGTGATGAACATGCACCAGATGGCCACAACCAACGCTTTCCGGGGCGCGGCGATGAACATGACTCCCATTGCTTCACCGCAGCCATCGCAGATGAAGCCCGCCATCATCGTCCAGCAGGGCTCGCCGGCGCTGATGCCGCTGGACACCCGCTTCATCAACCACGATCTGTACGGGTTCCCATCTACGCCGCCTCTCTCTTCTTCCGGGAGTACCATCAGCAGTCCCCCGTCGGCCAATTGCACATTGCACACGCCGACCGCCGATGGCTTCTTCTCTTTTGAGAAGGTGGAGGGCGTCAAGGAAGGCTGTGAGACCGACGTGCACACCGAGATCTTGGCGCACCCCGAATGGGCGCGTTCCGACTCTCCTCCAATGACACCTGGTAAGTCTATGAGCAAGTGATGGAGGATAAAGGAAATGAAAGAAAAGTAAAGCAAGGGGACTGACTGACTTTCAACCAGTGTTCATCCATCCGCCGTCTCTCACCGCCAGCCACACCTCGGATCTGTTGTCCGCCAACTCCTGCCCTTCCCTCTCCCCTTCGCCCTCTCCCGTCCCCAGTGACTTCCTGACCCAGGCCCAATCGCTCTCTGGCGAGTCTTCTGCCGCTGGCGCTGACTTCTGTGACCCACGCCAACTCACCGTTGAGCCGTCCGTCAATGTTCCCGCTCAGGATCTCCCACCTCTGCCGACTCTCTCGTGTGAGGAGGAATACCCGCGCGCAGTCGTGGGCAGTCCATCCGTGACCCTGCCGGTCAACAAGAACCCGTCTCCAACTTTCACAAGCTCGTCCACCGAGGACCCGCTGAGCTCGCTGCCGACCTTTGACAGCTTCTCGGATCTGGACTCCGATGACGAGTATGTGAACCGCCTGGTTGACTTCCACCCGGGCGGCAACGCCGTCTACCTGGGTGACAAGCGTCAGCGGGTTGGCCCCTACTTGGCGGAGGATGACGTGTTCCTCAGTGAGCATGAACTGGACGATGTGGAGGATGAGGGATACCACGTTCCCTCTGTTCCCTCCTTTGAGTGGCCCGAGTCTGCTCACCCCCAGGCTGCCGAGAGCGAGGACTCCGACGTGGAGGAGACGCAGACCAAGAAGCGCTCCAACCGCAAGTCGTCGCGCAAGAGCTCCGCTGTCGAGGACGACGTGGATGTCCAGAAGTCGACCTCGTCGACTGACAGTGACTGCGGATCGCGCGAGAGATCCGAGTCCGCCCCCGTGTCGGTGAACCGCCGCGGCCGCAAGCAGTCTCTGACCGATGACCCGTCCAAGACGTTCGTGTGCACTCTTTGCTCACGTCGGTTCCGTCGCCAAGAGCACCTCAAGCGCCACTACCGCTCGCTCCACACGGAGGACAAGCCCTTCGAATGCAACGAGTGCGGCAAGAAATTCTCCCGCAGTGACAACCTCGCGCAGCATGCCCGCACGCACGGCGGCGGCTCGATCGTCATGGGCGTCTTGGATGCCAATGACGTCGCCGCCTCGTTCGACGAGCAGCAAGAGACCGGTGCACTGGGCACCGTCATGTACGAGGCCTCCTCCCAATCGGGCTCTGAGGAGGCGCCCGCCGTGGACCGCCGGCCTGCGAAGAAGCGCAAGCGTGAGGCAGCGGCCTAAACGCCGTCGTCTTGTCTCGGCGCGTTCACGACTTTTATGAGACCAGGAACCTTCCTACTGCATATATAATACTACACACACACATTCTGTCGCCTTCTTCTTCGGACGACCGCGGCCGTGGGTCTTGATTGGGTTTGGCGTCAGGGCATTTACACTGGTGGTTGTCGGGAAACACAGAAAGGCTTATCGGTGTCTCGGCAGCTTTGTTCTTAGCGAACGGGGACACTGACCTACACCTTGTTGGCCTCGATTTGCCTGGGACTTCGGAGAGAGACGTGGGGCGTTTTTTCCCCTCCATGAAGGAGAAAAAAACAAAAAGAAGGGAACATAGAGCGAATGATGTGGCATCTGTTCTACCCTTGGTACCGTCGACAGGTCGCCAAGGTGGTTTTTCTTTTCCTTTGTTTGTGTCTTTTCTTTTTCCTTTCCTCTGACCAGCACAAATCGGCGTGGGCACTCTTGTATGTGTCGAGCTCACTTCGGCCTTGATTTGGTTTTTCCTTCGTGTACCCCCCCTTTTTTGGATTTCTTTTCTGACACTTTCGTTCATCTCTTTTTCCCTGTCTTATTTCATGTAATATGCTTTTTGGCCTCTTTTTTTTTTGTCTTGTGCTGGTCACATTCCTGTATAAGTTAATTGACCACTCCCCTTCCATACCCCTTTTTGTACTGTTCTTGTCTACCCCTTTTGTGTTGGTCTGATCTTCCATCTAGCGCAGACGTTGAATTCGCATGCACTCCATTTGAGCATGATCTGGTTCTGGTAAAAACAAGATTCTGTAGGCTGTATGTGTAATAAGATATCTACTGCACTATTAAACTGTAAATCTTTGATTTTATTTGAGCGGAATGTAACATCTACCGTCACCTAGCGTTGTGGTGTAGTACTTGGTCGTAGGCTATAGGAATTCCGAGTGCTTATCGATAAGAACGGCCCTCCGCAATTGGCGAAAAAGTTGTTGCTTGATCCATAACACAGAACACGGGCAAGGTACACCCACCATGCCTCCCTCCTCTTCAGATCCGGGACTAAATGTCATCGCCCTGATCTCCGGCGGCAAAGACTCGCTCTACTCCCTGCTACACTGTATCCGCAACGGCCACCGAATCGTGGCGCTGGCGAATCTGTACCCAGAGGCAAAGAAGAATCCAGATTCCCAACATGCTAGTGAGACCAAAGAAGAGGCGACAACCAAAGAGCAAGAAGAAGAGACGGAAGACATCGACAGCTTCATGTACCAAACAATCGGCCACAGCGTCATCCCGCTCTACGAACCCGCCCTGGGCATCCCCCTCTATCGGGCCCCAATCACTGGCGATGCGGTCGACACCGCCAGAATCTACCGACACGACGCAGCAGACCAAGCAGCCGAGACGAGCAGCCTGCAAGACCAAGAAGAAGATGAGACAGAATCACTGGTTCCCCTTCTCCGGCGCATAAAAGAAGCCCACCCAGAGGCCAACGCCGTCTCAGCCGGCGCCATCCTCTCGACGTACCAGCGCACGCGTATTGAAAACGTCGCTGCCCGTCTTGGTCTGGTGCCCCTGGCGTGGTTGTGGATGTATCCATCTCTCCCGCCACCGACGGCACGCCAGACGGATTCCATGGCCGTGGTCGAAGCGGGTTTGTTGGAGGACATGGCTGCTTGTGGATGTGAAGCGCGCATTATCAAGGCTGCGTCGGGCGGACTGGATGATGGGTTTCTGTGGGGAGATGTCTCAGGCGAACGCCCACTGCGCAGACGCATCGTTAAGGCTATGAGGCGCTTTGCGGCACCTGAGGATCTTCGTGGCGCTGTCCTTGGTGAAGGGGGGGAATATGAGACGCTAGCACTCGATGGGCCTGGTTTTCTATGGAAACAGAGGATTGATATTGTCTCCAGGGAGACTCGCACGGCGGAAGGTGGAGTGGCCTTTATGAGTTTGAAAGGGGCGCGCTGTGTGCCTAAAGATGTGGAACAAGAAGGAGCATTCTCTCCGCAAGACGTGAGAAGACCGGATTTGTTGGATGCGCCATTTGCTTCTTTGGCTTTGGAAGATCTGTCGTCTCTACCGCTATCATCGCTATCAGACTCTACTACAGAGACCAGTTTGACAACAGCATGGTCTGGCTACGAGCCCATTCATCGGCAGACTGGCACGGCCTGGACAATTTCGAATCTGATTGCGCCCGAGGCTGGTACCGGCGCTGGAGAACAGATGAAGGGCATCGCCGATAAGATTCACCAGGAATTGAAGACATCTCATGTCCGATCCACAGACGATATCGTGTTTACTACTGTGCTCCTCCGCTCCATGTCCGACTTCGCCTCCATGAATAGTGTCTACGTGTCGCTGTTCAAGAAACCAAACCCTCCAGCACGGGTTACTGTAGCCTGCGGAGACCGACTACCAGCCAACGTCAAGGTGATGGTCTCTCTTGTTGTGGACCTGGGTGCGCGGGACCATCGGCAAGGTCTTCATGTCCAGTCCCGGTCGTACTGGGCCCCGGCGAACATCGGACCCTACTCACAAGCCATGTCCGTTCCAGGACAAGGAGAAGGCAGGTTGGTTTACATTGCTGGCCAGATACCGCTAGATCCTGCCTCGATGGAGCTGGTAGCGCCAGAAGAGACTGAGAGTTACTATCTACGGACCGTGTTGGCTCTCCAGCACCTCTGGAGGATTGGAGAAGCCATGCAGGTGGACTGGTGGACGGGCGCCGTGGCCTTCCTGGCTGGCAGTGAGCACGCGGATGCTCGCGCTCAAGTGGCTTGGCATCTATGGGAGCAGATGCATGCTCGACCAGCAGATGCTGAGGATACGGATGAGGACGAGGGACCGCAGCTGGATATCTGGGATATCAAGTACGGTCGCCGGGCAGAGGAGCTGGCTCCTCCGGATTCGTCATGGGCCTTGCCAAAATTCAGCATCCTCAAGGCCAACTCGGCCACATCTGTCCCGCCATTCCTGGCCGTCCAGGTTAATGAGCTGCCCCGAGGCAGCGATATCGAATGGCAAGGACTGGGCAGCCGATGTCGACAAGCCGAGGTGACAACCCAAAATGCAGGCTCTACATTTATGAATGAGAGCTGCAATTACTCCGTGATCGAGATCGAATCGGAATCGGCTTTGGACATGGCCAAGACGCAGTGCCACACTCTGGTGCAGGCGACGCTGTATACCACACAGAACATCTCTGCTGGGTCGTGGCCGGGCCAGATTGTGCCATGTCGGTCTGTCTGGGGCCGAGGAGGAAGGAGATTGGCTGCGGGAGTGGTCTTACATCGGGAGAAATCACTCGAGCGATAGCATAGATTACATGAATCCATCCGCTGTGGCGATGATGTGACGGGCAAAATCCCTTCCGCGTTCAGGAAAGATAACAACACAACTCCTCCTGCACCACCACTGTTTTCTCCGGACACACTTCCCCGGCCCCCCGAATAACTATAGTTCCTCTAATTCCCCGAAAAATAACTCCCTGCCTCTCTCTCTCTCTCACGCACACACTCAACATGACGCACCCCTCGACCTAAGGCCTTAAATGGCGCCATGACATCTCCGCGGGGCCAGGAGGAAACCGGAGCTCCTCCGCGCAGCAGCACGCCTGCCACGAGCTCCGAAGGCATCGCCATCGACGACCTGCGATGCTTCACACGCTCCCCCCATCCCTACCACCTGAAAAGCAGCGCCAGCGCCCGACGCCACGGTTCGCACACCCCGCCCTCCGAGCAGGGCGACCTTCTCCGGCCTCCCTCCTACTACTCCAGCAAGTCATCGCGGACGCCGAGCGACAGCGGCACCGAGGCCGACGATGAAAGCACGGGACTCCTGCGCGGTCTGCCGGCTCCGCCGCTACGGCCCCGGAAAGGCTTGCGGGTTGGCACAAATGGCACTGTCGTCGCGGATACCGATCCCTGGATGCCCTCGCTGCATCCCTGGCCGCCGCTGCTGGTGCGGACCATTCCCCGGAAGAGCTCGCGGTGGAGCTCTGATACAGAGGCTGAGGGGCGGATGGCGGAGAAGCGCCAGATGTTGAACCGGAAGAGACGGGTCGAGGTCCTGAGGCGATTGTTGGAGACGGCGCTGTTGCTCTCTGTTGGAGGGGTGGTTTTGCTGCAGAGAGATGCGCGGGCGCTGGCTTGGGCGTGGAGGAAAGGTAGGATTTATCTTGAAGGCTTGGAGGTGTGGAGATCGCTAACTACTTTGCCTTCCACAGAGCTCGCAACCCACGGCCTTCTCGTTACTGGATTGTATGCCGCTTTTCCCTTCACGATCCGGGCTGCAACAAGCGGCCGGAGATGGCGCCTATGGCCCAAGAACCGGCCTTTCTTTTCTATACCTTCGAGTTTTGACCCGGCACCTCTATTATATCCGCTTCTCATCCCGATCTTCGTCTCGTTGTCTCTGACACACCACCGCACGGCCCTGGCCATGCCCAACATCATCCTCAGTCTCTCCTCTCTACCCCCGCTGGTTGTCCCACTACATCACTGGGCTCATGGCTTCAGTACATCGCATTGGATGGTCACTTTGATACCCATCGTCATCTCCGAACATACATTCTTCGATTCTACAATACCGAAGCCACTGTCATTACGCGGGTTCGATGCAGAAGCATTGACTCTTCTTTTTCCTTTGCATCAAACATTGATACCCACATTAGACTTCTTGTTGACCACCAGCCTTCTTCCCGCCGAGCTGCAGCTGCTGACCACGGCGCTGATCAACCTATACTTGTTTGCCGCCTCGCCACAGGCGCAGATTCTCAAAGCCTTGTTGTGGCTGGGTGGGATGTGTATTCTCATTTCGTGTCGCCATCTTCTACGTTGGGAGGTTGCTCTCGCGCGCATCCCTAATTGGAAGTTCCGTCGCCCGCCAAACCGTTCGCAATCGCCCCGCAAATTCTTGAATATGATGGATCATCGGATCTGTGAGAAGCTGAGCAGAGCTTGCGTCTCGGATGGACCCATGTCGGACAGTGACGAGCCAAGTGCATTCCAAAACTCGCGCCGGACGAAGACCATACCTCCAATCTGTGAGTCCGGGCTCCTATCCGCCGAACCTAGGAGTGCCACTGGCGATATATCCATGACGAAAGCCCTCGAGCAACATATACATACTGTCCAGCGACGACGACATTCGATCGCCACGTTCGACGAGGTGATTCGTGAGGAACGGGTCCGCACCACGCCCGGTGGCCGGCGGAAGAAATCCATGGAGCCGGGGCTCGCCTCGTTCCTCTCGCTCACCGCTGCCCAAGCGCAGGTCCGGAAATGGCTGTACGCATTGTGTGTTTATGCGACCTCCGTGCTGATTATTCTCGGCCCGATCCGAAAGTACGTGGCTGAGTACGCTCTGCATGGCCAGGATCCGTTTGCGTGGGCGCTGGGATATCTATTCGGCAATCTGTCTGGATTCCGATTCTGGGTGCTCATGCTGAATTTTGAATATTGGATTCAGCTGCCCCCTCGCGTGGACGGGGATGCCTCGTGCTGGCTTGGCTGGGTCGAGCATCTTCGTCAGACCACCGTCGGCGCTGCCAGCTCTCGTCTCCTGATCAGTGGGTATTGTCTCTTGGTGCTGTTGACCGGCTTGGCTGTGGTCTTCCAGCTCAGCTCTGTTGCCGAAGTCGACACGCGGCGCAAGTTATTCCACGGCATGATGGTGCTGATGTTTCTTCCGACGGTCTTTGTGGACCCGACATTCTGCGCCATGGCGTTGGCCCTGGTCCTGGCCGTCTTCCTCCTGCTCGACCTCTTCCGGGCGTCCCAGCTGCCTCCCATCTCCCGCCCTTTAACATATTTCCTGGCTCCCTATGTCGACGGTCGTGACCACCGCGGGCCCGTGATTGTGTCGCACATCTTCTTGCTCATTGGATGCTCGATTCCGCTCTGGCTGTCTCTCGCCGACCTCCCTCGGACTGGTTTAGGCCCCTGGGCCGGTTGGGACGTGCCCTCCCGCGACGTCAGCATGGTCAGCGGTGTGATCTGCGTTGGCATGGGCGACGCAGCGGCGTCTCTTATCGGGCGGCGCTTCGGCCGGCTCAAGTGGTTCTGGGGCGGAGGCAAGTCGCTCGAAGGTAGCGTCGCTTTCGCGGTCGCTGTCACCTGTGGGCTGGTGGTTGTTCGTGCCTGGCTCCTGCTTGGCCGGTGGCCTGTGTCGGGAATAGCGGATGAAGACTCGGTGCTGTCCTCGACGTCGTTCTGGCTGGCGACGGTTGGCAAGGCCGTCCTGGCCGCTGGGGGAACCAGTGCCACGGAGGCGATCCTGACTGGGTGCAACGACAACGTTGTGGTGCCGGTGGTGCTATGGCTGCTCGTACGAGGGCTTGGTGTTTAATGTATAGAAATGTCCCAGATGTATAAACATGGAATCAACCATCTTAGATAAGCACCCGAGGCCGGCCGATCCCTTATCTGCGTATCGATAACCCTTTCCCTCTCTTGTACGTCTTCCATTATCTCTCGGTCTCTCTCTGTGACTCCCATCTCTCCCTTTGTCCTTTCCATCATCCTCGTCCTCTTTCTCTTCTTCCTTTCCCTGCCCCTTCAGTCCGTTCTTCCCTCCCATCCCATCTCCATCTTCTCTATCCCCTTATCTCCACGTCGTCACCGCCCTCCTGACCGCCCCCTCCGATCATCTCATCGATCAATCGTTATCGTTGGTCCAGGTCACACCCCCCAGCCCAGCTGCCGCCTGCGTTCCTTGGGTCCAGCTGCCCGCCCTCTTCAGCATCACATCATCCTCGACGCCTATTAGAACCAAGCTCTCCCGGTTGCCACCCCCATAATCTGGTTCCCTCCTAGTATACTTCAACCAACTACTTTACCACAACATCATCCACCTTACACACACCGCCCTCTATCGTCCTCTTTCCCTCAACCCCAACTGTTTGGGTGCCTGCCTATCACCCAACTCCTGTCTGCGAGCTACAGTGGTTTGCCTCAACCTTGACACTAAAACACCTACCCGGGTCCGCCGGTCTCGTTTCCCGGCACCTCACCCCATCTAGCCCCATTCCCACCCTCGTTGTCCGGCGCTTCCTCGACCTTCCTGGCTTCCCGGCTGCTGGCAGCGTCATCCTTCTACTGGGCTCCCCTGATGGGCCTCCACCGACAGTCATCCCTGTTGCCGCCGTTGAGGTAGTTGTGGTCGACGGGGCGTGGTTGATTTTCAACTTCTCCCCAAGACTCGAAGTTAGTGGCGACGCTGCCCTGCTACAAATATGGCATCTCAACACTCGCGGAGATCGCGCGAGTCGACTCGCCCCGAAATGTCGATCGGCCGCTATACCCGGCTCGACGAGATCGGGCGAGGGAGCTTTGCTACCGTCTACCAGGGGGTGCATACGGTGAGTCACTTTCTCTTCTCCGCGTTCTTTTTGATGAGACGCTGATCAGCTCTTCGTTGCCTTGCTAGAAATCCCGCACCTACGTAGCCATCAAGTCGGTCAACCTGTCAAAGCTCAACAAGAAGTTGAAGGACAACCTCTCCTCCGAGATCGATATCCTGAAGGGCCTCCATCATCCGCATATCGTGGCGCTCATCGACTGCCATGAATCCACATCCCACATTCATCTGGTCATGGAATACTGTGCTTTGGGGGACCTGTCACTGTTCATTAAACGACGAGAGACCCTTGCCAACCATCGATATACGCGGGACATGATTGCCAAATACCCAAATCCTCGCGGTGGAGCGCTGAATGAAGTTGTCGTGCGACACTTCCTTAAGCAACTTTCAAGCGCGCTGCATTTCCTCCGAGACCGCAACCTTATCCACCGAGACATTAAACCGCAAAACCTACTACTTTGCCCATCCCCTTCATCTTACCGGTCAGGTGTGGCCCAAGTGATTCCTTATAAGGGCAGTGATGATTCATATGAACCCATAACCGGTCTCGAGACACTACCGATGCTCAAGATTGCGGACTTTGGGTTCGCTCGATCCCTTCCGGCCACCTCGCTGGCAGAGACCCTTTGTGGCTCTCCACTTTACATGGCACCCGAGATCCTTCGGTATGAGAAATATGATGCCAAGGCAGACTTGTGGTCGGTTGGCACCGTGCTCTATGAGATGGTGGTCGGCCGGCCTCCCTTCCGTGCCACCAACCACGTGGAACTGCTCCGGAGGATCGAGAAAGGAGAGGACCGAATCCGATTTCCCGAAGACAATCCTGCCTCGGATGACATTAAGAAGCTGATACGCGGCCTTCTGAAGCGGAATCCGGTGGAGCGATTGAATTTCCCTGATTTTTTCAACAACCATGTCATCAAAGATGATATTCCTGGTCTGGTGCCAGATGATCTCCCACGGAGGCCTTCTGCCGAGTTCGATGATGCTAGACCGACTCCGGTCGACGTGAACACGGCCAAGAACTCTCCATACGCCGAGGAACCGGAAGAGACGCTCACATCCCCTGCCAGGCGACCGCCGTCGACACGTCAGAAATCAGGGACGCCACCGACTGCCGCGACTATGCGTCAAGTTGGCAGTAGTGATCGTCCTTCATCTGGTACCATCAAAGGACAGGAAACCAATTCCCACCGGCCTGGCCCAGTTAGCCATGCTACAGCACCTGGTCGCCAGGAACTGGTGGGCCGCCATGCCGCCACAGCTGCGATGGAGCGCCAGAGATCTCGGAACACGCACACGGACGCTACACGGACGGAAGAACCGTCAGATCCTGCCCGAGCGGAACGAGAGCAGGCTGCCCAAGACGTGGCCTTTGAGCGGGACTACGTGCTTGTGGAGAAACGTGCTGTCGAAGTGAATGCATTTGCAGATGAGTTGGCACATAGCCCCCGTATCCAAGGCGGCTTTGGTCGCCCGGGACAAGCCGGCACTGTATCTCGGCGCGCGACTACCCAGGGACTCCCCACAACCACATCGACCTCTCCGCATGCAAATGCTACCAAGGCCATCCAGGTTGCGTCGAATCGTGCCCGAGCAGATTCAATACATCAGCGTCAACACTCTTACGAGCGACGGTATGGCCAGAGCCCCACGTCGGCCACATCAGCCATCTCGAAAGCACTCAATATGGCCAGTGGTCGCCTCTTTGGAATGGGGTTTTCTCCGCCACTAGCCATCACCAAAGGTGGCCGGTCACCCCCGCTGGCCTACAACCCATTCCCTGCATACCCAGCTGCCCAGGCTAGCCTCATGATTATGGGCGACGGCGCTAAGACAAACGTTGCGGTCGACGAAGACTACAAGGCAGTCCAAGTCATCGAAGAATGTGCTACTCGCAGCGATGTCGTTTATGGATTCGCCGAGGTGAAGTATAAGCAGCTCATTCCGTTGGCACCCTCGGCGTCCACCGACCCTTCTGCGAGACCCCCCGTCTCTAGTGCTGACACCGATTCTACCGACCCCACTGACGACGGGTTGACTGTGGATGCCATCGTCACACTCTCCGAAGAGGCTTTGGTACTATACGTGAAGGCTCTGTCCCTGTTGGCCAAGTCCATGGACATTGCCGGTGCCTGGTGGTCGCGCAAGAACCGTGAAGAGACGTATGGCGACTCTTTCTCGACTAGAGGAGAGACCAGTGCGCTCGCGGGAGCCCGCATTAACAATATCGTGCAGTGGGTGCGGGCTCGGTTCAATGAGGTCTTGGAGAAGGCTGAGTTTGTACGCCTGAAACTCATGGAAGGGCAAAAGCGTTTGCCCTCGGATCACCCCAGCCATCCAGATAACCAGCCCATCGCCTCAAGTGCTGGGTCAAGCACTTCAATCGATGTGGTATTGAGCCCGGGCGTCACAGCCGAAAAGCTGATGTATGACCGTGCCTTGGAGATGAGTCGGGCTGCGGCGATCAATGAGCTGACTGGCGATGATCTCGCCGGCTGTGAAATTGCCTATGTCACCGCCATACGCATGCTAGAAGCTGTGCTGGAGAATGACGGGTCGCGAACTGACCGGCAAGATGCCACACCCGCTGGGGAGAAGGTCGTCCTGGACGATCTGCAGGCGGAGGATCGGCAGGTGGTGCTGAGGTGTAAGTTTCTTGACAGTTGGCATTTGAGCGCAAAATACTGATGTGATGTTTACAGTGGTGTCGAGCATGCGCGGTCGCCTCGCTTCTCTTCGCAAGAAACTGGCAGTGCTCGCCAAGCGAACCTCGGCGCCCACGCCGACGACGAGCAGCACAGCGCGGATTCCGTCCTCGAACTCGGTGCCTGTTGCACTTGCGACCGGTGCCACGCCGCCGCGGTGAATGCCCAACTCGAGCGCTACGGATATGGCCCATCTGATGTTGCTTGCCCTCTACTATTATTGATCTCTATTTGGGATACTAATCTCCTCATTTATATTCCCGTTGATTCATCTTTGTCGAGTTATTCTGTGCCATATATCCCACACCATGAGGAGAGGGGAGTTTTTGTCATTGTTTTTGTTTGCACTTTGGGACTGGCGTTTGACCTGGATTCATGGTATACAGAATGGCCCCTTTTTTCTTGATTGCGTTGGAATCAGCAAGGTCAGGGCGTTTTGGGTGGTCCATGAAGTTTGGATATTTTTGAGATGCACCGGCAATTCAGATACGGAGTTGTATTATTGTATATAGATAACCAGAGGAAACTTGATTTTTCCGTCTGCTTCAGTCTGGACCCTTAGCAGCGACGATTGGCATCTCCGATCTAGATCTCACTGAATGCGATCAAGTTGGTGCCATGCCCTGTCATCGCCGAGCACAACCGTGAAAGGCAGATGATGTCTGTCCCAGTCTTCTATGGAAGCCCATTCATCATCCGCGCCTAAAGACGCAGACAGTCGTAGGCCCCTCAAACTTGCTGGTGCATAGTCTTGCAAGAAATGAGCCCCGAGGGGCTCAGCAGTCGTCTGCCATGAAGGGAGGGCATGGGCTGGGAGAGCTTGCGTGAGGTGAAAAGGAAGGAAGAAAACCAGTGTGGGTTTTCTGCTCCGACGGACTCCGCTCACCGCCTCCCATTTGGTCTTTTCTGCGTCTTTTTCCCTATTGTTCTCCATCGGGCGTCTGAGATTGTTGTTGTTGTTTCGTCGAATCCGAGTCCAATCCCTTATTGTTCGGGAGCTTCTTTCCGTCCGGTCCTTTCGTTTGTCTCCTCTCCCACCGTCACGGGGTTTTGTGGAGTGGAATGCGCCGCCTTTCACCGCGGGCACTGCTGCACTCAGCAAGGCCACCGCTTCTGCCCGCTGCCAGGCCACTACCACCTTCGCCCCTCCCCCTCTTTCCTTCCCAGGTTGCAGCACTTGCGTCAACCTCATCTGCTCGACTACCTCGTCCTCGCCGTTCCCCCCTCCGTTCTTCGCTCTCCCAAACTCCCAAACGCTACTGTTCCTACCGCAGAATGTGTGGCTCTCGACGCGGTGACGTTTCGGGCTCGACCAATGTCCAAGGCCGCGAGGTCCTGCCCACCAATGTCAAGCCTCTGCACTACGACTTGACTCTCGAGCCCAACTTTGACAAGTTCACCTATGACGGAACTGTCGTTATTGAGTATGATGCCTCCCATGTTCCGAAAGAATTAAGCTCTGACGTAGATGCAACTGCATAGTCTCCAGGTGAACGAGGATACGAACTCCATTTCCCTCAACTCCAACGAAATTGAAATCCACAGCGCCGTTGTTTCCTCCAAGGGTGCGGTGGTAGAGTCTAAGCCGGAGATTTCCCACAATGGAGATACTCAGGTCGCTACCATCAAATTCGGCAACGCCATTGCGGCTGGATCCGATGCGCAGCTGAAGCTGACCTTCACCGGCATCTTGAATGACAACATGGCAGGCTTTTACCGGTCATCGTACAAGGATAAGAACGGTGAGAAGAAGTATCTTGCCTCAACCCAGATGGAGCCCACGGATGCCCGCAGAGCATTCCCGTGCTTTGACGAGCCGGCCCTCAAGGCCAAGTTCACCATTACCCTGGTTGCCGACAAGAGCATGGCCTGTCTGAGCAACATGGACGTTGCCTCGGAGACTGAGGTCCAGGGTGGGAAGAAGGCTGTCAAGTTCAACACCTCGCCGCTGATGTCGACCTATCTCGTTGCCTTCATTGTCGGACACCTCAACTATATTGAGAACAACAGCTTCCGTGTTCCCATTCGCGTCTACGCCACCCCGGATCAGGACATTGAGCACGGCCGCTTTTCGTTGGATCTTGCTGCCAAAACCCTGGCATTCTACGAGAAGGCGTTTGACAGCGAGTTTCCGCTGCCAAAGATGGATATGGTTGCAGTGCCGGACTTCAGTGCCGGTGCAATGGAGAACTGGGGTCTGATCACCTACCGTATCGTTGATGTGCTGCTGGACGAGAAGGCTAGCGGCGCTTCGCGCAAGGAGCGTATCGCTGAAACGGTCCAGCATGAGCTGGCCCACCAGTGGTTCGGTAACCTGGTGACTATGGACTTCTGGGACGGTCTGTGGCTCAACGAGGGTTTCGCCACGTGGATGTCGTGGTACTCGTGCAACGTCTTCTACCCCGAGTGGAAGGTCTGGCAGAGCTATGTTATCGACAACTTGCAGGGTGCACTCTCCCTGGACTCGCTGCGCAGCAGTCACCCGATTGAGGTCCCTGTCAAGCGTGCCGATGAGATCAATCAGATTTTCGATGCCATCTCCTACTCCAAGGGTTCCTCTGTCCTGCGCATGATCTCCAAGTACCTAGGAGAGGATGTTTTCTTGCAGGGTGTGCGAAACTACATCAAGAAACATGCCTACGGTAACACTGAGACTGGTGATCTGTGGGCTGCGCTGGCTGATGCCAGCGGCAAGCCCGTCAGGAAGGTTATGGAGATCTGGACCAAGAACGTTGGCTTCCCAGTCGTCAGTGTCACGGAGAACCCTGATGCGTCTTCCATCCACCTGAAGCAGAACCGGTTTTTGCGCACGGGCGACGTGCGTCCCGAGGAAGACACCACTCTCTACCCTGTGATGCTCGGCCTGCGCACCCGATCGGGTCTCGACGAGGATACCATGCTGACAGAGCGTGAGCGTGAATTCAAGGTTCCTGACTTGGATTTCTTCAAGCTCAATGCCGACCACTCCGGCCTCTACCGCACGTCGTACTCCCCTGAACGCCTGAAGCAGCTGGGCAAAGCGGCCAAGGACGGCCTGCTGACCGTCGAAGACCGCGCCGGCATGATTGCGGATGCGGGTGCCCTGGCTACTTCCGGTTACCAGCGCACCTCTGGTCTGCTGTCGTTGCTCCAAAGCCTGGACACCGAGTCGGAGTTTGTGGTTTGGAACGAGATCTTGACTCGCATTGGCTCCCTGCGCGGCGCCTGGCTCTTCGAAAGCCAGGAGACCAAGGATGCCCTCAAGGCTTTCCAGCGCAATCTCGTCAGTGCCAAGGCCCACGAGCTGGGCTGGGAGTTCTCCGACAACGACGGCCACATCCTGCAGCAGTTCAAGGCCCTCATGTTCGGCTCTGCCGGTTCAGCTGGGGACCCCACCGTTGTCCAGGCAGCCAAGGACATGTTCGCCCGCTTTGCAGACGGCGACCTTTCCGCCATCCACCCCAACATCCGCGGCAGCGTCTTCACCATCGTGCTGAAGCACGGCAGCGCCAAGGAGTACGACGTCGTTCTCGACCGGTTCCGCAACGCCGCTACCTCGGACGAGAAGACCACTGCCCTGCGCTGCCTCGGTGCCGCCGAGGACCCCGCCCTCATCAAGCGCACCCTCGACCTTGCCAGCGGCGACGAGGTCAAGAACCAGGATATCTACATGCCCCTTGGCGGTCTGCGCAACCATCCCGCCGGCGTCGAGGCCCGCTGGACCTGGCTCAAGAACAACTGGGACGGTATCTACAAGCGTCTACCTCCGTCCCTCGGCATGCTGGGCACGGTTATCCAGTTGTCTACGTCTAGTTTTTGCACTGAGGCACAGCTCAAGGACGTTCAGGAATTCTTCGATGCCAAGGATAGAAAGGTGGGTTTATTCCGTTTTGTTTTGTTTTCGTCGTGTCGTCTTGCTAACTTTTATTTTTCCGATTGCAGGGCTACGACCGTGCCGTTGAGCAAAGCTACGACGCTATCCGCGTTAAGACTTCCTGGCTCCAGCGTGACCGCGATGATGTGGACCAGTGGCTGCGCGGGAACCGGTATCTTGGGAGCAAGCTGTGATTGATTGACTTCTTTTGGTCTTGCCTGTCTTGAAGCTCGCTGCTACGGTTAGTTAGTTGCGGATTTGGGCTGGTTCGGTGCAGTGGTTCGGTGTTTTTCTCTGGTTACTTTATATCTCACCCCTCCCTCCTTAGCATAAATGGATCGTCACACACACTTCTGTGATACATCTAAACTATTGGGCAACTGGCCCTCCATTTTGACTCATGCTATATCACATCTCGCCCTCCGTCCCGTAGTCATCAAACTTCTCGTGGCTCACCTAGTTTTCATGGTCAAGTTGCCATGATGCCATTGGGCGGTATTACTCCCCATCCTGCCAGACCGCAGACGGCGATTGTATAACCTCACATATAGTCCCTGACTAGTGAACTTAATGTGGCATGAGCCTCGTGTATGCAGGTGGCTTGTCAATTGTTTTGTGCTGAGGCATGTGCGGTCGAGGTGATACCGAGTTATATATATTTTCAGTGGACACCAGTTTCAGGGTTTACCAGGTACAGTCGGACTTCATTGCCTCTTTCCCTCATATTCTACACCAAAAATGGCCGCTCGAGTGATCGATCTTCCGAAATTCCAGTCGCCGAAGCGGCGGGTGAGACTCACCCGCAGGCATGGACATGCCTTCTTTAGTATGTCGAGCCAAGTAGATTGGCGTGGCTATAAAGGAAAGTGCGTATATTATGCAGCAATCTCCACACACCGCGAATTTCCCCAGCCAAACCCATACTGCCACGGCCTGGGTTCTCCGATCTCCGTCACTGCGCGGGGGATTGCCGCTCAAATATCTGGTTTTCTGCCTGCCAGTCATTCACATCTTAAACCTATATTTGTATACGAAAAGACATGGAGACACCGCCACCCCATCTATACACTTCCCCTCTAGATCAGCAGCCCGACGTGCTTGGATGGGCTCTGAATGACGCTCCTGTCAGTTGAAAGTGGCTCTTCGGTAAGCTCCGATGGTCCTGATTTCTATATATCCATGCGTTCTTATCTCGACCTGTGCCTCCCCACTCTTATATACTTCCTGTTGCAGATTGATGCAGTCGCTTTGGCAATGTGAATTTGAAACCCATGCGTCGGGTTCGACTGACTTGGACAGTCTCTTAGTTTGTGTTGTGCTGTGAACAGCTCTCTCCGGTTGGCTCCCGGGCGCGTCACTTGAGATTCGCCACTCCATCTTTAGTCCTCCTATCAGCCACAAAAGGCACCGGAGGCACCATCTGCTTCTGAAAACCGAGTATTCAACATTCGCTATCGTCCACCATGGCGGACACGGACTCTCGGACCACTGGCCATGACGACTATTGTCGCGGCTACTCCGCCGACGTGGACACCATTCGGGAGCAGGAATATCCATTGCTAAACGGTATGAGGACCCTCACGGCTAGGCCAGGATTCCTATTGACTTCTTAATAGAAACAACCTATCTCGACCATGCCGGGACAACACCATATCCCAAGTCTCTCATCGAGTCCTACTCGCGTGACATGACGTCCAATCTATTTGGCAACCCCCATTCAATGTCTCTATCCTCACAGCTTTCAACGCAGCGAACGGATGACATTCGACTCCGCATGCTCCGCTTCTTCAATGCGGACCCAGAAGAGTTCGACCTGGTCTTCGTGGCGAACGCAACGGCAGCTATCAAATTGGTCGCTGACTCGCTCCGGGACTCTGACCCCCGCGGCTTCTGGTATGGCTACCATATCGACGCCCACACCAGTATTGTGGGAGTGCGCGAACTGGCCGACCTAGGCCACCAGTGCTTCCAAAGCGATGCAGATGTCGAGAAATGGATCTCGGAGCTGTCTGCCGATCAGAGCAAGGCGCCTAAACTGTTCGCATATCCAGCCCAGTCAAACATGAATGGTCGACGCCTGCCTCTATGCTGGGGCAAGAAGGTTCGCTCTGCGGCCAACGACGGCACAGGAAATGTATTTACATTGCTTGATGCTGCCTCGCTCGTGTCGACTGCCCCGCTTGACTTGGGAACTGCTGCACCAGATTTCACAGCTCTCAGCTTCTATAAAATTTTTGGATTCCCCGATCTGGGCGCATTGATTGTTCGCAAAAGCGCGGCACGGGTATTCGAGCGCCGAAGGTTCTTCGGAGGCGGCACTGTCGACATGGTCGTTGCATCGGGTGTGCAGTGGCATGCTAAAAAGGAAGCATCCATCCATGAACGGCTCGAAGATGGCACTCTTCCTTTCCACAGTATCATTGCTCTGGATTCTGCCCTAAAAACTCAGAATGGATTGTATGGTTCGATGTCAAACATCTCGGCGCATACCGGATTTCTTGCGAAGCAGCTCTATGATCGACTTTGCTCATTGAGGCACTGCAACGACACGAAGGTGTGCCATATATACCAATCCACCTCGGCCTATGGCGATCCTACCATCCAGGGCCCAATCATTGCCTTTAATATGCGGAACAGTCGCGGCGAGTGGATTGGCAAGACGGAGGTCGAGAAACTCGCTCTAGTGCAAAATATCCAAATACGCACGGGAACGGTCTGCAACCCCGGAGGAACCGCTTTGTGTCTTGGGTGGACTGGCCCTGAATTACGTGGAAATTATTCTTCGGGATATCGCTGTGGTGATGACAATGATGTCCTCAACGGACGGCCAACGGGCATTCTGCGTGTCAGCCTGGGTGCCATGACCAACATGAAGGATCTCGACTCGCTGATCGCCTTCATCGAGGAATTCTATGTGGAGAAAATACCTCCTCTCGTGACACTGGATCCTTCATCGGGCGAGAATGGTCTTCCGGCGTCTCACTTTTATATTGAGAGCCTTATGGTGTACCCGATCAAGAGCTGTGGTGCATTCAAGATTCCAGAAGGAAAACGCTGGGAAGTCAAAAAAGAGGGACTCGCATGGGATCGAGAGTGGTGTCTCATCCACCAAGGCACCAGTGCTGCCTTGAGCCAGAAAAAGTACCCGCGCATGGCTTTGATCCATCCGTACCTTGATCTCGACCGCGGCGTCCTTAGCATCACTTGTGGCACTATAGCTGCTGACCAAGTGAGCCTGGAGATCTCTCTGGGCTGGGAAGATACAAGCCTTGTGTCAACGTCGATGTGTATGAGCTCTACCAAGAAATCGACCACGGTGTGTGGCGACCAAATCCCCCTACATGCCTACTCGTCGCCGGTAGTCTCGGCCTTCTTCTCAGACTTCCTCGGCGTCCCCTGCACGCTGGCAAGATTCTCCTCACAGACCGCAAACCGGTACTCACGACCCCCACGCATCCCCACTTGGAGGAACCGATCCCGCAAATTCGTCATGCCCGGCTCCTTCCCACCTGACCTACCACCCCCAGTGCGCGACCAAGGCAGGCCACTCCAACTGGCGAATGAGATGCCCATCCTGGTCGTCTCACGATCCTCCGTCAACCGCCTCAACGAGACCATCAAGGCCAATACCAAGCACGGCGCAGGCGTCAGCAAGGCCGTTGCTGCAGACGTCTTCCGGGGCAACATCGTCGTCGCGGAACGGCTGGCTCAGCTCGGTGATACCGAGCAGCCTTATTCCGAGGACCACTGGTCCCATTTCCATATTGGGCCGGAGCAGCTTCGCTTTGATGCGCTTGGCGCATGCCAGCGCTGCCAGATGGTTTGTATTGACCAATTTACCGGCGTTCGTCGTAGCGAACCCTTGTCTACGCTGGCGAAGACGCGAAATATTAATGGGAGAATCTCATTTGGGCGGTATGCTGCTCTTTCAGAAGAGGAAATGGAGGCGTTCGAGTCTGAAGCACCGGACCGCCGGACGGTCATGGTGGGGGATTTGGTGGTGCCGTCATATGATGACCATTGAAGCCCTGGATTATGATTGTATATTGAACAAGATCTGCTGCAGACTTTGTACCATCTCACTGGTTCGATCTTTAGTGTCTATCAAGAGTCAGGATCTTGTATTGGTAGCGAGGCATATATTTGCACATATGAAAATGCCTTGGTTTTCTCATTTTTTGCCATGTACATAGAGTGATGAGAAGGAGAATGCAGAACGGGGACATGTGTCCCTGAGTCGTATAGTACAGATAAGAAACGATGGCTGAATGAAACGAAAACTCCCATGCCGAACCCCTCGAATGATTCATACAGCAGTTTCGGCGCGCATGTTCCGGTCGAATTCGGATGAAGGCGTAGAAAAACGGCGCGGACCCGAAAGGAAAAGAGCAAAAAGACCTCACTGGGGATCTCCTGTTTACCGCTTGGGCCACTGCTTCCAGCCACGGCCATGTCCTCTCTGTAACACGAGTCAGCTCCAATCCAGCATCATCAACAGGTAAAACAATACTGACCTGCCTCCACAACCGAATCATCTCCGGCATCTCTGTCATTGCCTTCCGGCGCTCCTCCAATCTCGATTCCATCGTCCGCTCCCACTTGTGTCCCTTGACCTTTTGTCCAATACCCGTACCCTTGATGCGCAAGCCACGCTCCGCAAGCCGGGTTGCCTTGAACTCAGTTGACTTGCGTCCAGGGGGTAACAGTTCCTCCACCTTGTACTTGGCGGCCAATTTCACCAGGTCTGCTTGTTGTCGCAGACCAAATCGTGGTGCCATCCATTTCCCCGTCCGGTTGTCCTTCCGTGGCAGGAAAGGATTGGGTGCCTCTGGATTGTTGTATAGGAGGGACATGGAGGGAGAGTAGGCAGTGGGGTCTGGCTTGTGGGTGCCCTTTGCATCACGATTTGGCGTGTATGGTGACGGAAGGGTTGTCTCGGCCGGGGCGTCGGTCTCTGGGGGTGTTGGACGCGGCGCGACAGCCGCGGAATATATTTGCGGAGGGTAGCGAGCGAGGAAATTGCGCAGGCGGATGGGGAGCGACCCCACCAGAGACGAGGGCGACGACATGGTGGACGACAAGCAGGCGAGAGAAGCACGATGGAACAAGCAACGCCCGAGCAAGCAAGAGATAAAAGTTGAAGGCCGAGGCGCTAAACCCGTTGTGGGCTCCCTGCCTCAGGCACCCAGACTTCCCAAGCGCGGCCTTTTCTGCTTTTGGGCTTCGGCCCCAAATCCCCATTTCTTCCACTCACCCGCCATTCTTACCCCAGCCTCTTTCTGTCTAGATTGTACGGTTCTTGTTTCCTGATATACTCACTGTCCTTTAATATTCGACTGCGCGCGACTCTTGTACCCCTGCCATCATGGCGGACTACCACTTTGGCGGTTCCGAGGAGGAGAATGCCGAGCTGAGGAAGCTCGAGGTCGAGCTGGTATGGCGCGCGCACATATATCCCCAACTGGTTCCTAATGCTGACCTGTTTGTCATCTAGGTGGACGACCCAGATAACTTTGAAACATGGGAGAAACTCGTGCGCGCCGCCGAGTCTCTGGAGGGCGGCATCAATCGCAACTCCAACCCCCAAGCCATCACCACCGTGCGCAATTCCTTCGATCGCTTTTTGGCCAAGTTTCCTTTACTATTTGGATACTGGAAGAAATATGCCGACCTGGAGTTCTCCATTACGGGCACGGAAGCCGCAGAGATGGTATGTGTCCTGCGATCAGCTCTGCAGATCTCCCTCCGATCGTCTCGTGCTCATTTGGGTGTCGCTGACTGTTTCTTCCTTTAGGTCTATGAAAGAGGTGTCGCTAGCATTTCCCCTTCCGTGGACCTCTGGACCAACTACTGCTCCTTCAAGGCGGAGACCTCCCACGACGCCGACATTATCCGAGAGTAAGTAGTATTGCAGCGCGGGTCTTCTTCCCTTTCCCTATAACCATTACCAATGCAGCCCTCGAAAGCTCTTGTGGTCCCGATCATACTTGATGTTTGGATGCTTTCCATCGATGATGGGTGAGACTCCGTCGCCTTATCACCCGGATTCAAGTGGAGTTTACTTCTCACCCTTGGCTCATTCAGGCTGCTTCCCTTTTCTCTTCATGAAAAAAGACCGTTTCCTTCTTGCCCGGACCACACATGGACCAGTCTCGTTCGAAAGCATCTGATCCTGCGAATGCCCTGCCCATAGCTTGATCACCCTGCTCGTTGATTGTTTGGACTCATACACACCGACAGAGTTAACTGCTCATGTTTGCCATCCTTGTCATCCTCCCTTTCCCCTTCTAGCACTCCCCATTCCCTTCCGCACCTCCAGTTTTGTGGCATCATGCTGACTCCCTAACCTTCATAGACTCTTTGAGCGAGGTGCGAGTAGCGTCGGACTTGACTTTCTCGCGCATCCCTTCTGGGATAAGTATATCGAGTTCGAGGAGCGCCTGGAGGCGCAGGACAGGATCTTTGCCATCCTGGGTCGTGTCATCCATATTCCCATGCATCAGTATGCGCGGTACTTTGAACGTTATCGTCAACTCGCTCAAACTCGGCCCTTGGCCGAACTGGCGCCCGCCGAAACCATGTCACAATTCCGTTCAGAAATCGAGGCTGCGTCATCACAAGTACCTCCCGGTGCGAAGGCTGAAGCTGAGATCGATCGTGATCTTCGGCTGCGCGTTGACAACTACCATCTGGAAGTGTTCTCCAAGACGCAAGCCGAGACGACCAAGCGCTGGACATATGAGTCTGAGATCAAACGGCCATATTTCCATGTGACAGAACTGGACGAGGGCCAATTGACGAACTGGAACAAGTACCTTGACTTTGAGGAAGCCGAGGGCTCGTATCTTCGTACTCAGTTCTTGTATGAACGGTGTCTGGTGACCTGCGCGCACTATGAGGAATTCTGGATGCGGTATGCCCGGTGGATGTCTGGCCAGGCCGGCAAGGAAGAAGAAGTCCGGATCATCTACCAGCGTGGCAGCTGCCTCTTCGTGCCAATTGCCAACCCCACCATTCGACTGCACTACGCTTACTTCGAGGAGATGGCGGGCCGAGTTGATGTGGCCAAGGATATTCACAGCGCTATCCTCATGACCATTCCCAACCATGTGGAGACGATCACTTCCCTGGCGAACATGTCGCGACGTCATGGCGGTCTTGATGCAGCCATCGAGGTCTACAAGAGCCAGTTGGATTCACCGGAATGTAACATGTCGACAAAGGCCGCTCTCGTTGCCGAATGGGCCCGACTCTTGTGGAAGATCAAGGGCTCGCCCGAAGATGCCCGCCAAGTCTTCCAGGGTAATCAGCAGTACTACCTCGACAGTCATCCGTTTTGGGTTAGCTACCTCATGTTCGAGATTGAGCAGCCCACGAGTGAAGCAAGCGAGTCGGTTCAATATGAACGCATCAAGCAGGTCGTCACTGACATACGGTCTAAGAGCACCCTCACAGTTGACGTTGTGAAGGCACTGGTGCAGATCTACATGGCCTACCTCCTTGAACGAGGAACGAAGGACACGGCCAAGGAATACATGAAACTGGACCGCGAAGTGCATGGCCCTACTTCCGTGTCCCTTGCTCGGACTGGTGGTTTTGTTGCGGCGCCCGCCGCACCTCCTGATGGTCAACCAATTGTGGTCCCTCCCGCGCCGCCTGTGCCTAACGTGGCTGCTGCCGAGGCATATGCCTACTATCAGCAGAGTCCCGTGAACGGAGGTCCTGCTGTTTGAACTTCCAACCTAAAATGACTCTGCTTCTCAAGCAGTCGGTCTTTTTTTGGACATGGTATTTACGAATGGCTCCATTTCAAGAGCCTTGCCTTTCTTCCCCTTGCGGCTTCCTTTTCTGTTTTTTCCTTTTTTTTCTTTCTTTTTTTTTTTTCGTCCGTGTTTTATTGTTTCCTGATCTACTAGGGTGGGTGAGTTCGTTTTTATGTAGCACCATATTCCAGACATGCCTATACCCGGGCGCTGTTTTTGCGGGGGTTGTTAACGATTTCGATGTACCGTAAAGCTGGTCATCCTGGTTTCTCGGGTGAGAGCCTAGTGTCTAGTCTGCGGTCTGCGACTAGGAGTGGACTGCTGCTCCTTGGAGCGAGGTTGGGTCCATCAGGGTCCGTTGTATTCTAATTGCTCACCGTCGATATCAATTGAACTTGCAGAAATGCTTGTTTTATCAACTGCTCGCTCTCCGGTAGATGACGCTTATCATGAACAGGGGTAAAACTCTCTACAGAATGTCGGTATTCTGATTCTCCGACAATTGTATACTATTGATGCACTAAACTACAAGCTTGACACCACAATTTTAGTTATTCTTTAACAGACGTGCAACTCACTGGCCAATCCGCGTGTTAGGGCTGCCCTTCGATCGACATACTGGAATAATCACGTGATTCAATATCTTTGTCACCCATGAATCTGGCGCATCACTTGCATGTCTTCGTGTTTGCATCACGTTGCATCACGACGGGAACCATGGCGTCCAACGGCTCCAACGCATCGTCCCATATCCCTCCACCGTATCCCACTCAACGTCCGGCCACTCCTCCTCCTCCACCTCCAGAAGAATCCACAGCACCTCCGCCTCCTCCAGACGCGGCCGCTCCGCCACCACCCCCGGATGATCTCCTCCCTCCGCCGCCTGTGGAACAAAAGAAAAAGAAGGCTGGATGGGGCGCCAAACGACCGGCTGCGGCACCATTGAGTGTTGAGGAGCTCATAAGGAAGAAGAAAGAGACCGATGCAGCAGCTGCAAAGGTATGTTTTACGCATCTGTCAATGTATTAAGACCCCTGTGTGGACGATGAGTAGCTAATGTTTATCTTTCGCTTGAATAGCCGAAGTTCTTGTCCAAAGCCCAACGAGAGAAGCTGGCGTTGGAGAGACGAGCTAAGGAAGTCGAGGCAGACCGGCAAGCTAAAGCGCTCGCGAACGGTGCCCGGGACAACGGGTTTGTGACGGAGCCATCGCCGAGGGAGTCAACTGATACAAGAAATGGCAGCAGAGATGCAGGCAGCGGGAATGTCCCGACTGGACCAAGGGCTATGCGTGGAGACGCACCGACAGGTCCAGGCGCCGCGCGGAGTTCAAATGGGCAATCGACACGCAACCAAGATATGGCCCCGCCGCCAGCACCAAAGGCAATGTCATTCGGACTGAAGGATTCCAAGGGCAAGGGCGAAAAACGTCTTGCAGAAGAGGACCAAGCAGCGGCAGAAGCGGCATTGGTCAAACAACGGTACATGGGAGCAGACCAGACCTCGAACTTCTCGGCCAAGAAAAAACGGAAGCGCACTACGGACCGCAAATTCAACTTTGAGTGGAATCTCGAAGAGGATACCAGCGGCGATTACAATCCTCTATATCAAACCCGTCATGAGGCCAACTTCTTTGGCCGTGGCCGACTGGCGGGCTTCGGAGACGATGTCGCAGACAACGTAGCGCGCAAGTATGCGGAAGCATTGGAGAGCCGTGATCATGAGGCGGGTAGCATGCGCGCCAAGGAGATCTTGGAGATGGAGCGACGACGGCGTGAGGAGAGCACGCGCAGTCAGATCGACAAGCACTGGAGTGAGAAGCGACTGGAACACATGCGCGAGCGGGACTGGCGTATTTTCAAGGAAGATTTCAACATCGCCACTAGAGGTGGAAGCGTGCCAAACCCAATGCGATCCTGGGAAGAGAGCCAACTGCCCAAGCGATTGTTGGAACTCATTGACCGCGTCGGGTACAAAGAACCTACGCCAATCCAACGTGCAGCGATCCCAATTGCCATGCAAAATCGCGATCTCATCGGTGTTGCAGTTACAGGTTCCGGTAAGACTGCGGCCTTCCTGCTCCCGCTTCTGGTCTACATTTCGGAGCTGCCACGGATCGACGAGTTTGAGTGGCGCAAGAACGACGGCCCATATGCTATTGTACTGGCACCTACCCGTGAACTGGCGCAACAGATTGAGATTGAAGCCAAGAAATTCACGCAGCCGCTTGGGTTCAATGTTGTCAGCATTGTTGGTGGTCACTCGATGGAAGAGCAGTCATTTAGCCTTCGTGATGGCGCTGAAATCATTATTGCTACTCCCGGTCGGCTAGTCGACTGTATTGAGCGACGCATGCTGGTGCTCAGCCAATGTTGCTACGTCATTATGGATGAAGCAGACCGGATGATTGACATGGGTTTCGAAGAGCCTGTAAACAAGATCCTTGACGCTCTTCCTGTTTCAAACGAGAAGCCCGATACCGAAGAAGCGGAAGATTCCCGCGCCATGAGCCAACACCTGGGCGGACGCGGACGCGGAGGCGAACGCTATCGCCAAACCATGATGTACACGGCCACCATGCCTGTGGCGGTCGAACGGATTGCGCGGAAGTACCTTCGCCGTCCCGCAATCATTAGTATTGGCAGTGCCGGCGAGGCCGTCGACACCATTGAACAGCGTGTAGAGATGATTTCCGGTGAAGACAAGCGCAAGAAACGTCTCGCGGAAATTCTGGCTTCCGGCCAGTTCCGACCCCCGATCATTGTCTTCGTCAACATCAAGCGAAACTGCGACGCCATTGCTCGCGAAATCAAACATATGGGATTTTCATCGGTCACCTTGCATGGTTCCAAGACCCAGGACCAGCGTGAAGCCGCCCTCGCATCTGTCCGCAGCGGTGGCACGGACGTTCTGGTGGCTACGGATCTGGCTGGACGAGGTATCGACGTCCCTGATGTATCTCTAGTCGTCAACTTCAACATGGCCACCTCTATCGAGAGCTACACTCACCGTATCGGTCGTACTGGTCGTGCCGGCAAGAGTGGTGTTGCTATCACGTTCCTGGGCAGTGAGGATTCCGATGTTATGTATGTTTTCGTCTCCCCTAAGCTTATCTTGATATATCTGCTAATGCCTTGGAATCAGGTACGACCTCAAGCAAATGCTCATCAAATCTCCAATATCGCGCGTCCCCGAGGAGTTGCGCAAGCACGAAGCTGCGCAGTCCAAGCCGTCGCGCGGACCGGGAGCCAAGAAGATCGAGGAGAGCTCCGGCTTTGGTGGGAAAGGTGGATGGACCTAGCCATTTTGATTTCTTCTGTATGATTTGAATGTACACTACCATTGTCTTATGGCGATACCTTACTATCCTGTCCATGGCTCGAGCTAGAGGAGTATTCCTTGTAAACATACGTTCTGGTCGCGGGGGCCTCTGATCGCGTGTCAACATCGAGAGCACATCGGCAGATTCAGCCCAAAGCAGCAAGGCCACCGGTGGTGCCGAGATTACCGCCTGCAACTTCACCAATCATCTTGCTGGCTGACGGGGGCTAAGCAATAGAGCCGCACACGCACCAGGCTGCGAGCCCCTTTTTACAGGTCGGTTTGTGGTCCCGCAGTAGCGCTGTAGACAAGCCTTCGAGTGGACTCTCCATTTAAAACCATGCTTGGCCCCGCTTTCGCTTGGGGGCCGCTATCATCGTTCCCCATTCGAAGTTCCCTGTGAGATCCAAGGCAAACTGGGATATGCGGACTCGAACGGCCTTGAACGCCGCAGTTTTGGCGGGCACTGTCTCGGCCATTAACCTGAACATCGACAATGAACGTACGTTTGATAATTTCGCCAAACCTCGGTCGATTGATCCTAAAAGTTGCTAGAATCCATTAAAAATGCCGCTGCCACGGCCGCCTTCAACACCTTGGTTAATTATACCGGTAACCAAACGGGACAAATTCCAGGCTATATTCGAGGTGGCTGGTGGGAAGGCGGCGCTCTGTTCCAGACGATGATCCAGTACTGGTACTTCACTGGCGACACCTCGAATAACGCCGCTGTCAGCCAGAGCATGTACTGGCAGCGTGGGAGCGGCGACGATTTTATGCCGGCCAACTGGAGCTCATTCCTTACGAACTCGGATCAGATGGCGTGGGGCCTAGCTGCTATGACCGCTGCCGAGCTTGGCTATCCTCAGGAATCTTCAATGCCTTCATGGGTCAGTCTGGCTGAAGGTGTATTTGACACCCAAACTAGACGATGGGACAACAATGCCTGCAATGGCGGCTTGCGTGATGGGATTCAAACACTAGATGCTAACTATGATGCAAAGACTGCGGAGGACTCTTGCAGCTGGCTGCGCGTCTGGCTCGGTTTGAGAAGAATGACCATTACTATCTTGGCTGGGCCGAGAAAGTTTGGGAGTGGAGCGAGCAAGTCTCGCTTGTCGACACGAAGAGTGGGAAGATTGCGGACATGATATCCACGGCGAATGATTGTAAAACAGTCAGTGATCTCCAGTGGACTTACACCTATGGCCTGTATCTCGGAGGAGCAGCGTACATGTACAATGTGGTCAGTGATTCATTCCCTACTCTGCTTCAAATACAGTACTCGATGAACATACTTGGATGGGACAAATACTAACAGAGACACAGACCGGAAAACAAACATGGAAGACAAATCTTGATGGTCTGTTGCAAACTACTTTCGACACCTTCTTCCCAAAGGCTTATGGAGGGAATATTATGTCCGAGACTGCCTGTGAGCTAGAGGATACCTGCAATTCCTCGGAGGATATCTATAAGGGACTCCTCGCGTCTGACCTTCTGTTCGTGAGCATTGTGGCGCCATATATCGCTGACAACATCACTTCGCGCCTGCGGGGGTCCGCTGTTGCGGCGGCGAAATCATGCACCGGCGGTAATAACAATACCCTTTGTGGCCAGCGCTGGTACGATTCAAAGTGGAATGGAACTGCGACTATGGGAGATCAGATGAGCGCTGTCAACATCTTTACGGCAGCCCTGGCCTCCTACGTACATGTTAATGCGTCGAGCCCGATTTCTGTCAATGCGACGCGATCAGCCTCGAGCAGCACTGCAGCCACCACCAATACGAATGGTGCCATCGCCCTCGCACATGGCAGTATAAGCGTCTTGCCCCTTATTGTGGCAGGTATTATTGCCGCTCTTCAAGGTGTTGTCTAGTTTCAGCGATATTGAAGTTACCTTGACGGTTGTATGAATAATAAGATGGAACTATAAGTCTTTCTCCTCGGACAGAGCGTAAAAACGTCCCTCATTTTGTACGTCTTTTCATTCAGCAAACGTAGAAATCCAGGCCGAGTTCTGACACATACGTACTAAATTGGGCACATTTAACAAGATAGCACTTGACTAGCTGAGCGTTTCACAAAAGATAGAAGAGACATGAAACGCAAAATGGGGGAGATATTACAACGTTGCTAACAGTGAACATTCACCAGAAACAATTACAAGGTGGCTAGGTATGTCTTCGCCAGATATACCCGGTCCGACCTGGATCGTGCTTGCCCAAATAGGCAAAGCGGGCCGCGGTCGCTCCTTCCGGCAGCCCAGCCAATCCCGAGATGGCAGGAGTCATGCCGAGGTCTTCGCTCCTTCCTCACAACGCGCCGAGCTCGAACGACACTGACGCTCGTCGGCCATCACTAGATTTGATACCTCTCGATTCATTGCACTTCCTTTCTCACCATTCTCGCTCTTGCCAGCGTCATGTCCAAGCTTTCCCAGCCCTTGAAGGCGCTCATCAACTCTCCTCACGCCAGACCCGACACTATCCCGGCGCCGCCACAGATTAAATCCTTATATGAGAAAATAGCCCGCGATGCATCCTCCAAAGACATTGCCCTCTCCACATGGCTGAGCCTCACGGTATGCGCGGTTCCGACACCTTTTTTGTGTCTCCCGCTAACTCAACCCCCCAGACCGCGGCGACCATGACCATGAACTCGCCGGAGTCATTGCTCCAGCTTCATGGAATAGTGTCTCGCCTGAATGCCTCAGAAAGTGTCTATGCAGCAGAGCTCATGAGAGAAGTCGGAGTCAAATGCATTGGCTTCAACGGTGTATGTGCAATTCACGCTTGCAAACCAAGAAGATTTTGTTAAAGAGACCCCAGATCCCTCGAAGCATCAATTGCCTCAATGCGTTCTACGCAGGGCTTCCATCTGATGTAAGGAAGAAATTATCAACAGTCCCCACTCGGTTAGTCTTGGACCCCTCGGTTGGACAATTAGGATTTCAAATTAACCATCTCTAAACAGATCCTTAACTCCGGATAACGTGTCGGGTGCCCTCGAAAGGGGTAATGGGCTTTGGAAATCAATTTACGCGCCTTTGGATGAAAAGCTCAGAAACAAGCTTGCCCAGTCCCACCCAGACTTGGCCGTGCATATCATTGAATGTGGCTATGGATCTCTGTTTTCGGACAACCCTTCTACGCCTAAACCGGCACAGGTTGGGAGAGTTCTCACTTCGATCGTTGCAGTTTCCTGTCTGCGGGCCCAAACTGGGACTGGGCCCCAAGTTGTCAGTCATGTATTTGGGTTGCGAAAGGCCTTCCAGGATCAGAACGCACAATTGGAGAAGGATGAATATATCAAGGGTGCGCAGTGGCTAGCTACTGACGAGGGAAGTATCTGGATGCTGGAAATCGTGGATTCCATTGTCCAGGTCATTGGAGAAGGCAAGGGAACGACATTTGCTCCTGGGCTCGGAAGGGAATCAAAGTTGTAACTGATCGAATATGGGTTGATAAAATTGGCATGTTATGTAGAGTATCAAAGAATTCGTGACTGTTATTCCCAGGGTGAATGAAACTTGAAAGTTAATAAAGGAGCTCCGATGCTGACCTGCACACTGCTGTGGTGTCCCTATAAATTCCCTATATTAAGCTATTAAGTTTTGCGAAACTCCTATACACTGGGACTTCAGTGCCCTATACCCTCGGACCCCCATGCCGTAGACTCCATCCTTCTGCAGCACACATTATCTTAAGAATTTCCAAGATTATATGCACAATAGGGCACCGAAACTATACAACTTCGTATCAGTCGGAGACGAAGCATAATGCCACCGATGTTAGAAGCACTCTGCAATAAGCTACTTGAAAAGCGAGATTCCCACAGCATATTCTCATGAATAAATTATATATTGTTGGAACCTCCCAACCCTTTCCCTCCCCCAAAAACAAAAACACCAAAATTTAGATTCCTGAAACCGTTCTGGCTTTCTCACTTACAGCGGAAGGATCCATGAATGTTCTCAACTCCACGGCTTTCCATAAGCCTTCTTCTTGTTCTTCCAGTTCGATAATGTTGAATTCTCGAACCCTGATCTCCTCCTTTTCGCTGTCGGCTTTGAAAATGGAGACACTGGTCGATTCGTACATGATCGTGCGGTGGTTTTTGCTTCCTTCGGACGCTTGGATGTCCCAAGTGACATCCACCTCGTGTCCAAAATAGGCCAAATTTTGCGCACGCATGAGAAACATGGTTTTAATTTCAGCAAGTTTCCCAATTAACACGCCGTTCACCGTGAAACGTGCTGTGGGACAGATGAACTCATCCAGTTTGGCAATATCGATTGTGTTGAGGGAGTCAAGGAGGGGAAGAAGGGATTGAAGAAAACGTAGTCCCGGCGAAGAACTAGCCGGAATCTCGATAGTATCCCCATGATGGATGTTGGCCATAATGATCAATTAGTTTCTTGCAGGAATTCTATACAAATCCAAGGAGCAAAAACCCACATAGCCATGAGAAGAGAGAAAAGAGGACTGTTTACGACTAATCCCGTTTGTGTCAATCTGTCTTCTGTCACGTGGGAACATTACGTCACAACTAGATCTCGCCAAAATGTATGAAGATTTATAGTAAATTACAACTGATTATACACCGAAATACAATACGTTCTAAGTCGCGATAAGGGCTTAGCAGGGGTTGTTTCCCGATAGAGACTAAGGTAGTTTCGGGTACGAGCCGAAAAACAATCCTTGAGTGTCCATAGAGCAATCTGTTTTCGAAATCAATTATCCAGGGGAGCTAGTTGCAGGTCACTGTACCTGTTTGCTGATGTCACCAACAGCAGATGAAAAAGAAAGATTGGTCAACATTATTAAACAGCAGGCGCTACTTGCTAAGTTACTTGCTGCTTCTCTGTTGATGATTAATAGACATCACTAAAAGGCCTATGGGAGGAAAAGTGGGGCGCGGAAGCAGACTGGTCTTAATATCAAGGTTGATGAAAGAGAAATCCAGGCCGTACAGTAATTGTTTATCCTGATGACATCTAAATCTTCTCCGATGCCTCGGAAAATCATTTCTAGGATCTTAAGTTCTACTTTGTTACAATGCTTAGGAGCAACGCAATTCCTTCTGTTAGCACTGTTTGCATTTTGGTATGCTCCTTCTGGTGGCTAAATATGTAGACGGAGGATTTTTAGACAAGACATAGACTACAAACGCACAATATAACTATATTGACAGTTTGGTATGTAGTCTACCTAGATACAAGAGCTTAATCTATATTGAGACTCATTCTTACAAGCCCCCGTGCTAAGTCGGCGTTCTCAATGCAATGAAGTTGAAACTTTCCGGATTCAAAGCTTCGCCATACCAGCCTTCTGTTCCTCTTTGACCTTCTCTTTCAGAATTCTTCTCAATATTTTCCCAGCTGCACTCTTCGGGATTTCATCAACGAAGCGAATTCCGCCCCTTAGTTTCTTGTGGTTTGAGACCTTCGAATTCAGCCAGTCGATGATTTCCTGGGCCGAGCCATCACACCGCTCTATGCCTGAACGCAGCACAATATAGGCGCGAGGGACCTCAGTGTGCTCCTTTTCAAGATTGACGCCAATAACAGCCACGTCATTAACATTTGGATGGCCGAAGAGCAGCCCTTCGAGCTCTATAGACAATGTTAGATGCCGCTAGAGGCAAAGGTTTCATGGGACTAACCTGCAGGTGCCACCTGGAACCCCTTGTACTTAATGAGCTCTTTCACTCGATCGGTGATGTAGAAACTGTCACTTTTATCTTGATATCCGATGTCACCAGTTTTGAAATATCCATCCGAGGTGAAGGAATCCTTTGTGGCCGCCGGATTGTTCCAGTAGCCTTTGAAGACGTTGGGCCCTTTGAGACAGAGTTCGCCATTCTGGCCAGTGGGCACCTCTTCACCATCAGGAGAAACATACTTCGCGGTCAAATTCGGCATCATCTTTCCAACGCTTCCACAGGTGGCATACCAGTCCTCCCAAGGCTGCATATGGGTGATGGGGCTGGTCTCACTCAGGCCGTAGGCTTGGTTGATCTTGACATTGATACGCTTATAAACAGCGTCAACAAGCTCGCGTGTCAATGGTGCAGCACCGGAGGTGATCATGCGTAGAGAGCTGAGGTCGTACTTCTCAACCACTGAATGATTCGCGAGGTGGACCAGGACTGGTGGCGCGACGTATACAAATGTCACTTTATGCTGCTGTACTGTCCTGAGGAAGAACTCCAGATCAAAGCGTTCCATTGCAATCATCTCAATACCCCGGTATAAAGGTTGATGTATAAGAGTGGTGAGTCCTGAACAATGCATTAGATGTGACCAAAACATAACCAACTTATGCCTCTGCTTGACTTACCATAAATATGGTAGAATGGGAGCAACCCGATGAATTTGTCATTCTGCCACGAATAGCTCTTCCCGATTGATGAAGCGAGCATCAGGATATTGGAGACAATGTTGGAATGCGTCAACATTACACCTTTGGGAAGTCCAGTGGTGCCAGAGGAATAAACCAAGAATGCAAGATCTTCATCGGGATTTAGACGTGCTCTTCTCATGCTTGGGGCAGCTTTGATTTGATCGAAATGTTTAAACTGCCCGTCCGGATCTCGATCATCACCAAGCAGGATGATACGATCCAAAGGAATGTTAACTTTCTTGGCCGCAGCGGTGACGACAGGTAAGAGCGAACGAAATGTTGCAATTGCCTTGGTACCGTTGTCTTTCAGCTGAAAAGAAAGCTCATCAACAGAATAGGCAGGGTTTGACGGTGAGACAGTCCCACCCGCAAAAAATGTCCCGTATATTAGGACAGGCATATCGATACTATTGGGCGCGAAAAGAGTGAGCATATCGCCTTTTTGCCAGCCCCATGTTGACCGCAAGCCCTCCCCGAAGGCAGAAGCCGCATTTTGCAGACTTTCGAAGCTATAGTACCGGTGGGTAACTGCATCGCGATAGATCACTGGGGAATATTAGCACGGAGCGGACAGAATATCATTCTCAAACGAACCTTTATCAGCCGGGAACGTATTGTCCCGCTTCTCTTCGAACATCAAACCCCAAAGGTCTACCGCGGGGATATTGATTGCCGGAAAGGATGATTCTGTCGGCATGCTGTCGGGTAATTGTAAACAAAGGCCCAGCGACTCGGTATTCTCGCCTGCTGCAAGCAACAGATAGGTATGGATCTAAGGGATGCGTTGTTATATCTGACTAATTGATAGCTATAGCCCTCGTAAAGAAACCCGAGGCAACGGAACAGAGCTTGTCAGCCTCTCAGAACGAAATCGGCCGAGGAAGAGTGAGGGGGATGGTCACCTGACTCGTGGCACATCGAACAAGAAGTGATCGACCGTGGCTTGGCATCCTCGGATTTCCGGATCGGGAAATTTATGCCCACACTCAAAATGCTGCAATTTGCCTTCTCGTCGAACGGGTGACTACCCCACAATTTGTTTAATAGCTCATACAGTGAAATGAAGTGCCACGGGTCTTTAGATGATGACCTTATTTTGGCTGACATGATGGATTTGAAACCAGATTCGTATCACAAAGCAAATTGAAACACAATCACTTGAGCTCTGGAAAGGAACGGAGGAAATGAGCTTCACAGTGATACCCATCCGGAACTTTGTCCAAATAGAGCTGATGATACTCCTCCGCATCCCACCAAGGTCCAGCCTCTTCAATCAGGGTATGGACAGTGCCCTTGAACCATTGCTTGCTAACTTTTTCTGTCACTTCCTGAGCTATCTCCCGTTGCGTATCGTTGTGGTAGAATATGGCAGAGCGGTAATTTGTTCCTTCATTGCGCCCCTGTTTGTTGAGGGAGGTCGCATCGTGGATTCGATAGAAGAATTCCACAAGCGATCGGTATGAGACAATAGCTGGATCAAAAACCACTCTCAAGGCCTCGGCATCTAAATATGTCTTTGTTGGCACTTGCTTCAACGATCTTAGGGAAGTTTAGAAAAACGCACGTCCAGTCGTGCCAGCACAAACTCCTTCATATGTTGGGTCCACTGTTTGGCCGCCTGTGTATCCAACTCGTGCATCTTTCACTCCATTTCCATTACCGAAATGCTTTCGGTACAAATGTTCGATTCCCCAAAAGCAACCGGCGGCGAACGTGGCTACTTCATCCTTTGTATCATTTGTTGTTTGCGTCATTGTGCCATGGGTTTCGATAAATAGCTTGACAGGATAATGGAGCGCGAATCCTCTACCAAAGAGACGAGGTGATTTAGAATAGCTAAGTAGAGGTGAGGGGCTTATTGCAGATGGCCCGAGGGAAAAGGCAGACTAATTTGTCAGAGTGCATCCCCGCTTCTCCATTAATAATTATCAGAGGTTTAACGATAATTTTAGTACTCCATACTCCGATCAGATTGTTTGGCCCGTTCGGCTCGGCTTTTCGAAAAGGTTTCCGAATTCTAGGCCAGCAAGCGGTTTTGCGTCGGCGGGCGGATGAACCCCGTGGGAATTTTGGATGGTGGGTATTCCGTTGATGTTGCTATTTATGAGTTTGGACTAGGGCGCAAGAAGTCTATCTAGGGCGGAGATGCCGAGGAGTTTCGTATAGAGAGCTTGCTCCGCGATGAGACATAGGGGGCTGAAGACAAGTTCTAGGCAGATTTCTAATCGATGAACAACGCGTATTCAAATAAGCCATGTGATTGTATCTGAATTTCATACTCTCTATCAGTTAAATGATCTTCGTGTATGCCCAACTTCACCACATGCACTCGACTTTCGAGGTGTCTTCTTCCGCTTCTGACTAGGCTCCCGTTTTGAGTGCGGAGTCAACACGAGATGGATATTTTCCAAAAAAAAAAAAAAAAAAAAAAAAAAAAAAAAAAAAAAAAAGAAGAGCCCCCCATAAAGGCTGTTATTGTCAATGTTCCTGCCTACCTCTATGGCTAGGTGCAGAGGAATACAAGGTAGGCTGCACACGCTGACGCTTTCTCGTATTGATCTTATTCGCCGAATTGAAGCCGCCGACTCAGCTCCTACACATGAACACCAATAATTAATGCTCAGATCCTCGGTTTTTTCGAGCGACCCTTCACGCCTCTAGCGGATCTTAGCCAAGCGATTCTAGAGCACATGCGTGGTTTTCCGTACGCGATACCAGAAGAAACTGAGGAGCAATTTTGCAGGACTCCGAGTATGATTAAATGTCCTTTCTCATGAAAACAATTTCTATATCCCACCTGTTTCCGTTTCCATCCCACACGTCATAGTAGTTCGGCACGATCTTGATCGGTGTGTATCCCCGGCGGGCATACCAGGCTTCGTTAGTGATCTGCAAAGAATAAATAGTTTGATACAGATTCGGCACATATCTTAAGGCGTATGTGCTTACCTTTGGGACGGCACCGTATGTAGACACTGCAAAATCCTCTCTGATTTGGTGTTCCTTCGTAACCGTGTCTAGCATGAGTGTCTGCGCCCAGAGTGGCTCTCGAGCTGCCATCTCCTCGACTTCATCCATAGCCGCTCGCCCAATACCTTCACCTTGAAGTGATTGCAAGATGAAGAAGCTCTTAATCCAGAACACTCCTTCTGAAGGTATCTCAAGGCTAAACCTTTCTGCGTCTTTGTTCTTAGAGTCCAAGGAAATGTGGCCAATTGGAACAAATGCCACCTGTGATGCCTCCCGTGTAGCCCCATGGACTGATTCTGCTGTATCATAAAGCACTTCTTCATCGCTATCGCCAGGTTTTGTGCCATCTATATCATCAGACTGGCGGACCTATGTGTCAAGTTAGCATTTAGGTCTTTTGTAAGGTAGGTAACTAGAAATATTGATTGAACTCACAATCCAGTACATGCATTTCTCACCCCGGATTTGTTGCTCTCTCCATTCTTCCTCGACCTTTTCATAATCCCAATTACACTGCACTCTTTGCTTATAAAGCAACCTTCGGTGAGCGATAGATGTGGCGTCCCAAGGGAAAAGTGAAATACTTGGTTTAGGACTCATCACCGGCAAATTTGTATCTGAATGTCCCAGACGAGTAGCGGCAAATTCCACGATAAAACTTAAAGAGTTCTCGCGGCTGAAGGGTATGCTTAATAATATGCCAAGTCAACGTTAACTTAACTACCGCAGTTCATAGCCGAGCCGCCCCCACTTGCCAGCCGGCCACTAAGTCGCGCGCCCCCAACGCGTCAACTTCCTCATTCAACTACCCACCATGCCATCAATACGCGACCGATCGTGTAGCTTCGCGGACAGAGGATAATTCATGTCAATTCCCAGTACCACGCTCAACCCTATAAGATCGCCTCCGCGGCTACTCCTTAATCTCTAATACCGGCGAAAAAGTCATAATTGACTCCTGAAGAAGAGAAATAGCTGGATTACGGACGAAATTGGGCTTCGATGGATAGAAAAGAAATTCATTCCTATTACTAGTGTTCTTAGTGGCCACTGTAGTCGTTTGACTCCCTGTTTTGATCGATGCATGCCTCCGAATTCGTCGCATCTACTACAGCCTTTTGCTGTAGCCTATTTTGCCCCACTGAAGCGCGCACATAGGGGGTTGATGGAGGCTAAAATGAAGCTGATAGGAATTCGAGACTCATGACTGACTCGCCACAGCAGGGGCTGCAGAGGTCGTACCCTCAATGTTTGTAAAGGGAGCGGCAAAGCCGTAGGTCTTATAGCCCTGTGAGTAGTCCTTCCCCTCTTCACGAGCTGTCGCGGATATTATCAGCTATATCAGTACCATAAAAGACAAGGAAAGACGACTCACCATATTCTGGAGGGAAAAATTCCATGCGGTGCTTGTAGTACCTTTCCCTCAAATCCAGGCCATCCTTTTTCCCGTGAAATGTCGCATAGAGACTGGAGCGACTCTTTTCCGTCTTGTTTTCAGCTGAGCGATGAGCAAGATGCGATCCAAAAATCAACATATCGCCGGCCTCCAGCGGGATCGAGGTCCATTCGTGTGCATTCTCCCACTCTGGTTTAATACGACCTCCAGTCTCAAATTCCACCTGCATGCGGTGAGATCCTGGTACCACTTGCAGACACCCATTCTCCGGAGTGGCGGGATCAATAGCCACATTGGCAGTAACATGCTCAATCCGACCAATATGGTCATAAGCAGGAGCATCCAGATGCGCCTTGAATCCGTTACCATTCGGCTGCTTGTAGTTGATTTTATCTTTGAAAAGAAGCATATCCTTCGCCGTTGTCAATCTTCACGCATGGATTAGGAAGGATGAGATTGCTCACATCACCAGATACTGCCTTGAGAATCGCCGCGAGCTGTTCTCCGCAGACGAGTGCCTTGAATTGCGGGTGGTAGTCGATGAATTTCTCCGTTCGCATGAGCTGACGTTCGCCGTTGATGTTGATTTCATCGTACGGCATCCACTTCCCTTTCTCTTGAGGCCAGGATTTGACTTCTTCCGCCCATTGTTTCAGAGCTGCTGGTTCAACAAGGCGATGTTCGTGAACCCGAAGCAGTAGGTAGCCGTTCTCGTGATAAGAGGCAATTTGCTCCGGAGTGAGAGAAACCATTTTCAGGTCGCGGGAATACTAAGAGTAAAATTGCAATGCTCGATAGCCGTCGAGAAGGCCATTGGCCCGATTTATATGTTTCTAGGGTGCAGGCAGATCCGGTTATTTGCCCCGGCACTCCAATGAATCGAACTGCAATCTGCGGTCACCAAGTGTGCCGTTCCTCCTTATGAAGCCCCACCAATCCGCCTTGCGACCCCCCTCGATAGCCAAGACCTTGGATCCCGCACGGCCTCACGGCCGAGCGTTGAACTGGTGTTCTTGCCGATGCCAAGAGATGAAGGGGACAGAATGCAATTGATTAATGCGACCTGCCACGTCTCCACAAATAGAGGTCACGGCACGGACCAACGCACTTCGCACCGACATACGGAATGCACGGACGAGGTGGGGGTAACAAATCAGACCGCCGAAGACGCACAGTCCACATGAGCCGACTCTGATTGGAGATCAATGCAGACGGGCTTCTTGCCTTGCGCCTCCGATATCTTGCCTGATGCTAGTTTTGTGGGTTTTTTGTTGGTTTTCTCCGAGAGAACATGTGGGCACAAACACAGATAAGTAAGTCGAAAGCGCCCAAGAAACAAAGCATCCGAGCACATCGCAAAACTGCAGAGCAACCTTAAAATGAATCTCAAAATGGCCATACCGCTGACTACTGAACATCTGGCATCTGTGAAGGAGCACACGCAGGCGACAATCACCTCGCTTTTCGCCTTTTTGGCTGCCCAAGGACAAGGTGACTATCTCGGCGAGAAAGTTACCCAACTAGAGCACTCGCTGCAATGTGCTCATCTGGCGAGTCAATCCTCAGAGTATGGCTCGGATCCAGAAGTCATCCTCGCCGCTCTTCTCCATGATGTCGGCCGATTCATTCCAGCCGCAGAAAAAATGGGCAAGATGATCGCACCGGATGGACAGTATATTGGCCAAAAAAGTCATGAGATTCTCGGAGAGTCGTATCTTCGCCAGATCGGGTTCAGCGAGAAGGTCTGCCTACTCGTTGGGGCGCATGTCATGGCCAAGAGGTATCTGGTTGCAACAGACCAGAGCTATTATGATGGACTGAGTGAGACGAGTAAAAGAACACTCAAGTTCCAGGTATGTCCCTGAACATTCTGCATCTATAAAAAAGTATACCAGCTGATGCTCGACAGGGTGGGGGGTTTTACAGCTGAAGAAGTCCAGAAGGCGCAGAAGGATCCATTGCTCGAGGCAAAGCTTGCAGTGAGACGCTGGGATGATCAAGCGAAGGTTCCAAACATTGTTGTTCCTCCTTTGGAAGCGTATAAGGAAATTGCTTATGACTGCCTACTCGGTGAGCGCTATATCTTTCAATACACCTAAAGCAATATTAACATGCAAAGAAGAGTCTCGGTCCAAGTTCACTCTTCATTCAAAGGAGTATTCTATTCCTACCCGACCTACGGTTGTGATCTGCATCGATGGATTTGATCCGGATTATCTGAATTCTGGAATCCAGAGATGCGTCCTACCAACCTTCAAGAAATTTGTTGACAACGGATTTGAGGCTACCGCCAAAAGCTGCATGCCCTCGTTCACAAATCCAAACAACGTGTCTATTATCACTGGAGTACCGCCCTCAGTTCATGGGATCGCCGGAAACTTTTTCTTGGACCGAGAAACAGGAAAGGAAACCATGATCACGGATGACACGTTGCTCCGAGGCTCGACCTTGCTCGAGCAAATGCACAAGCGAGGTGTGAGAATAGCAGCAGTGACGGCCAAGGACAAATTGCGAAAGATCCTTGCACATGGTATCAAAGGCGCCATTTGTTTCTCTGCGCAGCAAGCAGCAGACTGCACAAAGGATGAAAACGGGATCGAAAATGTTGAAAAGTGGATTGGACGCCCCGCTCCCAGCCAATACTCTGGGGACTTGTCCCTGTTTGTGCTAGACGCTGGAATTAAATTGCTCGAGGAAGGGCGGTCCGACTTTTTATACCTCACTCTCTCAGATTACGTGCAACACAAACACGCGCCAGGCGAGAAAGAAGCCGATGACTTCATGAAATCGATCGACGATCGCCTGGCAAAATTGGCCAGCCTGGCGCCAGTCGTCGGGGTGACTGGCGACCATGGAATGAGCAGGAAATCGGACACTGAAGGAGAGCCAAATGTGCTGTTTCTCGAGGACGCACTCAATGCCCACTTCGGCCCTGCTGCATCCAGAGTGATCTGTCCCATTACAGATCCGTTTGTGCGACATCATGGTGCTCTGGGCTCGTTCGTACGCGTATATTTGAAGGACAAAACCCAGGTGGACGCGATGCTTTCCGTCTGCAAGACATTCCCCGAAGTCGAAATCGCCCTCAGCGGCGAGGATGCAGCGAAAGAATACGAAATGCCCTTGGATCGTGAAGGGGACATTGTAGTCATTTCTACATCCAACACCGTGATTGGCAGCCGAGAGTCTGACCATGACCTCTCGTCGGTGAGAGATCACCCATTGCGGTCACATGGTGGCTTGAGCGAGCAAAACATTCCAGTCATCCTGTCAACACCGATAACTGATCGCAAAGCCGCACTAGGGAAGAGCTGGAGAAATTATGACATTTTCGACCTTGCGCTCAATTGGGCATCCTGAGCTTGTTCTATTGTTGCACCATCGGACGAGTAGGAGGACCCATCGATGTACTATAATGAAGCCACCAATCATCCAACTCCGGAAATTGTGTTTGAAAATCAAAATTTGCCATATTTTCCATCCATGCTACGTCGTACGAAGCCTGTTGCTCAAGCCGAGGTGTAGCGTGAAGGGTTTGGTCATGGACCGTGTGAATGGGGCTTTCTTGACACCGGCTCAAAAGTCTGCCAAGGCCTTCAGCAATGACACCGAGTAGATGTTGTGGGTGCATATAGCGAGTAATTTCGCGAAGGGTAGACACTGTTTCCGTAACGAGGGATAGGATTTTGGCTGTGTCAATTCGTATGGCCGACGCATACCTCGTCGCCACTTTGAGCAGAAACACGACGGCAAAGGCGATCATCGTGTCGAAGTATAGTGGAAGCCCGTTCAAGAAAGACTGGAACTCAGTGTCAGACACGATGACCCGGAGGATGGACATAGCGGATAAGACTCCAGCATTGGCGATTTCCTCCAATTCAGGCCCCAGATGTTGTGCAGTATTTTCCTTTGTGGGTGCTCCCCGGAATGCATGGGAGCAGAGGTAGAGCTTTGCGAAGTGAAAATGAAAGCCAACACCTTTCTGAGGATAATTCCCGACATTCTGGTTGGTTCGAAATGTTTCATTCCAATCGGCAAACCATGTGTCCAAGGCGATCGAGGATCGACGGAGCTGGGGTAGCGTTTGGGGAGGAACCGGGGTATCAACATCGACACCAAAAGTATCGAATACTTGTCCCAAGAGAGACCATTCTTTGACTTGACTGATCAGTCTTGCGTCATCTTCAGTTGCATTTTCTGTCTCAAGAAGACGACTAGCGGAGTCGATAATAAAGCCTTCTCGGGACATCGGCGGTCGTCCGTACGCTATTGAAAAGTGATGGTCGCACACATACACCAGGTAATATAATCGGGCCTGCAGGTATCCTTCACGGTCTCCCTTGAGTGCTTTATAAATCCCACTGTGTAGGTTAATGTCTGATGCCAGTCTCACGGCTACAGGAGTCAGTTCTGTGTGTTTCCTTTGCTATTTAGGGCTGCACTTACCATTCCCGATCAACGCCCATGAGAGTTCATGCAGCCAAAATGCTCCAATACATAACCCTCGTACATCTTCTTCGTTCGCATTCCGGGCGAATGTCTGTAATGCGACGAGGTTTTTGTATTCGTCATAACACACGTTGAACAGATGACCGAAAGACTGCGAGTGTAGCGCTCCAACAGTACACACCGCCGCTGTCAGTAACGGCGAGGCAAGTCGCACCGAGTCCAAGCTGATATGATCTCCCAAAATCCGATACAGGAAATGATCCAGTCGGAGATGGTAAGATTCAAACAGACAAAGCGCCTGATGCAATGTAAGAATCCCCGTCGAAACCAAGTCTGGGCGTCGTGGAAAGGGCATGTTATTGGGCTGAGCTACTCTTCCACTCTCGGAGACGCAGGAAGCAGGGATCGAAGCCGGGCCTCCTCTGGGGTCCATAACGACTTCCCAAGTAGTTTGCGGAGGGTTGCGAGCGCATGATTGTGCCATCGGGTTCAAATGAGAGGGTCCCGGGTTTGGAGGCACAGCTCGCGGACTGATGGAGCTTGACTCGCTTCTACGAACTTGTAATTCAGGCATGTCGATTTTCGTCGCTACCTGGCCCATGGCATCTTCCAGCCATCGCAGCTTTTGGACCACTGCCCCTTTCCATCTACATAGATCGATGAGTATGCCACTCTGAGGATAGCCAGAACACTTACGTTGCATCCTCCTCCAGTAAAGTCTGAAGACTTCTGTTAACAGTACAAGGAAGACCTCGCTTCTTGCATCGCGAGCAGGGAGATTCCCCATCGCGCATGTGGCATTTGACCTGGTATAGATCAGTTACTGCCTCAGGCACCAACGAAAGAAGGCGAGATAGACCTTCTGCTTGCGACAAGCCACACATGCGGTAATCTTGCGCGTTATGTCGGGCGGTTTCCGGTCGCCAAAGGATTCGCGCAGGGCATTCACTCCGGTCGGGGATCGCAGCGGCACATCCATTGTCTGTGCTTCAGAAACAGCCCTTGTGCCCCGTCTTTAATTGTTCAAACCGGCTAAACCAACCACGATTCCAATAATTCGTACGAGCTGTTGTCTCGATGTTGCAGGAAGCAAGAAGTGCCTCGCGGTCTTCGTGCCGGTGATAAAATGGCGATCGTTCCTGGAGCGCGGAGAGCGACCGACGCACGTGGTGGGGCTGGAAGGATGTCAGTGGAGAGGAGTAGTGTGGCGGTTTCTCCACTCACATCCCCGTGGCAGCATCAACGGCGCTCATTGCATCTCGAGGTTTTATCATGGCGCTCATGCACATTCAATCGGGCGGTCTTGATGCCGGTTCCAGGGCTAATTGACCAGCGCGGGAAGTCAGTTTCAGCATCTTCAAGAAGTATATAACATCAATGTGCTGTGTGTGACTTTGGGACGATATTCAGCATGGAGAGCAGGGAAATCTCAGATCAATTGCCTTTATACCCTGGAATTTTCACCCCAATATGACCTCCTTAGGAGCTAAGTTGCGGTTTCTCGTCACCGCAGGCGTTGGATTCTTCGCAGACGGCTATCTCAATCTGACTATTGGCCTCGGTAAGTGGTATTCTGGTTTATGAACAGTGCATTACTGAGACATTGCAGTGGTGCCGATCTTGGGCTACCTCTACTTCGAAGACACTCAAGGCCAAGTGCCGGCCGTCCAAAGCGATGTGATCAAAGGAAGCTTGAGCTTGGGCATGGTTGTTGGCCAGCTTCTATTCGGTTTCCTGAGTGATCTTTTTGGTCGCCACACTATCTACGGCAAGGAGCTAATATTGACGATGTTCGGAACGTTATTGGTGGTTCTTCTCCCATGGAAGAACATGTCTGCCTCTGCCGTCACAACATGGGTTGCTGTCTTCCGCATGGTGACTGGAATTGGGATTGGTGCAGGTCAGAAATCCTCTACATGATTATTGATCGTAGATTAATGTGTTTCAGACTACCCACTATCTTCTTCTCTGTCTGCAGAAAAATCCCCATTCGCCTCTCGTGCTGTGCAGATCTTGATGGTCTTCTCAAACATCGGCCTCGGCAATATCGCAGCCAGCATTGTCTTCTTGATCCTTCTCAAGGCCTTCCAAGGAGCAATAGCATCTGACCAGAGCAACCTGGAATGGGTCTGGCGGTTGCTGCTAGGCATAGGAATTGTGCCAGCTGCGCTCACTCTTTATGCGCGATTGACAATCTCGGAAACAGAGCCCTATAAGCAATGTCAGCCACCTTCTAAAATTTCAGCCGACGAATATTAACAACAATACAGATGTTTGCAATAGCCCTGCTGGCCAGAGTCGTGGCTGGAAGGAGCAGTGGGCAGACTTTCGCGAATACTTCGGGGAATGGAGACATGCCAAGGTGCTTTTTGCGACTGCTGCTTCCTGGTTTCTCTTGTACGCACCGAATCAATTACCATAATCGCGACCTTTGACTGACATCTTCAGTGACATTGCATACTACGGAATTAATCTTAACCAAAGCATCATCCTAGCAAGAATCAATTATGCTGAAGGAGCAACGCCTTGGGAGACACTATACAAAACAGCTGTCGGCAACATCATCGTTCAGGCTGCAGTAAGCACGTATCTGGCTTTACTTTCTTTCACTTCTAACTATCCATACAGGGATTCTTGCCTGGTTATTATGTCGGAATCTTCCTCCCAGATCGTATTGGACGTACTCGCCAGCAGCTGTATAGTTGCATCGCAGTCTGTATTCTCTACGCCATCTGGGCCGGGGTTAGCTCTCCCAGTGCACACACCTCTACCGCAGGCCTGATGGTCATCTTTGCGATCTCCCAGTTCATGCTAACCGTGGGACCTAACTGCACAACTTTTCTAATCCCTGCTGAAGTCTTCCCAACACGCGTTCGTGGTACTGCGCATGGTATCTCGGCCGCAGCGGGAAAATGCGGTGCAATTCTCACTGCATTTGCATTTGGAACAGTGGAAGATGCAATCAGCTTGCAGGGGGTCTTGGGCTTGTTCTCTGGAACGATGCTCCTGACTGCCTTAGTGACATTGATGATTCCCGAGGCCAAAGGGCAGACTTTGGAGGGTATTGAAAAGGATGAATTATATACACCAAGGGGGCCCGCTGATTCAGGGTCGTCGACTACCACTAGCTTGACCAATATTGCTGTCTATGAAGCCGGCCACGGATCACTTGCCAAAGGTATTTGAGGCACTTTGATGTAAATATTATTGCACGGTCAACAATTTTTCAAACTTTTATCAAATATGTTCGCTGTTTCGTCTATAAATTCCATTAGCTAAGATCCGATGTCCTAATAGGAAGGCCAAATACCTTCCTTCAAAATCTCTGCACATGCGGCTTATGCAAGGTGTGTAGGTCTTGCTTGATCAAATTGACCTTGGCGTATTTGGTGAAATCACTAATCAATTGTGTTTGCAAAGATATTTTAATATATCAACCGTGCGCGAGGAGGCTTGAGGTATGATTTGATATTGTATTCAGCTGTCCCTAACCGAGAAAGTTTCTGGCCGGTCTTCATGCAAGAAAGATAACACTGATATCGTACGTTACAGACGCCATCTTTTTGGGAGGAGGATCAACTCCTTGATTCTTCAACCAGCATCGCTGTCCCGTGTAATCTAACGCATGACAATCTTGTCTGTTTACGCAGCTCTCAAAGCATGATCTATAAGACGGAGAGGCAAACCCATTAAGAGTATCAGTTGCAACATCTGCTTGATATTTAGTCTCACAAGGAAGAAGAAATATGAAGAAGTAAAAATAGAGGCAACTGGTGCAGAGAAAGATAAATTTCCCTTCTACTCATACCAACAAGCACGCGTGGGGGTCTCATTCACTCATAAGACGGCTTGTCCCAGTCTGACTAGGTTATCATTAGAAAGTCTTTCCCGGTCGAACCCTTGCAACACCTGATTCAGTACTGCTTTCGAGAGCTCTTCTCGGTCTACAGTCGGGACGACTCGCCCGAAGACATTGATAACACGACACAGGGCGCTCAGAGCAGCCCTCGACCACGTTATTGAATTTGTCACTACCCCGGGCTGAGCAATGCAAACCTCAACCCCCTCATATTGCGCAGGAAAGTCGAGAACCATGAGCTCCGTTTCGCACTAGGGACAACGTTAGCGCGGCCATGAAAACATCTGATAACTCTCTGATAATAAAAGTATAATCCTTCACTACAACGGAGGGGGACCTCACACGCATGACTTGATATTCCCCTTTAAACGCCGGTCTTTGCGTCGGATCTCGGGGTGTCCCCTCGGCGCTAAAGTAAAGAAAACGAAAGGGTCGGGCCGGTCCAGCTTCGTACATGGCCTTGAATCCTGCCAGAGTACAATCTTGACATACGCGTTTAACCTCCGTAAAGTCAAAGCTTCCAGCTCTGAAAGGTGTTACTGCGACAGTCCTGAGACCTCATCCAAGACCGACATTAGCAAAATATTTCTCCAATAAGAAAGACGACTGATACACACCATATGCACGCGTCAGCCCCAGCAAATTCGGCTTTTACATGGTCTGGATACTCCTCATAGTCACTAATCACAACGCTCTTCAGCTTAGATGAATAGATGTCGTCTTCGACCTGGACGGGTTTCCTGGAAAGTGCGATAACTAAGCTTATCTCACTGATCTGCAGACTCTGACGGATGACCTCTGCGCCCACCAGACCAGTAGCTCCAGCCACAATGAGTTTCATCTTGGTCTGGGTGCCGATGTATGCGTAGGTGCGTCGTTTACCGGCTCCTGATCCTTAGGCTGCCAGCGTTGAGCTGATGTCCAGCTGGTAGTGCCGTCGCGCGAGTGTTATACATTTCAAGCGCGCTTGGGCCGACGGGATTCGGGGCCAAAGTTGTTTGGCACTGCATTCTTTCAAACACACAGAATTATTTTCGTTATCTCGCAATCATTTCGCACGTCGGGTACCCCGAACCCCGGCGGAAACGGAGCGACCGAATCCCGACATCGCTAAGTAGGTTTGAAATGTAGAACCACTGATCTGGTGAATTGAAGAATCTCGCACAGTATATCCAGTTGGCGGCCCGCCAAAATATACATTTCGCGATGCAAGGACACAGCCGGGAATCCTCGAATCGATCAAAACATATTTTTGAATGGGCGTAGTCACAATAAAGCTAAGAGCTACAGAAACTGCTATATTCGTAAGATGGAGCGCCTCTTTGAGACAATAGTATGAGAGAACTGAATCTATAAGGAGCAATAGATCAAATACCCAAACCTCTACTACCGCGGCTGGACGCATAAATGAAAGAGGTAAAAATAGTAGCAACCGAAAACAGGCACGGCTTTGCTTGGCGCACCTGGCTCCATCCCTTGATTTGCTTAGCAAACAAGTTTTGATCTGGAAGGTCCGTGTTGACGGGAACTCCGTCGGGCCAAGAACAAGGATATTACGATCCTCATCTCTGTATCTCCTGTCCACAGGCCAGGGGGTTTGGGATGGCTATCTCATCTTTTCATCCTAGACTTTGGAAGGGGGCTTTGGACAGCCGGATCATAGTGTGCAACAAGGTCGGAGCTTACTGTATCCGGGGGCAGCTAGAGTATGTCCATTGGAAGAGCTCAGTCCGAAACGACCGTTTGACTGCATTATTTGTTATGTGGCTGGTATTTAATGTGGCGCATCGCGGAGGGCCTGAAAGTTCCAACGGGTGGGTTTTCCCCTTGCCAGTTATTTTCGTGGCAGGGCTGCACAGGATGTAGTGACGAGAACGGTCGTGGCGGCAACGGATGTCGACGCTAGACCTGCACGGCATTTGGAAGACTCGCACAACTGCGTTTCAGACTGAGGAGTCCAGCAGGCGTGACGATCTGCTGGGCGATCACTGCCCTTTTTGTTCTCGTCCTTGAGCTCTTCGAATCCCCCTTGACAGGTTCACAAAACTGATTTGGAGCTAGTGTTTGTTGGGGAAAAGCTCAAGGAACATAAGAGAATACCTAATCATTTTCTGTCTCATGTCTGTCGGGTCGATTGTCTCGGTTCAAAATGAGGCGACCATCCGGTTCAACTAGTCGTAGATCATTGCGGGGCGGGTTAGGGCAAGAGCTAACGGTCTGAAACGTCATGTAGACATTGCAATTAATAGGCAGCGCACCTGAGACGAACGATCGACCACAGCCTCATGAGGATCAACATGCTAAGCCACCATGAGATAAGGTTGCTCGGATTCCGCAGCTCGGACCACGGCGTGCCTTGCATACTACAGCGCTAGCGCAGTCAAACATTGCTCCCACAAGCGAGGTCGGAATGACCGCGCGCCCCCCCGGTGACCAACACGCGTGGGAAAAGAAACTCTATCTTCTGAAACGCCGGGGTCTATATGGCGTTTTGTGGGTTTTGCAGGCCCGGTCCGGGTCCGCACCTTCATAGCACACGCTGCGTACATACCTCGGAAAGGGACACGGAACGGGCCATGTCAAAGGGTCTAGAGCGTCTTGAGGGCAAATTTGGGGCTCCCTACTCTGTTAATTGCTGAAGAGAATCAATTTTCTTGTCGATAACGGGAATTCCATAGTACCAAGGTTCACTTCGGACGAGATCTATGACACCCAGTGGCGTTCTCAAGCTACATAAGGCCTGTCTAATCGACAACGCCTTGGTTTTTGAGGCTTGAGGCACTTGCATTGGCGAAACACCAGGAGCTGCAAGATCCGCCTTCTTGTGATGAGTCTCGTACATGACACCGGATTGGATAATCCACGTGCCCCCTTCCGGAGAGTGATAACAGTCAAGTCAGTCTGAAACAGGGAGGAGGCGATCTTCCTCTGCCTTGTTGGTGGAGGGTCATAGCATTCCTGGCAGCGGCACTAACACGCAGCCGTGCAGGGTGACTCGTCAACCCGGAAGAAGAGGACGTGGTCGGTATGGACTTGACCTCGCAAGATCCTCTGGGCTCAGGTCCTGCCTTCTTTGACACTATTCTGAATCGCAGTAGTTGTAGATCGGTAGGGCAGCCACCTCGAGAAAGGAACAGCGAGAAACATGGAGGCGCAGACAGGACACGCGTGGCTTGAGGAATGTTATTCGCAAGCATTTAGGGCTAATTTCCGAGTTTAGAATCGGAACGCAAGGCCAGTGCGTGTGGATCTCCATGCGATCGACCACGTTGGTCGGTGTTTCAAGCTGCCTGTTGGCCCGACCCTGGCCCCCTTGGGTCAAACCCACGCGAGCTTGCCCTCCGAGGCATGCAACGCGCACTTCCCGTTTATGGGGATCGGCAATCTAGATTTGTCCAGTGATGACGTCCCCCTTGTCCAGGTTGATCAATGGGCAACGGATGCCTTTGTTTTGATGCCTCCCTTCGGCGGCGCTCCAAGCGTTTGTGCAAAATCGAATTCTTACTCTTCATCCCTTTACAATGGCTTCGGCGTAGATGCTGAATGGGGCATATCCCGCCCTGAAACATGTGGTCCGCCATGTGCCCGGGCACATCCCTTTGGAATGTCTTACTCGGCCCCAGAGGACAATCGTGGCGGGCCTCCACCATGGACCCTTGTGCACCGTGTACCTGCCTCCTGGTCCCAGCTCCATGCAGGGGGAAAAGGCCAATCACAGCCAGCCTGATACCTGTTTTGGGTTGGTGGAGAACCGGGTATGTGCTTCGTCACTGCTTGCTTTCGGTTAGTGTCCATCCCAAGGAATTTCAGGCCATGGGGTTCCTGTGGATCGCCATAGAGGGCTTTAAGACCCATGGCAAGTGGATCCTATCGTCGTAGGCTAAAGACGTACTATGTGAAGATCCTTCCTTCATTCCTTTCTTTTCGTCTCGGTTCTCCCATGTGGGACATGATGCAAAGCCCCAGACCCCCTGCTCGCGTGTGCAGCTGCATGTTTTCTCCGAGCTTAGCCTCGCCGTTTCAGGCGCATATAAAGCCTCGGTGCTGCCAGTCCTAGCATCGTATATCTCTCTCCATGTCCTCCATCGCAAGCTCACTTCTTCACCCTACTTCGCGCGTCTCATCAGAAACCAGGCTAGCTTCTTATCAAAGAGCTTGGACACTTGTTCCACCTACCTCTCTACCTCCTGGGTTGTCAACTCAACCAGCGGGGCTTTATATCAACCACCAGGCAAAGCCATCAATCATGTCTGTCCCAGTACCCACACCCACCGCAAGGTAAGCCTGAGCAAAGCTATTTTCGTAACCATGGCTAATGATGTGAAATGTATTAGTCGTCGCAACGCAGCCCCCACCACCATCCTGACACAAGGAAACGTCAGCCAAATACCACGAAGCAGCTACAGCGCTGTAGAACGATTCATGCGAGCGCCTACCGCAGAAGGTCCATACTTTGCAGGGGCGCGGATGCAAGAGAGATCAGCACATCTCACAGTGCTGTCAAGTCACCTCAATATCGTGGATGATATTATGAAAGCAAAAAGCTAGATCAATCCGAGGAAAGAAAAAGGAAATGCGTTTATTATGAGTCTATGTAAAAATGTCTATCATGTATAATAGAAGTCAGCAGGGGGTGTTTAGGTATCAAATACAGTCGATGAAAAATGCAGCCACCCGATCACAGCAACTCCGAAATATACGTCGCCACCTCCTCATATTTGGTGCTGGGGAACTCATGCCCTGCCTCGTAGAACTTGAAAACAGCATTTCCACCCAAGGCAGCCGTGGCATCCGGCACAAGTTCATCCTTAATGATGATTGCATCATTGATGCCACACAGAATGTGGACCTTGTGAGCAGGTTGGCCGTCTGTAGTGGAGCTGTTTTTCACGGTCAGGTAATTCCCAAGACGCGTCCATGTATTCCGCTGGCGCTGGGCCAGGATCGGGCCGTGCCGCATACTGGACATGAATGCGTGAACAAAGCCAGCGTGGTGATTCACCTGCCATGTTACCGCCGAAGGCACATTGATATGTGGGTACTCTCGCGACAGAATCTGTACAGCGGCAGCACTTTGCGACGGAAGCTCCTCGGTCAGGGCGTCCGCAGCATTCAGCTTTTCGCTCTTGGGCTTCGGAGACACCAAGGGACCAGCCCGCAGGCGACGGGCAACCATAAAGCTCAGCAGAAACTCGGGCATCAAACCACGCGAGTAAAGAAGGTGTGACTTGAAACTAATCTGGGAGTCTCGAACCAGTCCAGAGGGTGCCAGAAGGACCAGCGTCGACAGCAGCTGTGGGAAGAACGACGCGAAGGCTGTGGCAATGCCACCACCCAGAGAATATCCGACCAGGCAGAACTTGCCGGACTCCACACCCGTCCAGGCGAGTGGTGACGAAGTCAGGGCAAGCAGGATTTGTGTAGAGAAGAGGCGTTCGTCCTGAGGTAGATCAGCCGGGCAATCTGAGTACCCTCTTCCAAACCTAGACGGGGTCTGTCAGCAAAGCTGGCTCCGATGCGATCGTCTCCAGGGTAATTGTCCGCTTACAGGTCGAAGAGCATCACCCGGCAGCCTCGGTCCACCAGCGCATGGGCTAAGCCGCCAAGGGCGATACAAGGCGTGGTAATACCATGCACCAGCAAGACTTTCGGGCCGTCCTCGGGACCCCATTCATACACTCTGATCGAGCCGTACGGGCTCACGACGTCGCGCGCCCCAGGCAGTACATCGTTCGGGAGAGGGAGTTTGCGGCTCTCCGCGTCGGATAGTGATGGAAGGAGAGATGCGCGCGGTGAGAGAAGAATCGACGCGCGGGGGTCTGTTGGCGAAAAGAGTGACCGAATTAGCAGGCCGAGGGTGAAGGAGGCGCCCGTCACGGCCAGCAGGGGAAGCTGGGACCGTGGGTTGGCCAGGGAATCGGACAGGAAATCCACGGTTTGGCGGTACAGGGCCATGGTTCCTCTATGATAACGATTATGCAGTTCGTCAGACGAGAGTGTGTGAAAGAAAGAGAGAAATCCCCTGAGGTGGCCAACCAGTGAATTAACTGGGGTTGGCCGTGGAGCCGAGGCCAATCGCTGACGCCATGTGCCTGATAAGATAACGAACATGGGTCGTGATTTTCGTTGATATTTGTTTATTTACTTCCCGAGATTATATACATACAAGACGGACCCTATGAATGCTGTCTGGGATATTGACTGCGTGCTGAGTCTGGAGGGGCCATCGAAACTTCAGACCACCCGACATCTCGTTCAACCGAGATCGTAGTGTGGTCGCTTGGGGCCATATGAGAACCCTTCCCGAACGTGTTCGTAAGAACAATCTCATCCTCATCTGGGGGCCGGAAGGCCCTGTCAGAATAATGATAGGACGTGCTGCTTTTGTAAGATTGGCCCGTGGAACCCCCCTGCCTGTCGCTTTCAAGCCAGTTCGGGAATATTCGGCGTACCAGGGGCCGTAGTGTGGGGAGACAGGCACATGTAATCCCGATGCAGGGTTCGACACTGGACCAGATGAAGCTGTTGGATTGGTTCCAGGTTAGGTCGTCATTTGCGTACATCTGGGTCAGGAAGTAGATTCGGATCACACCCGCCACGCAAGCACTAAATATCAATCGAAGAAGAGAGTCGTCAGCAATCTAGAAAAAGCTCAAGGCGAAGAAAGTAGGTCAAAGAAGAGCGCGCTTACAAGCCAGCCAAAAGAAAGATTCCAAGCACAGTCAGTTTTCGATTCATGGGCATTTGAAGCCGCAGCACCATTGATATGGGACAGATCAAGATAAGGAAGTCCGTGAGCACACTCAGCGCCGCATTAGAAATGAAGAAGGCGTAGATGTCGACGCAACTCCCCTCGGCAGTGGGGTCTGTATATTGCTTCCAGAAATAGTCGTAAGGCTGGCACTGAAACCCCGCGGTGACGACAATCCCGATCCACCAGCCAAGCACTAGGAACGATAGTCCATAGAGCACCCGCCGGAACCAGGTGACGGGGAAGATGCGATGGTAGAGAAGGATAACCGACATTTTGACGGCTGGGACGACGCTGCCATAGAAAAACTCGTAGAGCCAGAGGAGCTATGAAGGGAGTTATCACGTATTAGCCACCCGTTATGTCTGATTGCTGCTTCAGTACTCATTTTGGGCGTCGATCACTCACCTTGGTGACAGTGGCAATGTTCACACCGGGCGCCCAGACATGTTTGCCGACACCGTTTTTGACAGCTACCGCAGGTGTCAGCTTCAATCTCCTTTCATCTTTGCTGTTGCCGGGTCGTCCACATCATATCATAAATGATGAGATAAATTGACTAGTGGCCTTACCAATTACACTCATGATCCCATTGCCAATCGCAAAAACCTAAGTTAGAATTTAGCTTAAGGGTGTGGTTTCTCGCAAGACTCAATCATTACCAATGCCACCGCCAGGACCCAGTCATCCCACCAAAATTTCGCTTTCGACATGGATCTGGAGATATACCGCACAATAACGGCAATCGTCGCCAGGGCGAGTAGCGCCATATCAGCGCCTATAATTTGAGGGCCGAGGCTCTCGGAGAGATCCATGCCCGCAGGCGGTCCAGAAGCCATGCCGAGAGGAAAGCAAGTTAGGAATTAAAAACACACATGATAGCCGCAGTTGCCCAGACGAAGAGGATGGGGTGGATTGGTGTGCGTGGAGGTTTGCACTTGTATTTGTAGGCCAGACGTCTAACTTCAACGGTCTCAAGGCTTGGAACTCCTGTCAATAACTCGCTAAAGGACCCCCGATCCTTTGGCGCCAGAGCGAGGCTGTCAGTCGTCGAGACTGTCTGAGCTAGATCCAATTAGGACAGACATGCACCACTGACACACGCCTAGGATTCTTTAGGTTTTCGGGTCTCCACCAACAACTCTCTGTCAATCTGATTGATCATCCAAAAATCAGTCCTTTCACATTTACATAGCGACCATTGAGATGGCTCATAATGCAGACATTTCGTGACCTCGACTTTGGAATCTATTGGTGCGCTTGGCACTTGTTTTTAGAAGATTTCATCTTTACCGGTGATCAACGTATTAAGAGACTTCCGAAATACTGTAAATGGTTAGTTCGGTAGTTAATTAGGCGAAGGAATATGCTTTCTGCCCCCAAATGTCAACGAAGAGCTTTTCACTCCTCAATCCACAGGGGCAATAATCGCGGCCTTCCTATTATTACCGGCTGGGCGGTCGAGTGTTTCCTTTCTGAGAGGCGTGAGTGATTCCTTTTTAGAGCGAGTGGACAAAACGCTGCTTTTGTATTATTCCATGATCACGCCCCTCCAAAAATTCCCTTGAGAAAACCCGGGTCATTCATTGGACACCACCACGGAAAAAGCTTCCATGTCTGACTCTGGTTTGAAGTTGTATCGATTACGAAGTAGACACAGAGACGACGGCTAGACCATGCCTGGCCGAACTATGTAACTTAGATAATTAGTCTAAACGTACCATGTTTAGTAACCCCTGTTATTTTGTGAGAAAGGAAGGCCTGGACCGTTAGACCCGTAGAGGGTTATGGTGCTACGACCGGTGAGAACCTGAACAATCGCGTAAAATATCTGCGGAGTAGGTTACTCACACATCCTAGACACACCACAGGCGTTAGTTTGCGTTAGTTGATGTGATGCAGAGGCTGCTAGAGAGGCCATTGCGGGGTTGCCCCAAGCCCGCTGAGACATAGATTGTAGTCTCAAAAACAAAACAATGACATTGTAGCACAGTTATAGTTTAACATAAGCCGAGAGTGAATAAGTAAACACGGTGATAATGCTTAGCCAGGGCCAAGCATCTTCCATGAAGTGATGCCATCCCTGTTCCGGCATCTACATGCCCCCGCCAGAGAGAAGTGAAGCGTCGCCCGTCAACGGCGAAAAGAGCGTACGCACTGTGCTAAGAGAAATAGGATTCGTCGAGTCAAGTGCGGTGAAGAAAAACTCCCCTGCCATCGTTGCTCGTCCACCGGCCGACAATGCGATCATCTGGGCTCGTCCATTGAAAGCCGGGGTATTGAATCGTCCCCCGTCTCGCCAACTTCCGATCCTGACGAGTGGCGGGGCTTTGACTACTATTTCTTCAAGGCAGGCTCCTCCATCACGGGGGTTGCGGATGTGATTTTCGGGAACGGCGTTCGGGAAAGGCGTGGTGCTGCAGATCTGTCGATTTGAGCCTGCGGCATGCCGCGTAAGCCACTGGCTTATTTTATGAAGCGCCACGCAGAGATATTGGATGTGGTCCCTTCTGGAAACATGTGCACCAAGCTACAGCCATCTCATTGACAGGCCGTTGCATGTCAGTCAAGGGTTTCAAGCGCCATCCAGACGCAGATCCAGCGGGCACGATGGATATCCAAGTCCCCCTGATCAGTTGTACCCTCTGTATTTGCATCAACAAGTTGCAGGGCCACCATGTCTACGCCATAATGGAACCATCTACAATGAGTACAGAGAGGCATTCGGGGAAATTGTGCACCATGGCAAAGAAGCCCTTGCACCAACGGAAACTCCATTTCATCTTCGAGATTTTCGAGTCGGTTTTTGAATACCGCTGCTGCTCATGGCAATAAATGCAGATAATCTTCCATCCGGTACCGAGCCCTTCCACTCCCCCAACAGTCCCTTCAATCCAGTGCCTCTACGTGGTCAGCGACGGATCCGCCCTCGTCGCCAAAGCCATCGAGATAGAGCAAGCCTATGCTGCGCACCAATCAACACGAACATTATCGGCGAAGTCATGCGGAGTCTGCAAGAAGTCACCGTGTGCAACCGAAATCCCGTGGATTATAGTCGAATCATCGCTAGGAGAAGACCTGTCGACTCAACCGATCAAGCCGAATGGACATTGGTGGAGCAACATGTCGCGCTGCAAATGAGATGAACCAATTTCAGATTTGTTTCCCTAATCCTTGTCGTGTACTAGCTCAGGTTCGCTCCCGGCACGTGTCCTAAATTAGACATCGACTACTGCGATGGAACGGCCGTGTCGCATTGGGCAAATTATGCTGGATCTCGCTTCCAGCCATGAGAGCATTGGCCAGTACCAAGGCTGAGTTGGTGCTTGAGACACCAAAGGGAACAAATGCATTTGCCAATGCATCTACAGCGACGGATCCTCATAAATCTGGCAAATTTATGGGCGTTATCACGAGCCGATGGTCCCCATAATATTCGGGAAAATCGATCTAGCATGCACTGCTGGCAGTTGGTCCCCCCAATCTAAGCATGAGAGCGATGGCATTTAGCTCTCGCTTCCCCGCGTATTCTATGGCGGTGCTAGGTCAATGAATACGAATAAGGGGGTAGACCTTGCAACTCCCCCGCTATTTGAATTTATCCAAAACTCTGAGACATTCCTGTGTTGAATAGAGGGATCGTACTGCCAACAGTGACTAGGACTGACACAAAGCTACAGACCAAATAGTTAGTGTCGATATGACATGAAACTGGAGATGACTGGCATTTAGGCTTGTGTACATGATGCCCAACATGATTCATGCTCTTCACTCCAACCCCACAAGTGGGACACCCGCTAGCCAGGCCCCGCCCGCTCATCCTTCATCTTCCATTCAACCATTAGTGCTTCAGGTTAATACTGTGTTCTCCCAATCATGCCCAGGTACATGCAGGTCTTTCTCCTGCGTACCCTGACTGTTACAGACTACTTGCCCAGCACTTAGTTCCGTGACAATTAAAGTGTTAGTTCCGCTCCAAGACTCTGACCTTCAGATCCTGCATGGTCCTCCAACCGTGTTCCTGACATATTGGTTTGGTGTTTAGCATGGGCGGCGCCACGAGGTACGAGGCGGTCTCTTGGCGTCTGACCGGCGGTATGTGATTGAAGGAAATTCTTCCATTCTAGTCCCGATGGCAGCCACCATTACAACTGCGGGGCTCGTTCTCGATCCGAAACGCCTTTTCCCGGGGGAGGCGTGAAGGGCACGGGAGGCGTGAAGGGCACTTTTCCACATACATCATCCAAACTTTTCAACACACTCCTTTCAACCGAAATATACTGCCTGGAACAATATTTCGAAGAGGTCGACAAGTAACTGAACCCTAGAATGTTTACATCCGTAGCCAATGATTCTAAAGAAGAAAGTAGACTCACCCAAGAGACAGAACTGGACCGGAGGGCTCTCCGTTAGTATAAGGGTGAAACTACAGTACCCTGTCTATCCGCTCCATTTCCAGTCTTGAAGATGGCGATCCATTGACGACGATCCTTCCCATCCTCATCGCGGCCCTAGGTCCACTGCGAAATCAATGCACGACACTGGTCCTCCCCTACTCTGGAAACACTGCCGGCTTGTTGAGGGTCATTTCTTGCTATACGAGCCAATTTTGCGGCGGCCTCGCGGACCGCAACACCGTTCATGGCATAGTGTCTGTTCGCGGCCTGGCAAGACAAGATGATAATGAAGTGAGATGGCTATATAAAGACGATGCTTCCCCTGCGAAATCATTCATCTTTCCAACACTGCAGGCCAGAAAGCAAACACAAGATTTCCAGTTCACTCCTTCCAATATCTTCCGAAGATGTATGAGCGCGCGCTCCTTTTCTCTGCCATTATGGCGGCCGTTCGTGCCCAGCAGGCTGGCACGCTGACGGCTGAGACCCATCCCCCTCTGACGTGGGAGAAATGCGCTTCCGGTGGTAGCTGCACCGAGCAATCTGGATCTGTTGTCGTTGACGCCAATTGGCGCTGGGTTCACGATACCAGCAGCTCGACGAACTGCTATACCGGTAACACGGTAAGCACTCCCGCTTCCAAATTTTTTTCTCTGTCATTTCTAACAAAAGGAACAGTGGGATGCAACTCTCTGCCCAGACGACACTACATGTGCCGCGAACTGTGCGTTGGATGGTGCCGACTACTCCGGTACCTATGGCGTGACGACCGACGGCAGCTCCCTGACTCTGGGTTTTGTGACCGGCTCGAATGTTGGCTCGCGTCTCTATCTGATGGAGGACGACAGCACCTATCAAATTTTCAAGCTACTGAACCAGGAGTTCACGTTCGACGTGGATGTTTCAAATCTCCCGTGCGGCCTTAACGGTGCTTTGTACTTTGTCTCCATGGATGCGGACGGTGGCCTGTCCAAGTACAGTGGCAACAAGGCCGGGGCCAAATATGGCACGGGCTACTGTGACTCGCAATGCCCCCGGGACCTGAAATTCATCAATGGCCAGGTATGTCGAAACAGTCAATACTCCTACAAATGCTGATAGATGAACACAGGCCAACGTCGACGGCTGGGAGCCTTCCAGCAACGACGCAAACACCGGCATCGGCGGCCACGGCTCGTGCTGCGCGGAGATGGACGTGTGGGAGGCCAACAGCATTTCCACCGCTCTGACTCCTCACCCGTGCGATACCGCCAGCCAGACTATGTGTGATGCCGACAGCTGCGGCGGAACATACTCGAGCAGCCGCTACGGAGGTACCTGCGACCCTGATGGATGTGACTTCAACCCTTACCGCATGGGCAACACGAGCTTCTACGGACCCGGCGATATTGTCGACACAAACTCCAAGATGACGGTGGTGACGCAATTTATCACCAGCGACGGCACGGACACCGGCACGCTCAGCGAGATCAAGCGTATCTACGTACAGAATGGAGTTGTCATTGCCAACTCGGCCTCGGATGTCAGCGGCGTGAGCGGTAACTCAATTACCTCGGACTTCTGCACGGCCCAGAAGAGCGCGTTTGGCGATCAGGATGTCTTCTCGCAGCACGGTGGCCTGTCTGGTATGGGCACGGCTCTGTCCGGGGGTATGGTGCTCGTCATGAGCCTGTGGGATGATCACTATTCCGACATGCTCTGGCTCGACAGCGACTATCCCACCAACGCGACGGCCACCGACCCTGGCGTTGCTCGTGGTACTTGCTCGACCAGCTCTGGTGATCCGACCTCCCTCGAGGGGCAGTCCGGGTCGGCCAATGTGGTATTTTCCAACATCAAGGTTGGTCCGATCGGATCCACCTACTCGTCGTAGGACATGATGAATATTCTTGTGTATGTAGTTTGTTTAGCTTGAGTCAAGTTTGGTTCGGGAATGAATTGACTTTCCAAGGCGGAGAACCGGAAAATCCTTGGCCCGTAGAAAAATCACTGGGCTTTCTTTTGGACTAGTTACTTGATTGAGACAACCCTCCTGTTGCAGCCATGTTCGACACGGTCTGCACTCTGCCGCTCTCGGCAGACCTGTTCGCCCAGTCCATTCACCCCCAAGAACCGGTGGTCTCGGTTGGGCTGGCGTCGGGCCATGTCCAGACCTTCCGCTTACCTTCGGAGGATGGAGACAGCGATGACGGAGCTTCGAACTCGTCCGCGCGCAATGGCAAGGGGCATATCGATACCATGTGGCGAACGAGGCGGCACAAGGGCAGCTGTCGGTGCTTAGGGTTCGGCGTGGACGGCCAGTCGCTGTACTCGTCGGGCACGGACGGGCTCGTGAAAGCGGCGAATGTAGAGACGGGCCAAGTGGAGAACAAGATTGTCATTCCTTTGGGGAAAGACGGGTAAGTGGTCTAGGATTCTTAATTTATATGAGACTGACTTTAACGCGGTGCAGCTCTGTCGACGCTCCTACGGTCATCCACGCGCTGTCTCCTCAGACTCTCTTGCTCGCCACGGACTCGAGCGCATTGCATCTCTACGATCTGCGCATTCCCTACTCAAAGGTCTCAGCACGACCCGAGCAGTCGCACCACCCACATGATGATTACATCGCGTCTCTGACTCCTCTACCACCCTCCGAGACGAGTACTTCGGGCTTCAGCAAGCAATGGGTGACCACCGGCGGGACGACCCTCGCGGTGACCGATCTACGGCGAGGCGTCCTGGTGCGCAGCGAGAACCAAGAAGAAGAATTGATCAGCTCAGCGTATATCAGCGGTTTACCGTCCACTGGAACGAGCCGTGGCCAGAAAGTGATCGTGGGTGGCTCCAGCGGTGTAATGACGCTCTGGGAAAAGGGCGCATGGGATGACCAGGATGAGCGGGTCTACGTGCACCGCGACGCAGAGGGCGGCGAGTCCATTGAGACGCTGTCCGTCGCCCCGGACTTTTTGGGCAAGGGCAAGCTAGTTGCTGCTGGTCTGGGCAACGGACTGGTGAAATTTGTGCGCATTGGGTCCAACAAAGTGGTTGCGGAGGTCATGCACGACGAAACCGAGGGTGTCGTTGGCTTGGGATTTGACGTCGAAGGGCGCATGGTCTCGGGTGGTGGGCAAGTGGTCAAGGTCTGGCATGAGGCTGTCGGTGGCGCCGGTGAATCGGCGGGCGATAAGCACATGCTTGGCAGTGACAGTGACGACAGCGAGGCCGAGTCCGAAGATGGCGATCGAGACGAGCGGCAGGGCGACAAGACCCGGAAGAAGCGCAAGAGGGTCAAGGGCAAGGACCGCAGCGCTAACCAGCAGGTCATGGCCTTTCACGACATGGACTGAGTGCACATTCGGATACCCCGTCTACAAAAGAAGGAATGTGTGGCATGTAGGCATATAGCGCGGTGTTAAGGTGGAAAAATAGCAATTGATGATCAAGAATTCAACGGATCTAATCACAGCCGACTCGGCAGTGTCACAATGTCATACCCGGCTTATTAAAGCTGACCAATTGTTTAGGTATCCACGGGGGATTTCCGCGATAGTTGTATTGAGATTTAACCCATTATTGTAGAAAGGAGACACTAGGCAAGGGATGAGATGATCCTGAAGATATAGTTACGAACAAGATATAGAAGTTAGGGCTAAATATTCCCCTCTGGAATGGCGACCCCACGAGTGCACGCCCCACGTCGAACATTGACTTCATCCCGAACGATTCATGGCCCGGTGGCGTGTGGGGAACATGATATAAAAACTACCCATCGGCAGTTCCGTCTCCTTCCTCAACCCCCCATTCACCATGGACGCCTTCGAGTACAACCCCAACCCCGGCCGTGTCGTCTTCGGCAGCGGCACGCTCCAAAAACTGCCCGATGAGATCGCCCGGCTGCAACTAAAAGCGCCGCTGGTGCTGTCCACACCACAGCAGATCAGCCAGGCCGAGAGCGTCAAGGCCGTGCTCAAGGGCCAGGTCGCGGGAATTTTCAGCGAGGCGACCATGCACACCCCGACCCATATCACGGACAAGGCCCTCGAGTATGCCAAGGCGCAGGGCGCCGACTCGGTCGTCTCCATTGGCGGCGGTAGCACCATTGGTTTGGGCAAAGCGATCAGTATCCGCACGGGCTTGCCGCATATTTGTATTCCCACGACCTATGCCGGCAGCGAGATGACCCCGATTCTGGGGGAGACAGCCGACGGCCTGAAGAAGACTCGCTCCGACCCAAAGATCCTGCCGGGGACGGTCATCTACGATGTCGACTTGACAATGACTCTGCCGGCGGCGATGAGTGCTACTAGCGGTGTCAACGCGATCGCGCACGCGGGTAACTATTCCCACTCTGTCTTTTGACAGGTCCGTCAAACTGATGATGCCTATAGTTGAGGCTCTCTACGCCCGTAACACCAATCCGATCATCAACATGATGGCCATTGAGGGCACGCGGGCGCTAGCCTCCGCTCTCCCCGAGATTGTCGAAAACCCATCCTCCCAGTCCGCACGTTCCAAGGCCCTATACGGCGCCTGGCTATGCGGAACCTGCCTAGGCAGCGTGGGCATGTCCATCCATCACAAACTGTGCCACACGCTCGGCGGCAGCTTCAACCTTCCCCACGCGGAGACACACACCGCCGTCCTGCCGCATGCTATCTCCTACAATGCCCCTAACGTCGCGGAAGCCATGAAGCAACTGGCTGATGCGCTTCCCGATAGCAATGGCGATGCCATCCACGGGCTGAATGTCCTTCTGACCAAGCTCAAGGTCAAGCGCGGATTGAAGGACTTTGGGATGAAGGAGGAGGATGTTGATAAGGCGGCTGATATTGCTGTTTCGAATCCGTACTGGAATCCTCGTGCCATTGAGCGGGCGCCCATTCGTGAGTTGATCCGGCGGGTCTGGGCCGGTGAGCCGGCGCGGGCGGATCTGTAAATATCATCGTGTGTAGGATTTTACCGGATAAATTCACTATACTCTATTTGTCTTTGAAAAGGTGGCTTTATAAATGCCACGACTACTAGATCATGTTTCGGGGATCATACACTCATCTCTTTGGAAAGAGCACATCAAAGGCACTCATAGATTGGAGGATCAATCCTTCATCGCCGGATCTTCCCATCGCAGCTAAGCCAAAAGGCTTGCCGTTGTATTCCAAAAAAGGCTTTGTTCCCAGTGGAAAGCTACTCACAATCAGCGATAATATAATCTGGGAGTCCCAACTACGACCTGATAACTAACGTTAAGGGCTTGTATTGAAATCACGGATTGCCGGGGCCGATGTGGGGTCTTGCCCAAGTTTCTTTTTTTCCTCTCTTCTGCCCCTCCATCACCAACCAACAGTTCACACGATGGGCACCGACATGGAGGCAGCGCCCGTGCTGTCGACTCCCGACTCGCGCATCCTCGAAGAAACTGCTCCCGTGGCTCCCCGGGAAGCGTCGCGGTTGTCGGACGACGAGCTCGCTATCACCTATGACATCGAGCGCACGCTGAAAGAAATCCGCCAGGCGCGGTACAAGCGCATCGCTCTCCAGTTCCCCGATGAAATGCTTCCGGATGCTCCGCGAGTATTCCAACTGCTCAGCCGCGGCCTGAATCACGAAGAACGCTCCACGACGAATGGCACCCAGACCCCGACTCAAACCGCTGATAGCGCCGATACGAACCTGGCTCAATCCGTGTCGCAGCTCCAGGTTGACAAGAAGGAAGAGAAATGGTCTCCTCGCCTGTACATTCTGGCGGACACCTCCTACGGGACTTGCTGCGTGGACGAGGTGGCGGCGGAGCATGTGGACGCGGACGTGGTGGTGCATTATGGGAGATCGTGTCTGTCGCCAACGGCCCGACTGCCCGTGATCTACGTTTTTACGCACAAGGCACTGTCCATCGACCCCGTGGTGCAGGCCTTCAAAGCAACATATCCCGATCCAACGGCCAAAGTGGTCATCGCCGCCGACGTGACCTACACCGACCACGTTCCCACCGTGCACACCCGCCTCGTGGAAGAAGGATACAGCAATCTGTTCGCGACAGAGGTCGTTCACGAGCCCTCCTCCGCCATCCCCAATCGCACCGTCCCCGACTCCGTCCGAAACGCACCAGAGACACTATCCGAGTGGCAGCTTTTCCACATCTCCGACCCGCCAACCACCCTCCTATTGACCCTTGCCTCTCGCGTATCCGCGATCCATATCTACCCCACAGAGACGCCCAGCAGCAACCCTGTCAAACCTCTGCCCGCATCCACGGCGATCGCCTTGCGACGTCGATACGCCATCATCACCTCCCTGACGACGGTGCCCATCTGGGGCATTTTGATCAATACCCTCAGCGTGAAGAATTATTTGCATATTGTGGACCATGTGAAGGAGCAGATTGCCGCAGCCGGCAAGAAGAGTTACATGTTTGTGGTGGGCAAGCTCAATGCGGCCAAGGTCGCCAATTTCAGCGAGATCGGCGGCTGGGTGGTCATTGGTTGCTGGGAGAGCTCGCTCGTGGATTCCAAGGAATTCTGGAAGCCGGTCATCACCCCGTTTGAGCTGGAATTGGCATTGAAGGGGGACGCGGAGCGCGTGTGGACGGGTGTGTGGCAGAGCGATTTCCAGGCCGTCCTCGATCAGCCCCGAGAGGAGCAATCGGCTACCGCCAACGACGAAGACGAGGAAGACCTGTCGGAATCCGAGTCCGCGCCGCCGGAGTTTGATTTGCGCACCGGGCGATACGTCTCGCATTCCCGTCCGATGCGGGATCCCGGGCCTGCCCAGATTGATGGATCATCTGGACCCTCCGCTGCTCGAGCCTTGGCTCGTCGGACCAGAGGCGATCTGACCATGATCGGCGGGGCCGTGTCGCCGGGGGCAGAATTCTTGCGATCCCAGCGGACGTGGAAGGGGCTGGGCAGCGATTTTGACATTCGATATGACGAGGAGGATGACAGTACACTGGTCCGGGAAGGGCGCAAGGGCATCGCCAGGGGGTACACGGTGGGCGAGTCCGAGCGACACTAACTGATCATGAAACAAGGAAGAACAAACTATAGGTAGCCCTCCTAAGTACCGATGCACATAGAAATCCGTCAATCAATAATACCTCCAGAAGAATAGTACTACGTCACATGACGGGGTTCCCTTCCTAATCCATCATTCATCCGTTCTGGTCTGGTCTGTTCTCTCTGGGTCGGACTCTCTTTTGACTCTCTCTCCTTCTTCCCCCTCCGTTCCTCCCTCACCCTGGGACCTTTCCCCCTTTCCGGTCCCTCTGTGTCTCCTTCCGTTCCGCCCGGCCCTTGCGATCGCGCCCCCATCCGGCTTATCGACGATCGACTCGCTACGTTTGATGGCCTTGCATGGTGGCTTGTCCTGGGTGAATAGTCTCCCATCGACATCTACATCCCCTCGTCTTACCATGTGCTGTGCCTCTACCTTCGCCCGCGACCGCGCGCCACTTCGATTCTCCGTCTGAGCGACGGCGTGTGTCCTCCGTCCGTCACGCGGATCTAGGTGATGAGCCGCCCGGATCTCACCACCATGACACACGCAGGGACCGAGGAACTACCAGCGCCACAGCAGGAGCTGGTGGAAGCCGCACTCCAACACTCAGTCGTCCCCGACGAGCGGCCTCTTTCGACCTTTGAGCGAGTGATCACAACCCATGCGCCCATTCTAGAATCGCTTCTCCTCCAGATCCCCACCGACACCCTCATCAAACTCTACCACACCTCTCACTACCTGCGGTCATTCCTCCGATCATACCCGACCGCATGGAAGTCCCTCTCCTTTCGTCTGCTCTTCCCATCGGGTACCCTCCCAACGGCCCGGATTGTCGTGCCGGGGCTGCCCGAGCCGATTACGCATCGCCAGTCGCGTCCCTACGCCCTTGACCAATTGTTAATGAACGTCGTGATCCCCTTCAGCGGATGCTTAAAGAGTCTGACGTTGGACAACACAGCAGTGTCGGGACAAATTCTGATTTCGACCGTGTTGCATTCTCGCCGGGAGACATTGGAGCACCTCTCCGTTCGGGGATGCAAGAATGTTTCCCTCAAGTACCATGTCATCCCATACCTCACCATGTTTGGGCTGCAGTATGACGTGGACATGGAAAAGAACATCGGGACTTCTCCCTCAACAAAGCGACTGGCCCTCAAGAGTCTCTATGCATACCGATGCCGTCATCACCGCCGCAGGCCCTATCTGTCGTCTTCTCTCGTACGCAAGGATTCCGACTCGGAGCCGACGCACGAGCTGGTCAACCTCTGCCACAAGCTAGGGATCTGGACCGACACTGCCTGGTGCACCACCCCCGCTGGCAGGTGCTTTCGCAGGCGCGGCTATGTATCGATGAGAGTCCCGCAAGGATCCCCGGAAGTATGGGTGGTCTTTGATCGACTTTGGAGATCGAAAAACTGGATTGGACCCATCGACTCGCGGGCTAGTGGGACCCGAGTGCATGATGGGAAGCTGTGGGAAAACTGCGACAGTGGAAATTACGGTGAACCATTGGGGACAGGTGAAGGATCTGACCTGGGCGAGGGCAAGCTGACGCCGACACATCTGCGCCGCAGTCACACCCAATTTGTTGAAAACGTTCGCTGTGATCACTGCTTCGAGCCCGTCTCGGAGCGGTGTGAGCAATGCAGTATCTTGATGCATTGCGTCGGTTGCCGCAAGACTCTTTGCGCCAGCTGCGCCTACGAGCGGCCATATCTGCACCGTGGGCACTCATCCACCTCCACTGAGAGTACCACCGGGAGTAGCACCGACTCCTTATGGTGGGCTCCTGGGGCGACACATTCCCCCAGTTCGATGCAAGACCCCGTCTCCAATCCAGTAGACAATAATAACAACAACAACAACAATGCATTCCATCCGGCACACATGACGCTCCATCCAGCACTCAAATTTCACTGGTGCTGCACAGAACCCATCTTTTCTGGGGGAGGCGGAATCAGCATCGGAACCCCAAGTCGGGACGTGGATCAGGTGCGGGCTGCCCCCCTACCTCGAAATCAAGGGTGGGAGGATCTCGAGTACACTGTCAGCGAATGGAGCAAGACATTCCCAAAATATGCTTACGGAGACCCCGGCAAACCTGACTACTCCCTCGAAACTGGGCACCTGGCGATGATGAAATGGTTGCTTGGCCCACCTAATCGCCAGGTCTCTCCGTGTCCACGCAATCTATGCCAGGAGTGCTACGACTCACCACAATGGAAAGTGCACTGCAAGAGCTGCTCAAAACCTCTTTGCATTGAGCACGACCTCCGCGGTCTTCGCTTACGGATCTGCGGCTACCGTGACCTAGCATTCGAAAAGATGACCATCCAAAACCGCTCCGCGGCGAACCCGCCACCAATATCAGATATCATTGGCATTCGCGCGGATCAACTGCCAAGCTACGACCTACCTTTCCGCACTCAACGGCTCCTCGACTCCGCCACCAGCAGCTTTACTGAAGATCCTCACGTCGACGGTCTACTGGACGGGGCAGGGCCCGACTCAAACAGTGGTGACCACCCGACCTATCCAGGCCTTCCTCCACGCCATCAGTCTCGCTCCTACTCCGCTCCGACGTCCACGCATTCTGGTTCTTCCTCTCCATCCTCGGCTGGTTTTGAGTCGCCGTTCGAAATTCCAAAATGGCAAGGCTGCCAGTCCTTCTTTTGCCCTCAATATCGGGCCGTTGGGGACCAGCGCCAGAGATGCCCCAGCTACCTGCGTGAATGCAAGAACTGCGCCGTATTCGTCTGCCAGGACTGCGTCCACGCCAATCCGCCATGCAAATGCACCTACTGCGAGGAGAACTACTTGTGCCCGAACTGCACGAAAGTCCGTGCTCGCGATGGCCTATGCCGCCGGCGCGAAGAAGAGAAAGCGCGGCGAGAGCGCAAGTGGAAGCAAGACATGCAGGTTCTAGAGGGCATCTTGGAGCTA